AGTTTTTGTATGTGTTTGTCATGTGACATTAGTTTCATTCCATGTGTTGATGAGTAGATGAACAATGATTTGAGAGTGATCCCATGTGCCTTACCAGGAAGCCCTACAGCCCACCTTGGAGCAGAACATGTCAGTTGTGTGTGTGAGAGTCATCGTCGTCTGTGTCCAAGCATTAGAGATCACATATGTATGAGTCATTGTTTTCTGTCAAACTTTCATTGCATCAAGGTTGGTAATGCAAACAAATCATGTTCCAATAAATCAAAGAATTAATTTCCATCAGTCTAAGTAAGCTTAGGCTCAGTATTATTCGTTACACTACTTTACTGAATCTAACAAAACCTAGTAAAAGGTCGCGTCAGCCAACCTTTGAGCGACCTATGCGAGACAGCCGAACGGATTTAACCAATCAGACAACGACTACTTGTTAAGGTTCGCGGGACTGACAAAACGGTTTTTGGATTTTCTCTTCCCTGGTCGCTGACACTGATCTATCAACAAATGAAAATCCGCATAAAACACAGATATTTGATCTGCAGTATATACGCTTATGGGTTTCTAATGACATGGTTACAATTTGCTTATATTTTTGCAAGATGACATCCTTGAATATTGACAAAAACGCTATTTTTCAGCGACTGTTTACTCATTGTGTGTATCACTCAGAAGCAATCGTGCAGAAAATAGCATTCGGAATAGTTCGAGTTTTTTAGGTAAAGGTTCAAAGGGTATGTGCGAATGTTAACTTTTGCGATTTGGTAAGCTGTGATTGGTCAGTCCAAAAGGTTAGCTGACGCGACCTTCTACTAGGTTTTGTTAGACTCAGTATAGCAGTGTAACGAATAATACTGAGCCTAAGTTTACTTAGACTGAATTTTCCATGTATGATTGATCATGAGAAACATAGAGTAGTGATAAGACTGGTCAGACATCTTTACTGTCTATACCTTTTGGTTGTGCAATGCTGTAGAAATGGTAGATCAGGGTTCTTCAAAACAGGTGGTTTAGAATACCCCCCGATAACCAATTTCAAGGGTCCAACAGTGAGTTCTTTAAAGTGAAAGTAGTAGTAAACCATCATTAATGTCTTTTGGTTGTGCAATCCCGTGGATATGGTAGATCAGGGTTCTACAAAACGAGGGTTTTAGACCTCCAATAACTAATTTCAAGGTTCCTCACGCCACCAGTGAGGGTTCTATAGTAGAAGTAGTTGTGAACCAAGGTGTGCTGTACTGCAAGGTTTAGTAATTACTTCTATCAAATTCACTTTATATTTTTTTGTCAAGGATTAGGTACACTGAATATTGTTATGCTTTCCTCAAGGCACATCATGTTTGTCTGCTTCCATGCTATATATTCATGTGTACTGGACTCACATCTCTGTGTCGCACAAAATATGGTAGATTATGGATTTCCAGTATACAAGCCTGTGGCTTGTTAGGGACCAACCATGTCATGTTATATTGGGGAAGAGAGTTGGGTGGGTCTGATGTTTGCTGGGACAGAATTCAAAACATACTTAGGAGACAGAAAATATGTTTTTGGATGTATTTAGCGTTCTGTTCCATCAACTGTAGTTAATCTGTGATGCCTATGACTGTAGTAGTATGCAATAATTGGATGATCCGTAATTGTATTTTAAGATAGTGTATTTTCTGAAGTTATGTTCTCAGCTAGTGTAATTTCTGAAGTTATGTTCTCAAAGCGAGTATATTCTATAAGCATACAGCATGATTTCATGACAGTTAATTCAAATTACTATTATGGGACTTCAGGTATTTTCTATTCATTTATTTACTTTGACGATGGAATATGTTTCATTGGTCAGGTGTTAAGCTTGTTAATCCTGTAACAACTTCATCAATAAGACGTGAGAGAGTGTACCATTACAACAATTACGACCATCTACCAGCAGGCACTTCCAGCTCCAGACATTGGGGATTGTGGATATTTGTCCAAGTTCCATTACAATCTTTGTGGTATGATTCATTGTTACCATGGCTACAGTTTCAGTTTTCTCTGTGCAGCACAATGCGAAGTATTTTTTCAGTTATACACTTTTTCCATCTACCCGTATATGTCTTGTTTTCTGATGCTAGTAATTAAAGTGCCAGGAAACGGCCACTATGGCAACCACTGTCTATTGTCATGGTAACAGTCGCTTTGTACAGATGCCTATAAACAATTTATGACTTGTTGAAGACAGATGTTCATGTGGTCTTATAGCATGTTCAACATAGATTCCTAATTCTGAATGTACCGCCGGAACAACACTGCTATAATTGATTACATGCATGAACTATTATCCAATGAAAACTACAACAAAATTCTCTTCCTAAAACACCTGCCTTTAAATATGTGTACAGTCCGTTTGGCTCAAAAGCGGACTGATGAATTGCAATCTAACTCGAAAACTAATAAACATAAAATACTCAATGAAACGCTGATCATAATCAAACCATCATACCCACTCCGTGAGGTTTTTGCAGAATTTTTGTCCTAAAAATTAAAAAGTTGTTTAACAAACTATCATTAAAATATTGACACAGTTCACTGTTTGTTACGAGGGAGGAGTGCAGAGAAAGGGACAGCCAGGTGTTCAAGAAGCACGTTCACAGATAAAGTTATTGATTCATTAACCTGTGCTGTGCCGTCTCCATCTGCTCTCGAACACCTGGCTGTCCCTTTCTCTGCACTCCTCCCTCGTAACAAATAGTGAACTGTGTCAATATTTTAATGATGGATTGTTAAACAACTTTTTTATTTTTAGGACAAAAATTCTGCAAAAACCTCACGGAGTGGGTATGATGTTTTGATTATGATCAGCATTTCATTGAGTATTTTATGTTCATTAGTTTCCGAGTTCGATTGCAATTCATCGGTCCGCTTTTCAGCCAAACGGACTGTACATATAGCTTTGATCCTGCAACTTTACCTGTACTTATGGTTAGAATCATCACAGATTTGACTTTAGATCACTTTGTTGAAGTATATAAAGACTTCAGGGATGTGGAGGGAGGATCTGTAAGGGCACCACTATAATGTTTAATCTTATAACACAGCCAGCACAGTGGAATGGGGAAGTAATACACACCAGGAAGTGGGTTTATTATTCAAGTTAACTGACTCAAGTGACAATCAGAATCAGACCTACAGGTATTTACCATCTTCACCATTTACATGATATATACGTGTACATGCGATATCTATGTGACAAATGACATATTTATGGTATGTACATGAAGTATACATATAAACGTGATACATATATTGTGTATATATATATTGATTTGCACGTGATATATATGTGATATATACATGATGTTTGCATGGTTTATACATGGTGTAGGTATTATACAAACACATGATATAAACATGATATGTCCATGTGATGTTCATGTAAAAGAGACACGTCTTTTATCTCACGCATCAATGTTGTAACTATACTCATGGTATATCATACTCTTCATTTGTACTAATGAGCTTTAACTTGTGACGGAAACAAATGTGACATATAGCATGGTTTGTGGGACGTCAGTACAGAGAACAAGGAGCAGCTAAAGAGATTGAGAGATGATTAATGTTCATCCCAATCCATTCAAGTACAGATATTAGACCCACTGTGTTGTAGCTCCTCCAAACTGGACCATGGGTTCGACCAACTCACACAGACTGGTCGTGGTTATAAGTACCTTGTCTTTGTAGGAAGTGGTGTAAATCTATCACTTCTGTCTTCTAAGTATTTACTGAGCTGCTACATACCTGGATTACTCATTGAAGCAGCATTAAACCTAACTCACTGACTCACTCTCTTGCTGTAGCTCAGATTTGTAATATTACAGAGCTGCTTGTCATTCTTTGTTGACACAAGCCTGTGGTTTGATTACAGTTTCTTCCCAGTCTTGGTGATGATCATTTAGCTGTAACTGCGTATAAGTGCTGCAGCCCCTAATCATGACATTGATGTACACATAGCTATTCAGTTTTCTGAATCAAATTGATTTTTATGTGTACTGTCATTCTGTCTTGTTAGTATTACCTGTCATCCTTATGTAGATTTTGAATACCATAAATCTACTAATAGATGGTATAGGAGGGTTTGCCTAGTGGTTAAAGCACTGGCTTGTTGAGCCCCGAAGTTTGATTCCACTCTTCATTGATTCAACTGGAATAAGGCTGCTTCGTGATTTGACTGGAATTTTACTTCCATCAAATGACTGGCTGCCATGATGTGGCTGGTATGATATACTACTCACACTTTGCTAAGGATCACAAAAATTCACAACTTTACTTAAACGTAGATTGATAATTTGAAACTGTATCCATTTAAAACTGGATAGATAATAATATGGTAACCCCTCATCAGGCAAACAGCCACTTTAATCTAACCTTATGCACTTGATACATTAGTAATCATAAAAATGGTTTTCATGGCACCAATCAACCATTTTGCAAATCATGGAACGGGTCATTCACAAATAAACAACACCTGTCAATAGCAGGTATGGGATCCACAAGATGCAATGACATACTGAAACCTAGGATCCATGCTTACAGTAGCTTAGATATTTAAACCAAATTTGACCCCACATAATAGTTTTCTGTTGAATCCATGATTTGATCCTTAGCAAAGTGTGAATAGTATATATACATAGTTTGAGGATTTATAGTATTCATTGTCTTCATCATTCATCATTCATCCTTGTACTCATCACAGGATACAACTATGTGTCTTTACTTATCCAGGGGGCGGTGGGGTAGCCTAATGGTTAAAGCGTTGGCTCGTCACGCCGAAGACCCGGGTTCGAATCCCCACATGGGTACAATGTGTGAAGCCCATTTCTGGTGTCCTCCGCCGTGATGTTGCTGGAATATTGCTAAAAGAGGCGTAAAACCAAAACTCAGTCAGTCAGTCAGTCACTCATCCAACTAGTGCAATGGTGGTCGGCTTTGTCTCAGGGTACTGACCACTGGCATTCTGAACTGGATTCGAAAAATAGAATTCTTTGAAATTATACTTTATACAGTTCACTGGGAGGATTAAGACTTAATTATTTTGGACCTAAATATGTTGTCATGAAACCAAGCATGGACACACGACATTGTGATATATGTAATATATATTTTTGTATCACAATAACAGTTTCCTGACCATGTACAGTGGCATCACAGCAGTTATGATGTAATAAGTATGTTGAAAGGGCCTCAAAATGTCCCTTGAGACGGTATCATTCTTGTAAGATGGAAACAGCTTCATGTACTGGTGGGGCGGTGGGGTAGCCTAATGGTTAAAGCGTTGGCTCGTCACGCTGAAGAGCCAGGTTCGAATCCCCAGATGGGTACAATGTGTGAAGCCCATTTCTGGTGTCCCCCGCCGTGATGTTGCTGGAACATTGCTAAAAGCGGCGTAAAACCAAAACTCAGTCAGTCAGTCATGTACTGGTCAGGACCTTGTTATTGAGATACTGATCATGTCATCCTTGTGTATGATCATTATTTATGTGAGAGAGGGGGCCGATACCTTTGTAGTTACAAAGGATTCCATTTTTCCATCTTTTATGGAATGCTTGGTTGTCCTTTATAGAATACATGCTTAATTTGACCAAACTAGTCTATGTTTCTGTGATTGGCTGCCAATCTGTCACATAAGTAGATTTCCATTAGCTGTCGACAGAAGAGATTTGGGGAGTGGATTTTACCTCATAAGCACCCATTTGTATTAAAGAAACGTGTGGTTGTTGGACATTAAATGTGCTGAAGAAAGCTGTCTCTTGCTAATCATAGTAATCAATAGCAGAATCTGACAAAGTTCACTTTAAGGCCAGTAGAGCTTATTCATCAGAAATTGCAATGTCATCTCACTTCTTTTATTCCTTTTTTTTAGAATCAGAGTATACTAATGTATGCCAAAATGACCAATTCGAATAACATGTTCTTTGTTTGAAGGAAATGAAAAGAAATGATCATCCACAGCTTTCAAGAATAAGTGTATGGTCATCTGATAATTAATTTTTACTGGTCTTAACCATTTTCAGATATTTTTTGTTAATGCTTTTCAAAATGTATATTGCTCACAATGAATGTTTTCTATAAAGTTGTTTCCTCATCATGATGGCTCCAGGATGAACTGGTTAATGGCTGTCATGATGGATGTAGGTCATGTCCTGTCAATGTCAAATTGGTGATCCAAGAGGTCAAATGCTTTCTTTTTAGTTTTGTTGACTTCAAATGCTATTGTACCTTCACATAACATAAAACTAAATGTTAATCATTTGTTTCATCATTGTTCATGTAGCTCACATCAGACACAATGTATACGAAGAGATTTAAGTGATTCTGTTATCTGTACAGGAAGGTGGTGCTGTAGAGCACAGATCTATTTAAGCACGCCTTGAGATGGAAAGTGATGTTAGTATTAAGACTGTCAACTCCCCTACTTTAATATACTGGACATATATAGGTGAGAAACTTCTTTGAACAGGAGCCACATCCCAATTCATTAAACACTGGGACTGACACTGTTAATGTCTGGATTGTCAAAAGATTAAGATCATTTTGTGGAACAGGGCGATGTTCAACCAAACTATCCCCATGCTAAAAGTGAACCAACTTTCATAATTTAACATACACTAACAACCATCTGAGCACAAAGAAACTTGTCCATCTTAAGTCAGGATCCTAGTCCATCAGCCAGCTGTCTTGCTGTGAGACTTTAGTTCTGTATAGAACTGTCATGCATGGCTGATGCACAGAAGGTTGTAGTATTTGAGAAACAAGTAATCTCATATCTTAAAATCTTAATCTTCAAATCAGATCTTATTTCGCACTATCACTAGACAAAGATCTGAGGACCTCATTACAAGCTACATCACAAACACCTTTCGCATACTTTGATTTATTATTGAAATTACTAACAAATAGTGGATATTGGCCAATATATAACTCATTCGGACGAGTTGACCTTTTCAAGGTTGAATTATCAGTCTGACTTGTCCTTGATGAGATGTCCCAATATCTTTGTTTAGTGGTCATGATGACTAAGAACTGATTTTGAAACGATGAGATTTTGAATGAGATTGTGCAACAGGTCCCTTGTACTTCCTTGCAGCCAGCTCACACTTCTCCAAAACATCTACTTACAACTTTTATATTTGATGGTTGTCTCATTACCCATTTATAGACTCAATCCTCACATAAGGTGCTTACAATCTGCATTTTGTACTTTACATACAAGTATTTTCTATATGTTTTTGTGAACTCTGAGATTTATCTAGATATATATTGATTCAGTGTCAAATGTCACAGTATATACTGTTATGGATGTCCACACTCAACCCTTCAGTCTTCTCACTGAAAGGCTGTAGATGGTATATGCATGATCCTCTGCCAGCACTAGTTCCAGTAGATGGAGGTAAAGTCCTTGCGATGCAACAAGCACACTTGAAGCAGTCACTGCACGGTTTGATTTATTTTTATCACCTCACCCATTCACAGTGATGTTAGTCACAATATGGCTGAAATATTGCCGATGTGACTTAAAATCCTAACTCACTCACTCACTCACAGTGATGTCATGTATGCATGTTGCCAGATCTTACCTCAGTGTGATAAAGAAGAGCCCTTTGAGCCATGATGTCTCTCTGCAGAGTTCTGGAATGGTAGCTCAAGATGGGCCTTGTAATTTTCTAACCAGAACCACTTTGTGGATTCAAGGTTAGACCAGGTCAGAAAAACCCTCTATTCAGAACTTCTCTCGGGATTCCACATTAGAGCAGGTCAGAAATGCTCTCTACCCAAAACATTTTTGAAGATTCCAGTTTAGAAAGGTCAGAAAAACCCTCTACCCAGAACATTTGTGAAGATTCCAGCTTAGAAAATTTCAGAAACACTTTACCCAGAATCTGTGGGAGGATTCAAATTAGAAAGGTCAGAAATGCTTTCTACCCAGAACATTTGTGAAGATTCCAGTTTAGAAAAGGTCACTCACCCTTATTAGGATCCCATAATAGTATTTGTTTGAAAAACTGAGAAAGGTCCAAGAGAAAATGTCACTCAGGAAAACATTTATTGGGAGAATGGGTTGTAGTCGTATGTGCAGGTGATGAGCTGCTTGATGATTAGTGAGTATTAAAAACTCACTTACCTCCACCTTTCTATAGTGTACTATGATGCAAACAGGGTATTTATCTGATGGTTGTGTCCATTTTACTCTTCGAACACATCCTGCTTCACCGTAACTCTATCAATCTTATGATTGTTATGAGATGCAAGCACAGATTGTATGGAAGGTCACATGTGTACTATTAATCAGAATTTTAGGGGTTCGATTCAGTACACACATCATAGTGTGAAGTAATTTGAAACACATCAAAGACTGGTATGGCTGACAATGGCATGAAGCACCATTCACTTACTCACAAACGTAGTTCTTGCACTTGGTTCAGAACAATTCCTTTAGCTAGACCCTGCACTTAAAATGGTCAATGGCACCCTTATTTAAAAATAAAGTTAAGTTTTGAACGTTTGCTGCACAAAGCTGAATGATCACACACAAAAGAAACTTGCACGACTGGTGTGTCGCTCACGAATGCTAATTGCACTGAACCATTTTACTTGTAACCGGACAACACGATCAACAGAGAGCGCATGACTGACTTTTGTTCGTATCATTGCACGGGAGACTCGAGTGGAATACACCAGCCCTTGTTACCTGCTGCAGGATTATCTTGGGATACCCCTTTTTGTTACCATGGAAACTGTTCAAAGCACGGATGCACGGCACCACACCCCATAACCCGACTCACACCATGGTACGTGATAATCACTGCGCATGACTGCACGGACACCACCGAACTATGCACCTTGCCATTCACATGCAGCTGCAGTGATCTACGGCGTCATCGGACACATTCTTGGAATGTCCACCCGAGTACCAGATATACCTGCATTGAGATGGCATGATCGACTGATGCAATAAACACATTACAACACTGACCATGTGTCCTTTCTCATGTTTCGTCTTGTGGGAACAATTTCCACGGATTGTGGATCTGTAATGGAACCATTATCGATGCTTCATCCGAGGCGGTGGGTCTGTGATTGTGCCGCTGATGGTGCTTAAAACCAGGGATACTCTACAACACCTTATAGAGTCTCCCTGTTAAAACGGACTGTGGATACGATTTGTTTACAACGATCCTACAGTAAACTAACGCTTAGTCTGAACATTTATATTTTTGTACAGAAACAAAGAACTTCATTTAAATTGAAAAGGAGCCCCAATGAAGTGGGATTTTCTAGACTTGCTTCATTTGGCATGCACAGCATTTCACACAATATGAAAAAACTATGGGTCGCTTATTCACATGCTGCGAAGGCGCTAAGCATGTTTCGGTATATAATTCATAACTGCAGTATCTAAACTCGCTCACTCATAACTGCAGTATGTGCACTCCAGTTTTCTGAACTGGTTTAAAGACGACTTAACTAAAATCTGACCGTTTCGTATCTTTCAGACGATACACAATGTTAAGTTACTTACATGCAACATTGGTGCTAACTTGAACATTTACTCATGGCCACCGACCTGAAATGAGTCGTTCGTCTGGCAATACGCGATCCCATGACCAATGAAGAACCGTGCCTGGTCGTATTTACCGGACCTGAAGACTCGATGGTTTAACGTTGTCAAACGGAAGTACTGGAAATAGCCTTCGTGACACATTTTGTTACCCATCCCCTTTCCAGTCGACCCATATTCATTGATGACGACGCTTGACCTCACTGTTCTCAAGCCGTGTTCGTCTATCGAAACATTACCATGACCCACAAGGAGTCCCGATAAAAACCCAAACAAAACTCTTTTAGGACTATCATGAAGTTCCAGTTCGAGGAAGAGATCCTCTGTTACCACTTAAATACGCCTTTCATGCTTCACAAAGCTTATACAACAAACAGTAATGTTTGTTGTACTTCTATACAAAGTGGGCGGTGCTTGATTAATGCTCATGTGTCTATATGTGACGGATCAGCAAGCACTGACTTCAGCAATTAAGTATTCAGGACCTGACAAAATATGCGCGAGCACGATCTGCCTCACAAGGAAGATCTTCAAGTCTTATACCCCAGAGCTTTCTTTATACCCTTGCCTCAGCCAAGATTTTACAAACGCAAAGAATGTGTTATGCAACCTTTGAATGAGGTGAGGTGGAAAGGGGGATTAAGGGCGCGTTAAGGATTATTGCACTTATATATCAACATGTATGCATGATTTTTGTTTCTTGTATACATGTGTTTTCTCAGCGGTCTAAATCATCGACTTTAGACCAAACAATCTAGTAATTGACTTCATGAACATCGATCTACATAGCTGAGATTAATGGCATGCAATTTACTAAGTCGGCAAGACCAATCGTTCCATTTAGTCGCTTATTTAGCAGGGCGGTGGGGTAGCCCAGTGGTTAAAGCGTTCGCTCGTCACGCCGATGGCCCGGGTTCGATTCCCCACATGGGTACAGGGTGTGAAGCCCATTTCTGGTGACCCCTGCCATGGTATTGCTGGAATATTGCTAAAAACGGAGTAAAACCCATCTCACTCACTCACCCTTACAACAAGTATAGTTTACCGGGAACATATTCTGAAATCAACATGGGCTGGAGGCTGCAATGTGTACTTCTACTAATTCTGCTACTAAAACCATGAAGGTGATAAGGGAATCGAACCACCGACCTTCTGCTCTCCAGGCACACACTCTATCCACTACACCATGAATCAGGGGATCGAACCACGGCCTTCTGCTCTCCAGGCACACACTCTATCCACTACACCATGAATCGGGATCGAACCACCGACCTTCTGCTCTCCAGGCACACACTCTATCCACTACACCATGAATCAGGGGATCGAACCACCGACCTTCTGCTCTCCAGGCACACACTCTATCCACTACACCATGAATCGGAGGATCGAACCACCGACCTTCTGCTCTCCAGGCACACACTCTATCCACTACACCATGAATCGGGGGATCGAACCACCGACCTTCTGCTCTCCAGGCACACACTCTATCCACTACACCATGAATCGGGGATCGACCACCACAGGCGACCTTCCACTCATCCAGGATCACACACTCTAGGCCCACTACAGCATGAATCGGGGATCGAACCACCGACCTTCTGCTCTCCAGGCACACACACTCTATCCACTACACCATGAATCGGATCGGGGGATCGAACCACCGACCTTCTGCTCTCCAGGCACACACTCTATCCACTACACCATGAATCGGGATCGAACCACCGACCTTCTGCTCTCCAGGCACACACTCTATCCACTACACCATGAATCAGGGGATCGAACCACCGACCTTCTGCTCTCCAGGCACACACTCTATCCACTACACCATGAATCAGGGGATCGAACCACCGACCTTCTGCTCTCCAGGCACACACTCTATCCACTACACCATGAATGAATCGGGGATCGAACCACCGACCTTCTGCTCTCCAGGCACACACTCTATCCACATGAATCGAGGGGATCGAACCACAGCATGACCATGTGATCGGGGGTGGTCCCATCGACCTTCTGCTCTCCAGGCACACACTCTATCCACTACAGCATGAATCGGGATCGAACCACCGACCTTCTGCTCTCCAGGCACACACTCTATCCACTACGTATGTGATCAGAGGATCGAACCACGGCATTCTGCTCTCGAGGGAGACACTCTATCCACTACACTACGAATGTGATCAGGGATCGAACCACGGCCTTCTGCTCTCCAGGCAGATACTCTATCCACTACACTATGAATGTGATCAGGGGATCGAACCACGGACCTTCTGCTCTCCAGGCACACACTCTATCCACTACACTATGTATGTGATCAGAAGATCGAACCACGGCCTTCTGCTCTCGAGGCAGATACTCTATCCACTACACTATGAATGTGATCAGGGGATCGAACCACGGACCATACTCTATCCACTACACTATGAATGTGATCAGGGGATCGAACCACGGACCTTCTGCTCCCAGGCAGACACTCTATCCACTACACTACGAATGTGATCAGGGGATCGAAACACGGCATTTTGCTCTCGAGGCAGATACTCTATCCACTACACTATGAATATGATCAGGGAATCGAACAACGACCTTCTGCTCTCCAGGCAGACGCTCTACCCACTACACTATGAATGTGGTCAGGGAATCGAACAACGACCTTCTGCTCTCCAGGCAGATACTCTATCAATTGCGGTCACCTTCGAATGGGAGCATCATAGATTTGATATCTTCAGACTGATATGTGCCACATAGATAGACGGGCCCTCCCGTCATTAGTCGAACCTTTATGCATGTCTAACGTAATAAACAACGGGCACTATCCGTTTTATGCCAATCACGTGATCGACTGTGGCTTCATTAATGACAGTGACCTTGACCCCGATAATCTCTAGGCCTGGTTAACGAGGACTGCTTGTCAATGTGAAGCAGCAGTGATAGACTTACATAAATAACAGTTAACTCTCCCAGTGGGGTCTCCATTAATCTTCATGTGAAACGAACATTTGCTGTTTACAAGCCCACACTAATGACACTGCTCCCTATATTAACTTAGTGTCAACATACGTCAGTCAGAAAGGGCGTCGTTTTCTAATGCAAAGGTCTTAATATATTTGCTGCCGACAGAGCTACAAAATTCAACTTATCCTACAGAAAAGTACACACACAGAGATAAGACTGAGAACAGTCATGTGCTGACAATCGTGGTGACAATGCCTCTCAAGCTGGAACTCTGACACTGACCAACCTAGTAATTTGTATATTGACGGGTGGTCTATTGGTGTATTTCCCTTAACAAAACACGGACTACAAAGTCGAAGAGACCTTCAACCTTCAACTACAACTTTCATCTATCTTGTTTGAGTAGCTATGTGTTTTCATGGTCTTGGGATATACCAACAGCTGACCACCACGTACCGTGTGTTCCCTGGGAAATGAAGCAACCTGCAGAAGTGCTCCGTAATCAGCTGAAATATAGGTTCATGGTGTCTGTATCTTCAAGGATATACCCATCGATGCAAGACTGATGATGATACATGTGAGATGATTGTAGTGATCGATATATGATTTATACACACGGTGATACAGGTAACAACAGCGGAAATACATGATTGTTATACCAGATGATACAAGTGACTAAACATGAGAAGATACTTCGAGAAGACATACAAGTATATGTCGAAGCTCTTACCACATTCAACGTACAGAGAGTGCTTTCGACAACTGAAAGGACACCCAAAATGACCAAACACTCTCGTATCCTGAATACTGTTGTTATATCCTACACCCGATGATACAAAGTGTGATACATACGATGATACATGGATGTTACTAATTTATCTGACGTCATCAACGTGACTACCTCCTGTCCTGTACCATCACTACATCTTCACCTTGCTTCTGTACCAGCTCCTGCCAGGCGCGTGTTAGCATCTTTCCTGTTGTTGACGATGACAATCGCGTTTGGCGGGAACTTTGTCGTCTGCTGGATTGTGTACCGGAAACCAGCCATGAGATCCGCCATCAACCTGCTACTGGCACATCTTGGCCTGACTGACATATGTCTGTCGTCCGTCTCTATTCCAGTAGCAGTGACCGGTCTGTTATCAGGACGTTGGATCCTAGGACACACAGAGTGTGTCATGACCGGTTTCTTTCACAGCCTTCTGAACACAGTCGGCATCTATACACTGCTGGCGATCAGTGTAGACAGGTATCTTATCATTGTCAGCAGGACAGAGAAGCTGACGGTTACTAGGGCCAAGATCATCATCCTGCTTTCATGGGCAGTAGCAGGTATACTGACCTTCCCCCCTGTTGTTGGCTGGGGTGAGTACCGCCCGGAAGTGCAAATCCTGTGCAGCGTGGGACGATCACGTGGTGTGGGTGATGCGGTGTATGTGATGCTTGCAACTGTCCTCACAACATTCGTGCCGCTTCTGCTGATGTTCCATTCTTTTCTATGCATTATGGTTACCATGAGGAAGAAGTGTTCCCGCGTTCAGGATCAACCACATGGCGTTTGTATATCCTACAACAGAAAGGTTGTCACCGCAACTCTCGGTACCGTCCGAAGATTGAAAATTGACGTTGGATTCAAGACCAGGTCTTTCAAGACGATCCTGCTACTCTTTGTGGTGTTGACAATTTGCTGGGCCCCTTACAGCACGTGGATGATGCTGAACAGCTTGGTCCAGGAAGACTCGTCCAATTGGGGGCCTCTTCTCTCATGTGTTTGTTCATTAAAGGCAGCCATTAATCCAATAATTTACTTTGCTCGCATCAAGAAGTTCAGGGAAGCATGTCTCAGTTTTGTTCCCAGATTCTGTTGGCAGGTGTCGTGTGTGCCTACATCTCTGCGGAGAAAGGTCAAACCAAGCACTGTGTATGAAACCAGGGAACATCCTTCAAGTCAATGTACACGAAGTTGAATACGGAATGCTGAGTGACAAGAGATTCACAGCCATGGGGCATTTAATAGTCTGTCATACACAAATATACTCTGAAATTGAAAGTCTCTACTCTGATAATGGAGAGCTCCTTTTATTTATATACTCAAGGGCAAAGGTTAGTGTAATCAATACATTTGTTTATATAGATGAGAAAAGGTTTATAATGCATTTTAATATTCTTTATAATAACTTAATCCATAACCCAAGCAGGGCCCTGTCGATAGTTTTGTTTTGCATGTGTTTTTCGTGCTTTCAAGAAGTCCGTGGAAAAAAAGGCATAAAACGGCATTTCTCAAAGCCACAGCTAACTGAAGATGAAAGATGGCGGGCCATTGGAATACTTGAAACCGGAACACGAGTCCGGTTTCCTCTTGTACCGCGCTGATGGCCGAACCCGATCTGTCCTCTATCGAACACGTCTGGGACGAAATGGAGAGGAGATTGTAACGTTGGCCAAATCCTCCAGTTACGCTTCGGGATCTCCGCCAGGTGCTTCCACAGATATGGAATACCATAACACAAGACTTCTTGCGACGTTTGATTGGCTCTATGAAGCGCAGGTGTCAAACATTCATCAATGCTCAAGGTGGACATACACGTTAATGACTGTGTGAATTTCATTTTGAAATTGTGGAATGATTTTATAGCCATATTAAAAATTCTCATCATAAAAATATTAGTTGTTAATCTAACTTCAAGACAATCACAATAAATTTTGCCTTTGAGTATATTTTATTACTATAATCTGGGTCATTTTTCTGTAAAATATGTTCATTTTAGATGTTAGTCCAGACATTTGGATGTTACTATGCCTACTACGCAGTTACTATGCATCCAAATTACTGTACGAATGTGAACACTATTGTTTAACTAACCTGATGGCCATATCTGACAAAGATCTGCGGTGGATATATTTTGACAAGTAAAGGTTCTTACAAGGGAATGAAGAAGGGTGTGCAGAATTTAGCAAGGGTATGTACAGTGATGTATGTCACAAGGGTCTGTGGAGAGGCGAATGTGCCAGGGGTCCGTCGAGTGATGACCAGGGGTCCATCAAGTGATGAATGTGCCAGGGGCCATCGTGTGATGAATATATACCTATCGAGATGATATGAATATGCCAGAAGTGTATCGGGTTGATATGAATATATACGTCAGGGGTCTCTAGAGTAAAAAAGGGTTGCTATGGTGATGAATGTGCAATGGGTCGCTATAGTGATGAATGTGCAAAGGATCTATAGTGATGAATGTGCAAAGGATATCTATAGTGATGAATGTGCAAAGGGTCTCTGTAGTGGTGAATGGGGAAAGGGTCTCTATGGTGATGAATGTGCAAAAGAGTCTATGGTGATGAATGTGCAAAAGGATCTCTATGGTGATAAATGTGCATAGGGTCTCTATGGTGATGAATGTGCAGAGGGTCTCTATGGTGATGAATGTGCAGAGGGTCTCTATGGTGATGATTATGCAAAGGGTTTCTATGGTGATGAATGTGCAGAGGATCTCTATGGTGATGAATGTGCCGAAGGTATCTATGGTGATGAATGTGCAGAGGGTCTCTATGGTGATGAATGTGCCCATGGTCTCTATGGTGATGATTGTGCAGAGGGTCTCTATTGTGATGAATGTGCAAAGGGTTTCTATGGTGATGAATGTGCAGAGGATCTCTATGGTGATGAATGTGCCGAAGGTATCTATGGTGATGAATGTGCAGAGGGTCTCTATTATGATGAATGTGCCCATGGTCTCTATGGTGATGATTGTGCAGAGGGTCTCTATTGTGATGAATGTGCAGAGGGTCTCTATGGTGATGATTGTGCAAAGGGTTTCTATGGTGATGAATGTGCAGAGGGTCTCTATTATGATGAATGTGCCCATAGTCTCTATGGTGATGATTATGCAGAGGGTCTCTATTGTGATGAATGTGCAGAGGATCTCTATGGTGATGAATGTGCCGAAGGTATCTATGGTGATGAATGTGCAGAGGGTCTCTATTATGATGAATGTGCCCATAGTCTCTATGGTGATGATTGTGCAGAGGGTCTCTATTGTTATGAATGTGCAGAGGGTCTCTATGGTGATGAATGTGCAGAGGGTCTCTATGGTGATGAATGTGCAGAGGGTCTCTATGGTGATGATTGTGCAGAGGGTCTCTATGGTGATGATTGTGCAGAGGGTCTCTATGGTGATGATTGTGCAGAGGGTCTCTATGGTGATGAATGTGCAGAGGGTCTCTATGGTGATGATTGTGCAGAGGGTCTCTATTGTGATGATTGTGCAGAGGGTCTCAATGGTGATGAATGTGCAAAGGGTCTCTATGGTGATGAATGTGCAAAGGGTCTCTATATAGTGTTGATTGTCTGCTGTCGGGTGGAATAATGTGACACGGGTTTCATTCACAAACGTCCTTACTATGAGAGATAAAGAACGACCCACTATCATCATAAGTAGACTGCATGGTGATCAGCGATTGACACGACGACACACTTCAACGCCATCAATTGCAAGTGTGCTCACAGTTTACTAGGGATTCTGTTCATTGTATTTCATTGATTTGAATGCAAATAAACATTGCTCTCAATGCGATAGATGTTTGTGATGTGTTTAGGTACATGTACCAGGACCCGATCTCATATGAACTCATATATGTGCGTGCAGTTTGAGAAGCTCGTCACGCTGTTTCTTGAAAGTTTTGATTATTTAAACTCGAATCAGTTGTATTTTGAAGATTTCTTTCAAGATTTTCCAAATTGAACATAAAAGGCATTACCCGTGGTTATATCTATCTATAGGTTATTTTGAGGTTTTCGATCGACAGGAAACAAATATGACAAAAATGAAAATAAAATATTAATAGTTTATAGATAGAACTTTCCCGATCGCTTCGAAAAACAGAAATATATAGATGTTTATACGTAAATATGTTGTATTTTCTACGTAGTGTCTCACCAGAATATACTCTTCACAAAGACAACAAAACCTTTCCATACAAAATAACAATGCACTGAATGGCATATTTGTTTTATAACAAAACCTTACTCACCCAGCTAACACTTTGCCAAATAAAATAAACTGAGAGGCTCAAGTATATTTTATGTTTATTTTGACCAAATACGTAAACCATAAAACAGTGAAAGTGTTTTGGTCAACATCCCTTCTGTTACATGATACACAGGAACCGTATAAGTTGGGGCATTTTTTTGTAGCGACAGGCTATGACGAACTACTATGTAAGTTGTCTCCCTTTGATTAGTCCCCACATCTTATAATCGTGGTATATTAAGGGGACACGGGGGATTAAAGATGGGGCGAACTGCGACAGTTGCAGTCTGCACGCTCAACCAATGGGCCATGGACTTTCGGGGGAATTTACAAAGAATTCTTAGCAGTGAGTTCCTCTGATTTTGTCAACTTACCATGGTAACAGTCAAATGATTGACACGCCTTGATCAACAAGACTCAGTTGTCGTTTTCAGATTGATTATTTCGTGTAAGAAGTTGCCGCATTTGTTTGCAGGCACTTATTCTCGGAAAGAATATTCATATGTCATGTACAAATTCTATGTAATCAACTCTGCACTGGACAACAATTACCCACCCACTAATCCTCCCAACAGTGGCCATCCTGGACGAAAACCATTTACAGATTTATATTTGCCGAGGTGATGCGTGAGGGTTCAAGGGTCACTATCCAGCTTGAGGATCCTGAAGGGGGGTATCACAAATCAGTAGTCAGTACAATTTGAGCCTTTGATTTGGCTATTACTAATAGTATTAGTATTACACAGCATTCACTAGATTTTAGTTTAGTTAGGGACCACTAATAATTTATGGCCCGGGGGATGGGTGAGGGGTGTCACCCCCATTTTGTTCTGGGGAGGTAAGGGGGGTTGTCATCAATTTTGTGCACATATACTACTAGGGGGTGGTGGTGTCAGCAATTTTGTACAAACAAATATTAAAAAATTATGCTTAAAATTATGGGAAGAAGAGGGTGGGGTCATTGATATTGTACATGACATGCAGGCGGGGTCACTTACTTTGTACATAAATTGTATATCGGGGTCATTCACATTGTACATGCTTCTCCTGATGTCATTTCGATGACGGACATATGTGTTACAATGCAGGCATCCAGGAAGCCAAGAATCAGGGGGCTCGATACAGATTGGGGCCTGAGCTAGAGATCCCGTAAGTACTCCACCACAACTGCCTATCTGTTTTTACAATCAGAACACATGTGTACTGTACTGTCAAAACACACATGACTATCTGTGGTACTCCCACCACACAGCTGCCTATCAGTGGTACTGTCAAAATACATGTCTATCTGTGCTTTATCAACACACAAGTACCTATCTGTGGTACTCGCACCACACAACTGCCTAAATGTGGTACTGTCAAAACATCTGTGTCTATCTGTGGTATTATCAACACACAAGTACCTATCTGTGGTGCTGTCAGCTGACAAATGCCTGTCTTTGGTGCTGTCAGTCAAGAAATGCCTATCCGTGTTACTGTTAACACACAAGTGCCTATCTGTGGTGCTGTCAGCTGACAAATGCCTATCTGTGTTACTGTTAACACATTCAAGTGCTTTTCTAGCCTTACATCAGGAATCTAGGTTTTCATCTGGAGCCAACTCATAAGTATACGTGTAACATATAATACCTGTCTCAGTAGCTATGTATGGATTTCTGTGCTTCCAGTGGATACGCATGTGGTGATCACTTCCTCGAGAGTGACACGTTCCTGCACTCATGGGAGGTTCTGGCCGAGTTGCTGCAGTCGCCTGTGACGCAGGACATCATCTGTGACGTTGGCATGTACGTACCACCGACAAAACAAAGCCACTAATATCCAACAACACAGATTAAAATGATATACCATATTTCCTCTGATCAGCATCTGTCTTCTAACAGGTGATTGCCTGGTACAAATCAGATTGCAGCTCAATAACTTGTTGGAGTGGTATTCAGAAGTTGATGAGATGAGCACACGAGATACTTGTATGAATATGCTACTTCTTTGTTACAATGTATGCAACGATGCTAAAATCTAGATGTTATCAAGCAAGTGGTGTACAGGGCTGTAGGTAAAGCATCTATAAGTTGGCGCATACAGGCTGGTAATGTTGATGATGTTTAGACTAGGTTGATGTACAAATGAGTAAAGTTATGTTTGTACAGTTGACGTACAGGCTGGTAATGTTGATGATGTTTAGACTAGGTTGATGTACAAAGTGTGATGGTTGTGTACACAATAAGAATTTTGAAACATGAATGTTGTGATTCTGAGAAGGGCTGTATCCTCCCTCATGGTCAACCTGAACACTCACCGTCCTTAACGTCATAAGTTTGCTAATGTTTTCTGGCGTAACAGCTGATAGCTGATGGATGACAGCCAACATCTCTGCATACCATTTACTTACCATCTTTGAGCAGTTTTCAGTTGAGGAGACCTCATGTTTACTTATCAACAACCAAATCAATTGATTTTCAAAATTATCAAGCTGAAAGAACAGTTTGCAGAACCTTTGTATTTGCTTTTTGTATTGCACTTGATGCTCGCCTTTGATCGTAGCACATGCAGATCTAAAATCAAAGTATGGTACACCTTAAAGGTCATAGTAGTCCTACAAACAAACATAATTATGAAATGGATATAAATTGTTTCTGGAGGCTAAAAGTCATACGTGTTATATAAATGCTTTACTCACAGTACTGTACATCACTTGCTTGATAATAGCATTATCATCTACACCGAAATGTCACATATATTGTACTTTGTTAGTTTTATATCCATAGAATATTTCTCCCTTGTTTACAACATAATGGATCTCTACTAATGTCAAATATGGTAGATTTAATTTCTTAATTGTTTTTAATAACTCCTGAAATAACATAAAATTCTGTTCAATGTCACTAAATTAGAAGTGGCTGTAGATTTTGCAACACTATTCAAAATAATAATACCCAATCTCTAACTACTGCTATGCTTCTAATGTCCATATGTGCAGGATTTGAAGGATTACTCAAAGAATATTTGTGAAGGCAGTGATTAGGGGAAATATGGTATTTTGTTTTGTGACTTCTAAGTGATAATAATCAGTACACACCATTCATTGTATATTGAGTTTGCATAATAAACAGATAAAGGTTTTAAGTAACTGCTGGCCCTCAGGCCGGTGGCTGGTAGACTTAGTGTCAGGCCCATTGTTTCAGAGTTGTATGGTTCCTTTTGGGTTTCAGTAAATTTATGTGTGTTTATTTGTTTGGTCCTGAGGGCATCCTGATAACTTTTTGAAGTTCGAACAATGGTTAAAGAGTTGTTTTGTAACAAATTGTTCCCATTTTGTCTCCAGAAAAACTAGAAACATTCTAATAACTTGTGTTTGCCATCTTTGAGCAGTTGTCAGTAGTGGAGGCCCCATATTGTAATAACCTGTGTGTGCAGATATGTGATACCAATACCTGTCCACATTTGTCAACAGGCCAGTGATGCACAAGAATGTGTCGTACAACTGTCGAGTTATTTTCTGTAACAAGTGAGTATGTTCATCCAGATCTTGAGAATCTTGATCATCAAAGTTGCCATGTTATATCCAAAGTGGTCCTGCTTGAAACAAAACTATTTACTATGTTTCGATCTTCCGTCAGGTTGTAGCTAAGTTGGTTCATTGAGAAATGAATCACATCCCTGGATACTTGCCATTCAGGACAAACCGGATACTGTAAATCGAGAAGGTTGTCCAAGCTGAAAAGTACTGTAAAGTCAAACTTCTGTACAACACTCTACACCATCCTTCCTTGTCTAGGGGTGGTGGGGTAGCCTAGTGGTTAAAGCCTTCCTCACATGGGTACAATGCGTGAAACCCATTTCTGGTGTCCCCTGCCGTGATCTTGCTGGAATATTGCTAAAAGCAGTGTAAAAACATTCTCAGTCACTTCCTTGTCTGCTACAACAGCACTGCATTTGTACTTTAATATATGTGACAAACACTGAATTGTGTTTTCATCATACTGCTTCCTCATAGGCAGATTCAGGGGGTGGGGGTGGGTGCACCCACCTTTTGTCATGAAAGTTTATTAAATGACCATTGAAACTCTCATGAAAACAGGTGTAGATGAACTGAACTTTCTCAAAACCTAAGCATCAAATATAACACATACAGAAATAGAACTTTACAACATACTTAATGCCATTGTTAGACTCTCACAAATATTTCTTGGTTCAAATTGCTGCAGATTTAGTGGTATTGGGTAAGCAGACTAGCATGACTTTTGAAGACTGCACTCAATGACTTTCCATCTGTCAAAACGTGTGTAGGAAAGTCCTGCTGATCCGCCCCAAGAAGCACCTGTGTAATGACGGCAACTATCGCGAACCTCGGTGGTTCACAGCGTGGCGCAAACATCGAGTTTTGGAGGACCACTTCCTGCCCCGTATCATCCAGAACATCACAGGCCAGGTGAGGGAGGCAGCCATTGTAGATACTGATGTCTTTACACATGTGTAACAAGAAATATTGACATGAGTCAGGAGCGAAATGATATGATGGGTCATGAGTTTTCATGCAGCATTACATATTTCCTGTATCAATACAAAATGATACACTGGCTAAAACAGATTAGTTACTTTTCCGTTTGTTATTTAGTTATTATTTAGGGGATATAGAAACAAGGTCCATGCGTGCGTCCGTCACACTTTGTCCGAAGCATATCTCCTAAACTATTGGTGATAGCTTAACCAAACTTGGTACACATGTCAACCATGATCCCTAGATGTGCCTTTTGGCGGTAAGACCCAGATGCGAATTTTTTTTTTTGCGGTTTCCATGGAAACATGACTTAGGCTGTGACTATGAGGATGTCACCTTGTCCGGAGCAGATCTCCCCAAACTATACATGCTAGCTTCATCAGACTTGGTACATATGTCAAGCATGATCCCTAGATGTGCCTTTTGGGGTTTAGACCCAGATATGAATTATATTTTTTGCGGTTTACACCATGGAATCGTGACTTATGCTGTGGCTATGAGGATGTCATCTTGTCCGGAGCAAATCTCCTAAATTATACATGCTAGCTTCATCAAACTTGGTACACATATCAAGCATGTGCCTTTTGGGGTTTAGACCCAGACATGAATTTTATTTTTTGTGGTTTCCATGGAAACATGACTTATGCTGTGACTATGAGGATGTCACCTATCATTGAAGTATGTATTGTGATACATATCCTATCATGAAGTATGTATTGTGATACATATCCTATCGTGGAAGTATGTATTGTGATACATATCCTATTGTGAAGTATGTATTGTGATACATATCCTATCAGTGGAAGTATGTATTGTGATACATATCCTATCGTGAAGTATGTATTGTGATACATACCATATAGTGAAGTATGTATTGTGATACATATCCTATCGTGAAGTATGTATTGTGATACATACCATATCGTGAAGTATGTATTGTGATACATATCCTATCGTGAAGTATGTATTGTGAAGTATGTATTGTGATACATATCCTATCGTGAAGTATGTATTGTGATACATATCCTATCGTGAAGTATGTATTATGATACATATCCTATTGTGAAGTATGTATTGTGATACATATCCTATCGTGAAGTATGTATTGTGATACATATCCTATCGTGAAGTATGTATTATGATACATATCCTATTGTGAAGTATGTATTGTGATTCATATCCTATCGTGAAGTATGTATTGTGATACATATCCTATCGTGAAGTATGTATTGTGATACATACCATATTGTGAAGTATGTATTGTGATGCGTATCCTATCGTGAAGTATGTATTGTGATACATATCCTATTGTGAAGTATGTATTGTGATACATATCCTATCGTGAAGTATGTATTATGATACATATCCTATTGTGAAGTATGTATTGTGATTCATATCCTATCGTGAAGTATGTATTGTGATACATATCCTATCGTGAAGTATGTATTGTGATACATACCATATTGTGAAGTATGTATTGTGATGCGTATCCTATCGTGAAGTATGTATTGTGATACATATCCTATTGTGAAGTATGTATTGTGATACATACCATATCGTGAAGTATGTATTTTGATACATATCCTATCGTGAAGTATGTATTGTGATACATATCCTATCATGAAGTATGTATTGTGATACATATCCTATCGTGAAGTATGTATTGTGATACATATCCTATCGTGAAGATTGTATTGTGATACATATCCTATCGTGAAGTATGTTTTGTGATACGTACCATATTGTGATTTAGGGGATATAGAAACAAGGTCCGTGCGTACGTCCGTCACACTTTGTCCGAAGCATATCTCCTAAACTATTGGTGATAGCTTAACCAAATTTGGTACACATGTCAACCATGATCCCTAGATGTGCCTTTTGGCGGTAAGACCCAGATGCGAATTTTTTTTTTTGCGGTTTCCATGGAAACATGACTTAGGCTGTGACTATGAGGATGTCACCTTGTCCGGAGCAGATCTCCCCAAACTATACATGCTAGCTTCATCAGACTTGGTACATATGTCAAGCATGATCCCTAGATGTGCCTTTTGGGGTTTAGACCCAGATATGAATTATATTTTTTGCGGTTTACACCATGGAATCGTGACTTATGCTGTGGCTATGAGGATGTCATCTTGTCCGGAGCAAATCTCCTAAATTATACATGCTAGCTTCATCAAACTTGGTACACATATCAAGCATGTGCCTTTTGGGGTTTAGACCCAGACATGAATTTTATTTTTTGTGGTTTCCATGGAAACATGACTTATGCTGTGACTATGAGGATGTCATGTTGTTGCATTTCCATGGCAACAAGTTAGGCTTCAACTGAATTTTGTGTTAGTGCTCCTTTCTGGAGCAGATCTTAAAAATCCTTCAATACTCTCCTTCCACTTTGCTGTATACATTCCAAAACATTTGACATAATCATAACTAGTAGACATATTCAATATTATTTTGCTGTTGAGGGGGATATTGATGACTTTGTGTTCTTGTTGACCATGCAGTGTCTGTCACACGTTGAAACATACCCGTGAAGATCGGTGTTAGAATATTGATCTTCAGTAACCCATGCTTGTCGTAAGAGGCGACTACTGGGATCGGGTAGCCAGGCTCGCTGATTTGGTTGACACATGTCATCGGTTCCCAATTGCATAGATTGATGTTCATGCTGTTGATCACTGGATTGTCTGGTCCAGACTCGATTATTTACACACTGCTGCCATATAGCTGGAATATTGCTGAGTGTGGCGTAAAACTAAACTCACTCACTCACCCACACATTGAAACAATTTGTCGTAATGAGTATTTCAAGTTCACTGAAATAGCAACTACAATACATATTTCTAAAGCCAGGTTTTCCTTTTATACAAAGTTTTTGAAATGTTTATGGTAAAAACGTTTCCACGCAATTTCACATAAATATAGGTATCTCAATACGTACCATATCGTGAAGTGTGTATTGTGATACATATCCTATCGTGAAGTATGTATTGTGATACGTATCCTATCGTGAAGTATGTATTGTGATACATATCCTATCGTGAAGTGTATATTGTGATACATATCCTATCGTGAAGTATGTATTGTGATACATACCATATCGTGAAGTGTGTATTGTGATACATATCCTATCATGGAGTATGTATTGTGATACATATCCTATTGTGAAGTATGTATTGTGATACATATCCTATTGTGATACATATCCTATTGTGAAGTATGTATTGTGATACATACCATATCGTGAAGTATGTATTGTGATACATATCCTATCATGAAGTATGTATTGTGATACATATCCTATCATGAAGTATGTATTGTGATACATATCCTATCGTGAAGTATGTATTGTGATACATATCCTATCGTGAAGTATGTATTGTGATACATATCCTATCGTGAAGTATGTATTGTGATACATATCCTATCGTGAAGTATGTATTGTGATACATACCATATAGTGAAGTATGTATTGTGATACATATCCTATCGTGAAGTATGTATTGTGATACATACCATATCGTGAAGTATGTATTGTGATACATATCCTATCGTGAAGTATGTATTGTGAAGTATGTATTGTGATACATATCCTATCATGAAGTATGCATTGTGATACATATCCTATCGTGAAGTATGTATTGTGATACATATCCTATCATGAAGTATGTATTGTGATACATATCCTATCATGAAGTAAGTATTGTGATACATATCCTATCGTGAAGTATGTATTGTGATACATATCCTATCGTGAAGTATGTATTGTGATACATATCCTATTGTGAAGTATGTATTGTGATACATATCCTATTGTGATACATATCCTATTGTGAAGTATGTATTGTGATACATACCATATCGTGAAGTATGTATTGTGATACATATCCTATCATGAAGTATGTATTGTGATACATATCCTATCATGAAGTATGAATTGTGATACATATCCTATCGTGAAGTATGTATTGTGATACATATCCTATCATGAAGTATGTATTGTGATACATATCCTATCATGAAGTATGTATTGTGATACATATCCTATCGTGAAGTATGTATTGTGATACATATCCTATCATGAAGTATGTATTGTGATACATATCCTATCGTGAAGTATGTATTGTGATACATATCCTATTGTGAAGTATGTATTGTGATACATATCCTATCGTGAAGTATGTATTGTGATACATATCCTATCGTGAAGTATGTATTGTGATACATACCATATAGTGAAGTATGTATTGTGATACATATCCTATCGTGAAGTATGTATTGTGATACATACCATATCGTGAAGTATGTATTATGATACATATCCTATCGTGAAGTATGTATTGTGAAGTATGTATTGTGATACATATCCTATCGTGAAGTATGTATTGTGATACATATCCTATCGTGAAGTATGTATTATGATACATATCCTATTGTGAAGTATGTATTGTGATACATATCCTATCGTGAAGTATGTATTGTGATACATATCCTATCGTGAAGTATGTATTATGATACATATCCTATTGTGAAGTATGTATTGTGATTCATATCCTATCGTGAAGTATGTATTGTGATACATATCCTATCGTGAAGTATGTATTGTGAAACATACCATATTGTGAAGTATGTATTGTGATGCGTTTCCTATCGTGAAGTATGTATTGTGATACATATCCTATTGTGAAGTATGTATTGTGATACATACCATATCGTGAAGTATGTATTTTGATACATATCCTATCGTGAAGTATGTATTGTGATACATATCCTATCATGAAGTATGTATTGTGATACATATCCTATCGTGAAGTATGTATTGTGATACATATCCTGTCGTAAAGATTGTATTGTGATACATATCCTATCGTGAAGTATGTTTTGTGATACGTACCATATTGTGAAGTAGGTATTGTGATACATACCATAATCGTGAAGTATGTATTGTGATACATACCATATCGTGAAGTATGTATTATGATACATATCCTATCGTGAAGTATGTATTGTGAAGTATGTATTGTGATACATATCCTATCGTGAAGTATGTATTGTGAAGTAGGTATTGTGATACATACCATAATCGTGAAGTATGTATTGTGATACATATCCTATCGTGAAGTATGTATTGTGATAAATATCCTATCGTGAAGTATGTATTGTGATACATATTCTATCGTGAAGTATGCATTGTGATACATACCATATCGTGAAGTATGTATTGTGATACATATCCTATCCTGGCTGTATTGCACATCTTACATCAGCTGTTTGAATGTTGCAATTACCTGGATTTGGAGTAAAGGAAACAGTCATTGTTATCATTGATTAGACCGCCTCAGTGGTGTAGTGGTTAGATGTCCGCCCGGAGAGCGGAAGGTTGCGGGTTCGATCCCCGACATACCAAAAGACGTTAAAATATGGTACTTGTTGGTCTCTGCCTGGCACTCGGCATTAATGGGTACAACAAGGACTGGCCGGTTCAGAGTCAGTATAATGTGTCTGAGTGGGGTATTCATGCTTCACTGCGGCATGGTATCTCAGTGGGCTGGCACTATAAAACCAGCTTCAGTCTGGGCTAGTACAAGCAGCCGCACATACACATACACACCCATGCACGTCGTCATATGAGCGAAATATTCTCAAGCACGACGTAAAACCCAATTTCACCTCACTTCACCTATCATTGATAAATCTGTTTTGTATGTATTGTCTAGATTTGTGTTTCAAGATTTGTTTCTACTGTTATATGCTCAGTTGATATCATGTATTGTGTGCACTTCACAGTGGAAATGCATTGACTTGTCACAAGAGAATACGTTTTGTTTTTCTAGAGCACTGTTTCCTTTGGTGATGGTGTTTTGTCAACTCTAGACACCTGTATTGGTAGCGAGATTTGTGAGGAGCTGTGGACACCAGCAAGGTAAGTTGTTGAACAGTTCAGTAAGGGGTGTGTTGTGTCGAGATTCGGAGACAGTGAAGAATCATTATGGCGTCCTGTGTCATTTATCATATAATGTGTTTCAGTTCTCATATTGACCTGTCCCTCGATGGTGTTGAGATAATCTGCAACAGCAGTGGAAGCCATCATGAACTGAGGAAAGGCCACACACGTTTTGATCTAGTCAAACAGGCCACAGCTAAGGTAGGAGACTAGAGGTCAAGGTCACACACATTATCATCCAGTTATACAAACCACAACCAAGGTAGGAGACTAGAGGTCAAGGTCACACACATTATCATCCAGTTATACAAACCACAACCAAGGTAGGAGACTAGAGGTCAAGGCCACACCAATTATGATCTAGTCAAACATGCCAAAGCAAAGGTAGGAGACTAGAGGTCAAGGCCACACCAATTGTGATCTAGTCAAACATGCCAAAACAAAGGTAGGAGACTAGAGGTCAAGGCCACACCAATTATGATCTAGTCAAACATGCCACAGCAATGGTAGGAGTCTAGAGGTCAAGGCCACACACATTATCATCCAGTTATACAAACCACAACCAAGGTAGGAGACTAGAGGTCAAGGCCACACACATTATGATCCAGTCAAACAGGCCACAGCAGAGGTAGGAGAGGTCAAGGCCATACATCATATGACATAGTCAGACTGCCTACATACAATATTATCCCGACACAGGTCACACATTATACAATCAGGCCATAAAGAACATACAATATGTTTCAGAGAAACTGGATTTTAACTGATATATGTTCAACAATCAAAGCTGACTTATGTTTTACAGTGTGGTGGAGCGTATCTGTTCAGCAATCTGATTGGCTGTGATGGGGAGAGGGTGTACTACGACGGTGGATCAATGATCTCGGTCAACGGGGAGTTGGTGGCACAGGGACCACAGTTCTCATTGCAGGAAGTGGTGAGTGGTTGCCATGTTACAACTATGGTACTAAGAAGAATCCTGCTAGGAATCGAATATGAAACTTGTAGGTATTGCAGGATTTGAGATTAAAAGACAACATTATTGAGTGAGTGAGTTTGGTTTGAACAAAATTCCAGGTATATCACTGCTTGTCAGCTTATTGTTGGAGGAAAAGCAGAAGTGATAAAGGTAACAGATGTTTACCTCCTGCATGAAACACACTGACATTATTATAGTGACAAACAGTGTTGTCGTCTGAGGATTTGGGGGTAAATTCATAAAATAGTTTTGTAGTTAATAGTTCAAATGCGTAATGAGTGGGGTAGTTTATGGGGATTTAGGTTCACGGTAGACATAGTAGTCATGTATTCTAGAAGCTTATGCCCATGCAGGCCTGGTGCCTGGGAAGATGTCACGCTTCTTGCATGCTCGGCTTGGCAGCCAATATTAGGAGTTTGGAACTTGGATTTGAACCAAAGACCATAGCTTCTGTCATGGCCAAGGGATGCAACTCTGCCCCAGACAACTGGCCATCCAGTGTCGCTAGTCAGCACTATTACAGTTGATCTTGGGTGTAAGTTGTGTTAGTGCTAAAATACTAATCATGTCACACTTATGTTTTATAGATTGTCACCACTGCAACCTTTGACCTTGAGGATATTCGTATGTTCAAGAACTCAATTCGCAGCCGATCAGAGTCAGTAAGTCTATTACTGTTTACTGGCATTGTGAATAATATTCAGGAGTACTTTTATTTTTCCTTATCCTGACTCATGCTCTTTTGCTTGTCCCCTTCCTCTTGCGAACATAGTGGAACACTTGTATCTCCTTAATTGAAGCTCCCTTCAATGTAAAATCACTAATTGGTACTCACCCACGAGTTACCTCCCCTGCCGTAAGCGCGGGAACAGGTGTCGCCACCCTCTGGCCTCATGCTTCACTCTCTCCTTCTTCGCCCAGTGAGCAGGATGTGAGAGCGCCTGTGTCTCCTTACACACTATATCCTTTGGTTTTTCTTAGTTAGTTACCTTTTATAGTTTACTATAAAGGTATAGCTAGTATCCTTCAGTTATTTGCATTAATAATTAATCGTGATTTCTACTGTTTATTCACGTGAGTTAAATTGATTGTTCAGCTAGTTTTACATTGATGAAAAACTGTACTATTTGTAGATTACGTTTTTCGCTGCGGATCCGCATGCGGTATGCCCTAGTTGTACTCGCCTTTGTGCGTTTGACTCACGTTGCAGTTACTGCATAAATTTAACCAATTCTGCCTTTGATAAATACCATCTTTGCGTCTTGAGACGTGTTGCAGATAGGTCACGCAAACTAGGTGTAGACATGGCCGATCGTCGCCGGATTGCCCATCCAGTCAACTGCTGTCGAGTGATCCCTCCCGTCTGGTGTTCTGCTTGAGACCCCATCGGAAGAGGGACGTGGGATGCAGTCCGTCACCTCTAAGAAGCGACCGGCCTCTCCAGACATCCAGTCATCGCAGACAAAGTCCAAGAGGGCCTCAACGTCTTCTCAACGCAGACTTCGTACCCCCAGGGCAGCGTCTTCCTCCAAAGGGAAATCTACGAAGTCATCGAGAACTTTCTCAGACGAGATCGTTCCAGCAGCAGAATTGGGCCTCTACGATGACCAGCCTATCATCATACCGGACAACCGTCACAAGTGGGTGGACGTCTTCAACTACACTGGGAAAACTGGGGAATACTTCAAGACACCTATGTCTCCAACATTCTTCAACGCGGATTTCGTATCCCACTACAGGCCAAGCCTCCACTAACAGTCAACCCTCACAAGTTCGAGGTAGAGGCACAACAACTACTAAAGTTAAGAGAGGCGGTTACATTACTCCTAACCAAGCAGGCCATAGAAGTAATAGAGCAAGGAAACATCGAACCAGGTTTCTACTCCCCAGTTTTCCTAGTACCCAAGAAGAACTCCAAGGAGAAATACAGACTCATTTACAACATGAGCTTCTTCAACAAGACTTACTTAAACAGACCACCCAGGTTCACTATGATACATCTACCGCCTTCTGGCAGATGATTAAGCCCCATGGACTACATGGGCAGTATAGATCTACAAGATGCTTATCTGCACATCCCAATACATCCCGAATCCAGGAAATACCTTCGGTTTACGCTAGACGGGTTACATTACCAGTGGAAAGTACTCCCATTCGGAATAGCATCAGCCCCATGGTTATTCACGAGGATAACGAAACCGATTGTTATCTATCTACATCGTCAAGGGCTACGCGCAGCGCTTCTTCCTCGACGACGGGATACAAGTAGATCAAGATCCACAGCATCTCAAACTACAGTTAAACTACATCATAAAGCTACTAACACAGCTGGGATGGTTAGTAAACTTACACAAGTCGGACCTAGTACCATCGCAAGATCTGCAATTCCTAGAACTCGATTTATCACCAATCTCAACCGTGATAGTCGTACCAGAAGACCGTTGGCTCAAGATCCAACAGATCATTCCACCAGCTCTACTGTCACCGCTACCACTTCGACAATGGCAGAGCTTACTAGGTCTTCTAACATCAGCCCAAGACTTGACAGTCATAGGCAGATTACAGTTACGTCCGTTACAGGTCTTCGTCAATACACATCTCGGACGACCTACAACCATTCAGTCTACCGATACATCTCAGACCTCATCTATTATGGTGGACAAAGAAATCGAATGTCTGCGAAGGGATTTGTTTAGCAGAGCAGGAATTCAAGACCCATCTATATGTAGACGCGTCGCTCCAAGGTTGGGGAGCTCATCTCTCCAACCGGACGGCATCAGGGTTATGGACTCAGCTAGAAAGCAAACTCCACATAAAGCATTAGAGATGAAAGCTGTAATCAACGCCATAAGACATTGGAGCAACATTCTACAGAATGCGCACCTGATGATACATACCGACAACTCGACAGTGGCGTTTTATGTGAACAGACAAGGCTCAACGAGATCGCCGAACCTTTTGAATTTAACCTTTCAACTGTTGAATTAATCCAAGATCTAAATCTACATGTCAAAGCATGCCACATTCCCGAGCCAGGAATATACTAGCAGACGCACTCTCTCGGCCACATCTACCGTCGCCGACAGAATGGATGCTCAATACAGAGATATTTGCACAGATAATCAAGCAAATAGGAGCCGCTAGTAGATCTATTCGCCACAAGGTTCAACAATCAACTACCGACACATTCGTGTCACCAGTGCCAGACCCACAAGCATGGGCAACAGACGGCTCTAAGCATTTCATGGAAGGCCTCAATGCGCATCGCGTTCCGCCCCAGCAATAATACCTCTAGTATTACAGAAAATCAACCAAACGCAGAGCCTACAACTCACTTTGGTCGCCCTATTGGCGGCCAGAACGTGGTTTCCATTTTAATACAAGATATCGGTCAACCGGCACTAGAACTACCCAAAGCGCCAAACCTGTTAATACATCCTCACACCAAACAGGTGCACAGAAACCCAGAAGTATTCAAACTTCACGCATTATGGACTGTATTAAAATGTGTTTAAACAAGAGAGGATATTCTACCAGGGCGCAAAAGCGGTCACGCTTGCCTTACGATACTCAACGCAGAACTTGTAATACGATGACAAGTGGCAAAGTTTGAAAATTATGCAACAAACAAGGGTTTTACAGCGAGAGATGCTACGCATCCTCAAGTGGCAGACTATTTGTGTTACTTACGGCAAAACAAACATTTAAAAGGCTCGACATTGTCAACATATCTTGCCGCACTTAGTTCTGTGATTTCTATGAGAACGGGTGTTAAATTAACAAGAACACCAGAGTTACTGGCCTTACTACGTGCTTTCCGATTGGAGGACCAAAAGCGGAAATTCCACGCCCCAGCTTGGGATCTGAATGTAGTTTTACGACACCTCACAAGTGAGGATTACGAACCATTGGAATCGACAACGTTTGAATTTTCTCACAGAAAACAGTCTTCCTGTTATCGCTAGCCACGGCAGCCAGAATATCTGAAATTCATGCTCTAGATTATGAGAGGATACAGTTTGATGAAAATCAAAAGACAGCGCACCTGGGATTAAGATGGGATTTCATCGCCAAAAATCAACTACCAGGTCAACCAGACAGATTATTTCACATCCCTGCGCTATCCTCAATTCTTGGATCTCAAGATACATTGGACTTATCTCTATGCCCAGTACGAGCTCTCATAATCTATTTACGTCGTTCCAAAACAAGGCGAAGATCGCTCAGAAGATTGTTCATCCCGTTATCGCCTACAAATCAGACAGAAGTCTCTCGTACCACCATATCAATATGGATAAGAACTGTCATTTTACGCGCCTATAAGGCAGCAGGACTGGACCCTCCAACAGCATCAAATCCCCATGAAATCAGGGCATTGGCATCCACCCTCGCCCTTCATGGTAACTGTTCATTGAATACAATTATGGAAGGATGCTTTTGGAAATCTAACATGGTGTTTGCTAATCACTATCTCAGAGATATCACCACCGAGGGCGTCTCTGGCATTCATCATTTCGGTCCTTTGGTCCCCTCGCCAGCAATTGACAGTCCCTCGTGAGGGCGTTAATATTCACCCCCACGAGATTATTACATATATGATACATATATTCACTAGCTTATAACTCCATGGAGTTCTAGGGCTATGTACATATTTAGCTTAGGTTATTCAACCTTAAGCTCATACTGAGTTATATTCAGTGTACAGCTACGTTAGAGTAGCAGTTTATATATATATATTGATATATCAGTATATTAGTAAGGTAATACCCCACTTATAGTGTATATATCTATGGCTTATTATAAGGAAATATCCTAAGTCTCAATGCCTTATGAAGTTCCCGCAGGGGTTATTACAATATCACTTACTTAAATCACTAATTAATCCAAAGTATTCTGTTTACCCACCACCTCTCCGGTGGATTCTACAAGCAAAAGAGCATGAGTCAGGATAAGGAAAAATATGTAATTTTCTGAGTAAAATTGATATTTTATACTTATCCTGACTCATGAGGTTAGCCCTCCCATCCTCCCCACATAACACTTTGGATTTCCCTGTAAATTCAAGTGTTGGGCTCGCAAAATCAGGAGAGAGTGAAGCATGAGGCCAGAGGGTGGCGACACCTGTTCCCGAGCTTACGGCAGGGGAGGTAACTCGTGGGTGAGTACCAATTAGTGATTTTACATTGAAGGGAGCTTCAATTAAGGAGATACAAGTGTTCCACTATGTTCGCAAGAGGAAGGGGACAAGCAAAAGAGCATGAGTCAGGATAAGTATAAAATATCAATTTTACTCAGAAAATTACATTTCTGTACATGGAACAGTTCATTAAAAAACTAGCAATTATGTATATTATTGCTGGACTTATATTCCAGATATTGATTGCTCTAAAACACTAATGTCCTTGGGAGTAATTGTTTTTCTTGGGGGGCGGTGAAAAAAGGAAATAATAAAGCGTATGACTTTATGGACAAAGGCTTCTTGTTTATTCAAACAAGGAGTTATTGACTCACCAACTTCTAGAATGCCAATCCAAAAATCAAAAACATAAAAAAAGGAAGTACTACAGAGCTACAGATAACGTTTTGGGTCATTGAGTTATGTACTCGCTTCTGTTCATCTCAATTGGGTATTCTAATTTTCCTTTGAGTAGCCAAATAAATTGTACTCCCCTCACCTACGCTCAATTGGGTATTTTACCATTTTCCATTAATTTTAAAAATATAATAAAGTTTAAATGTTAGTGTTTGTTATTTATATTTGATCTGTAAAATGAGAAACGCGAAGAAAGACTGCAAGTTGTCAAGTTCATGTCCTGAAATAGAACCTCTCAATATACCTCAGTTATTTCATCTATCCACACGTACGCAAGCTAAGATTTGACATTTTTGTGTGTACGCATGTAAGATCGCATTTATTGAGTATTTACAAAGATTCAAGCGTACTTGTACGCAACAGACTTAATAGGAATTGAGTTTTCACATAAATATTTGCATAATTTACGCAGATATGCAGCTTATTTGTACCTCAGGTACTAGAAGCTGTACCAATTTACACTTGTCAGAGGGGCACACAAAGTATGTGATCTAGACTATAGGTTATCAGATTTCCAGTTTTGTGGTTGCTGAGTGGGTTAGATCACTGACTTTGTGTGCCGAGTGTCTGACCCCTAAACATGGGAATGACTGACTGTGTACTTCTCCCCACAGGCAAGCCTTGCACCCATTTACCCAAGGGTCACTGTGGACTTCTCACTGTCGGATGGGGAGGAATACAATCTGAAACCTGTCACTGACCCTGTGGAACCCCATCGTCATAGTGCTGAGGAGGAGATCAGGTAACCATAGAAACTATAGATGCTTATATATGTGGCCATATGGCTTCCATTGAATCAAGTTCATTGTCACGTCTAATTTAGATGGTTGGTTCTAGCAATATAACTGCAGCGTAACACCAGGAATTGGCTACAGACTTTGTCGGGGATGACCCCAGTAGCAAGGAACACCAGAAGTAGGCTGAACATTTTGTGCATTTGTGGGAGCTAAAATAATGTCTCCAATGAGACAAGAGAGTGGTTTACAAGTACATTACCCCACCATCCTGTTTGCTACCCGTGAAGATCCTGGTTAGAATTGGTCTTCAGCAACCCATGCTTGTCATAAGAGGCAACTAACGGGATTGGATGGTAAGGCTTACTGACTTGGTTGACACATCATCATGCCCTGATTGCATAGATCAATGCTCATGCTGTTGATCACTGGATTGTGTGGTCCAGACTCGATTATTTACAGACCGCTGTCATATAGCTGGAATATTGCTGAGTGCAGCGTTAAGCAATAATGCAACAAACCAACCATCCTGTTCACACAAACCAGGTGTCATGCAGAGTCTTGTCTGATACAGTGCCCAAAACCCATCCTAGAATATTTGATTTACTACTGATACCCAAGACTCTGTTGTTGATGTTGCTGCTGTTACTGTTGCTGCTTGTAGCCTTGGTCCAGCGTGTTGGTTGTGGGACTACCTACGTCGCAGTCGACAGGGGGGCTTCTTTCTGCCCCTCAGTGGGGGTGTTGACAGTTCCAGCACAGCCTGCATCGTCAGCTCCATGTGTCATCTCGTGTGTCGGGCCGTCCAGGCAGGAGGTGAGTTGGGATGGGCTGGTTGACAAGGAGAAAAGTAGGAAATTCTGATTTTAATCAGAAGAAAATAGACTTACACATTTTGGAAAATATTTTCACAATATTTTATGTTTAATTTTGTTTTGACCTTGTTTTGACCACGTTCTTAAATTCTCTCAAAATGCATATTAGGATCTGTAAACATGTTCTCTGAAATTGCCAGACTGACGGAGCTGAACTTGTATGTTTCAGCCTGTGATGAGATCATATAATGTTCAAATCAGAACAATTAAACACATGTTGTGGTTTCTGCACTTATGTGAGACTGAATTTATATTGGCACTGAGCTCTTTGTATTTGGATGAGTTATAGCAGATACAATGTTAAGATGTATTCCTTCAATCAGTTATTAAAACTTATCTGAATACTTTAAGAGGACAGGTTATCTGCAACAGTATTAGAGCTGACATGAGTCCAAATTAACTACCGGGGGTACTTGTACCCCTATTACTTGATCGTACCTGCTTTAGATCTCAAGTTTGGAACAATAGATCAGATCAGGAATTGTTTCAACTAAGCAGTGGGAAAATCTAATCAGATACATGTATATAACGATCTGATCATGAGTACACCAGGGATTTACCTGGAGTCCTGTATTTGAGGGTCCCAGGGACTCCTACTCGTAATTTTCAGGGGTCCTGGACAACAAAATGGGGGTCCCAGACACTTAAATATTATTATTAATACTGTTATTGTATTGTGTATCATGATCATCACACATTGTTACAGTAATTAAATTGCAAATAATACCATAACCAAGCTAGTAACAAACTCAGTGAAAACTTATTGTCACTTAATTGGAATTATTACAAAAAGTATTTGGACTATTTTGAGTCCCTGTGGACGCGGTAATAAATTTTGTTGCATCCATTGTCAATTTTTATGAGTATAGGATGCAGGAATTCTGTATCCTGTAAATCCCTGAGTACACTGAAGTTGACTGAAGCTTTTCACAAACTTATGAAAGTCAGAAGGAATGCATGCATTAAGAAATGTGAACATTGGTGTGGTGTAACCATTTAGTTTTAATGTTATTGTCATTAAACAACATATCAAGTGACTAACCATGTGACCAGGTAGGACTGTGGACACCCTGCCCCTAGACAGGACCTACCTGGCCAGAGTTACCCACGCCAACACTAGTATAATAATATATGCCTGCTATGTGTCATTGCCAGACAAAACAGTCCTGGAAGATGCTCAGCGATTGGTTGGGGAGGAGGACTATGTCCCCAGTGACCCCCGTGACCTTGCCAGTCGGATATTCACCACCTGCTACATGGCTTCGGAAAACAGCTCGGAGGAGACGCGCAACAGGGCCGTGGGTCTGGCTCAGCAGATAGGCAGGTGGGTCTCATCTACACTGTGATGCAGTTAGTGAAAGAGTAGAAGCCTTTGTATCTGTGTGTCAGCTCCATCACAGTGACCAGTTTCTAGACCTGGTTCAGGCAAACCACTGAGTGAAAGTGTGAGCATCAACCGTAAGGTGGTTGTCCCAGCAAGATTGACCTCCTCATTGCTCTAGTGGGTGAAGTGTCTGCATGGAAAGTGGAATGTCGATAGTTCGCTGGCTGTCATACCAAAAGGATATGTTACTTCTTGTTTCCCTGCCTGCCAGTAGACAAGAAGGCAATAAGACAAAGATTGGTTGGTTCAGAGTCCGTATACTGAGTATGTTTGTGGGATATTGCTATAAAGCAACATAAGTCTGCAACCATAAACTATATGACTACATTAATCTTGACCTCGATGTTCAGTCCCCTCACATCTCGCAGGGGCAGTGGGGTAGCTGAGCGGTTAAGGCGTTCTCTCGTCATGCTGAACACCCAGGTTTGATTCCCCTCATGAACACAATGTGTGAAGCCCATTTCTGGTGTTCCCTGCCTTGATATTGCTGGAAGATTGCTAAAATTGGTGCAAAACTCACTCACTCACCCACTTTACTGACAAAACAATCTCAATTGAATAAAGTGAGTGTAAAGACTTGATTGAACAAACAAACAACATGTTTCTGCTTCAGATACTAACTTCACAACCAATCATGTTATCTGCACACTTAGCAGCTATAATTCGTAGCATGTATGACTTTCACCCGAAACTTTCATGATAGTACACAGCATCTGTTACTTTCAGCTACCACCTGAACATCAACATCGACGTGGCAGTGAAAGCTATCCTCACCATCTTCACCACTGCTTGTATGGTGGTCCCGAAGTTTAAAGTTCATGGTGGTGGTCTGAGAGAAAACTTGGCTCTGCAGAATGTTCAGGTTGGCATCTCGTCATCTGGAACATCAATTTCAAAGGGAAACCCATTATGTTCTGGATTAGAATTGGTCTTCAACATCCCATGCTTGTTGTAAGAGGTGACGAATAGGGAACAAGTGGTCAGGCTTGCTAATTGCATAGATTTCAGCTTATGGCATCATTCATAGGAATGTCTGGACTAGATCAATTACAGACCTCCGTCATATAGCTGGAAATTTGCTGAGTGTGGCATTAAACAACAAACAAACAACAAACGCTAATGGGATTGTCTGTACATTCAGTGGTTTGTGGCACTGGTGTCCATTTTCTTATGTATCATATTGCAGCCTCTACTACCAACATATGTATTGTAACACAATGAAAACTCTAGGAGTGACACCTTGAACCTTACTTTAAAGTCTCCATTGGATGTCATCCTTTAGCTTTTCAGGTTAGAATTCGTCCCTAGCTACCTATTCTCATCAAAAGATGCAACATAATGGATTAGACCTATTGACTTCGCAGTGAACTACGAGGGCATGAATCAATTCTCGTAATACTTATCACTGGATTGTCTGGTTCAGATTCAGATTTTGATTCTACTGTCATAAAGTTAATAGTTAATAGACACACTCACACACATGGGCGTCGGTGTCGGTCTGGATGTTTACCGTCTTACACTTCAGGCCCGTGTCAGGATGGTTCTCGCCTACCTGTTTGCTCAGCTGTGTCTGTGGGCCAGGGGACGGTCAGGCGGACTGCTCGTACTGGGCTCGGCCAATGTGGACGAGAGGTGAGAATCTTCTTCACATTTGCAGTTATAAAATATGCTGAACAACAATTTTGCATCTTAAAATCCAGCTGCTATTCAGTGAGAATGTAATGTAATCAGAATATTCATCAAGGCAGTGGAAGCCGCTATTCAATTAGATGAGAGATGCTCCTGACACTGTTCCTGTGCTCCCCAGTTTGCGTGGATATATGACGAAATATGACTGCTCCAGTGCTGACATCAACCCCATCGGGGGCATCAGTAAAACAGACCTCCGTCGCTTCATCCAGTTCAGCATCAATAGGTACAAGCTGACTGCACTGGCCAGGTAACTACCTCCTACAGTTGATGTATGGCTGCAGCTGATTTATAGAACGCACAGCCATTGTTGGTGTTTTGTTTTATACATGTGTTGTGTGATCTCACAGAAGAGAAGAAAACATTGTACACTTGAAATGATTTTTTTTCCAAAACATCACAGTCTTCCTAGATAACAGAAAGATAGCAGTGTGCCTGTCACTTGTGTGTTGGGCCATATGCAGCTGTCGCAGAGCTGATGACAGTGCTCTGTGTAAAGTGGTCTGTCATGTTGTGTCTGTCTGTTACAGCATCTTGAAGCCCACCCCTGCAGAGATGACAGTCTGTAAAGTGGTCTGTCATGTTGTGTCTGTCTGTTACAGCATCTTGACGCCCACCATGCAGAGCTGGTGACAGTGCTCTGTGTAAAGTGGTCTGTCATGTTGTGTCTGTCTGTTACAGAAGAAGATAGGGTTGACTGGCTAGCTGGATCCCCTTACTAATGGATGGGGCCAGATTGATGGATGGAAACAGATGAGGTGAGGCAGCTGAACGGAAGATGGGTGGATGGATTGACTGGATGGACGGGGTTCAATAGATGGATGGGTAGTTGGATGGATGGATGGGTAGTTGAGATGGATGGATGGGTAGTGGATGGATGAATGGATGGATGGATGGATGGATGGGTTAATGGATGGATGGATGGGTAGTTGGATTGATGGATGGATGGATGGATGGTAGTTGGATGGATGGATGGATAGTTGGAAGTTGGATGGATGGATGGGTAGTGATGGATGGATGGGTAGTTGAATGGATGGATGGGTAGTTGAGTTATGGATGGATGGGTAGTTGGATGGATGGATGGATGGAGATGGATGGATGGATGGATGGATGGATAGATAGTGGATGGATGGTAGTTGGATGGATGGATGGGTAGTTGTGGATGGATGGATAGCTGGATGGATGGATGGATGGTAGTTGGATGGATGGATGGGTAGTTGGATGGATGGGATGGATGGATGGATGGATGGATGGGTGGATTGGATGGATGGATGGGTAGTATGGATGGATGGATGGATGGGTAGTTGGATGGATGGATGGGTGGGTGGTTGGATGGATGGATGGGATGGATGGATGGATGGTAGATGGATGGATGGGTAGTTGGATGGATGGATAGTTGTAGTTGGATGGATGGATGGGTGGAGATGGATGGATGGATGGATGGATGGATGGATGGAGTTAGATGGATGGATGGGTAGATGGATGGATGGATGGATGGATGGTTGGATGGATGGATGGGTAGTTGGATGGATGGATGGATGGGTAGTTGGATGGATGGATGGGTAGTTGGATGGATGGATGGATGGGTAGTTGGATGGATGGATAGGTAGTTGGATGGATGGATGGATGGATAGATGGATGGATGGAGTTGGAATGGATAGTTGGATGGATGGATGGTAGTTGGATGGATGGATGGGTAGATGGATGGATGGATGGATGGATGGATGGGTGGTTGATGGATGGATGGATGGATATGGATGGATGGGTAGTTGGATGGATGGGAGTAGTTGGATGGATGGATGGATGGATGGATGGATGGATGGATGGATGGATGGATGGATGGATGGATGGATGGATAGGTAGTTGGATGGATGGATGGAGTAGTTGGATGGATGGATAGGTAGGTAGATGGATGGATGGATGGATGGATGGATGGATGGATGGATGGATGGATGGATGGATGGATGGATGAAGATGGGTGGATGGATGGATGATGGTTATAGATGGATGGATGGGATGGATGGATGGATGGGTAGTTGATGGATGGATGGATGGGATAGGTAGATTGGATGGATGGATGGATAGATAGGTGGATGGATGGATGGATAGGTAGTTGGATGGATGGATGGATAGGATAGATGGATGGATGGATAGGTAGTTGGATGGATGGAGGATGGAATGGATGGATAGATGGATAGATGGATGGTAGTAGTTGGATGGATGGGTAGGTAGTTGGGTGGATGGATGGATGAGTACCGGTAGTTGGATGGATGGATGGGTATTTGGATGGATGGATTGTTGGATGGATGGATGGGTATTTGGATGGATGGATGGGTAGTTGGATGAAATTATACCTGATGGATGGATGTTTTCTTGATGGATGTATGGACAAACGTAGTTATATTGATGGGGTGATTGACAATTTATGGATGAAAGCATGGATGGATTTGATGGTGGATGGATGGATTGTTGATTAATTGATGGATGTTTTGATTGAAGATGGAAAAATGCTTTGATTAGAGATGGATTGAATGATTACCTGATGGGTGGGTTAGAGGGTTGTAATTTGACATTAAAAATTGTTTGGTTGAATGGGTTGAAGGATGGATGGATTGATTGATGGATGGGTTTATTGCATTAATGGATGTCTTGGTTAGTGGATGGATCGGTTTGTTGATGGATGGATTTATAGATTGGTTGATGAATGGATGGATGAGCTAGAGGGTGAAAATTTGCCTGATTGGTTGCAAGAGCTGATGGTTGATGGATGGATCACTTCCACCATGTTTCATAAGCTGTATGTGTTCACTCTGCAGGAGGACATGGGGATGTCGTATGATGAGTTGTCAGTGTACGGGAAGCTGAGGAAGCAGAGGTTTTGTGGGCCGTACAGCATGTTCTGTAAGCTGGTCCACCTCTGGCGGGACAAGCACACCCCCACCCAGGTGAGTCAGCAGTGTTACTCGTTGGGACACATCTAAGTCTAGTAGGGGAGTAGCACACAAGCAGTGTATTAGTGTATGACGGCAAGTAGCTTCTCAAGAAATCTGTTTGGACACACAACATTTTAAATCAAATTGTCCATTCAAGTTTGGTGCTTTACACTTTCTGAAGTATACATATTTAGGCAGGGGTAAAGATGGCACAACCAATTCCTTCACTTCAAACATATTACACAGATCCCAAAACGTCTTGTCAACACTCAGGGTGCCTGTTACCATGGTTACCAATCAGAGTTATCTGTCCTTGATCCTTTACTCTCCTTATTTTCACACAAGAAGATTCACATGTGCCCTCTTTCAAGGTGTTATGTCCTTAAACATCGACCATTATACGATTGAAATGGAGAAGAAATTTGTGGCATTAGGATAAGTATACCAGCATCATGACTTTCCAAGTCATGTAATTGTTGTCCTTCTTGGTCTTGATAATTATTGATGTCTCCATTCTCCCTATAGCCAGGACAGAATGTTTTAGGCAGATGGTACATACCTAATATTCACACTAACATTTCTGCCACCAGATTGCAGACAAAGTGAAATTTTTCTTCCCGGTCGTACTCCATCAACCGACACAAGATGACGGTGTTGACTCCATCGTATCATGCAGAGAGCTACAGCCCTGATGACAACCGCTTCGATCACCGCCAGTTTCTCTACAACGCCCAGTGGCCTTGGCAGTTTGCAGCCATTGACAGAGAGGTAGAAGAGTCACTTGAATTACTGACTTAGAACCATAACTCATTAGCCCTGTAACTAGACTACATTGTGTGCTGCCAAGTGATGAATGACCATGAACTCGGGGACCATAGACTTCTTTTTAGCAGTGTTAGGTAGTGTTGACAATGCCAGGAGGTTCAACAGGTCTTATCAAGAGCCCCTTTTTTACTTTTAACCCTACACCAATCCACATACGAAAGGTAAGCTGGCAACTGAAATACTGTTGACTGTAGTATCTCTCAGGGGGACACAGGTGCGAGGTGCTACATTCTCTCACAACTAATCTTTGGTTTTGTTTGGTTGTTGTTTAATGCGGCATTCAGCAATATTCCAGTTATAGTCCGTTTGGCTCAAAAGCGGACCGATGAATTGCAATCTAACTCGAAAACTAATAAACATAACATACTCAATGAAGCGCTGATCATAATCAAAACATCATACCCACTCTGTGGGGTTTTTGCAGAAATTTTGTCCTAAAAATAATAAAGTTGTTTAACAAACTATCATTAAAATATTGATACAGTTCACTGTTTGTTACGAGGGAGGAGTGCAGAGAAAGGGACAGCCAGGTGTTCGAAGAAAACGTTCACAGACAGTTATTTATTCATTAACCTGTGCTGTGCCGTCTCCATCCGTTCTCGAACACCTGGCTGTCCCTTTCTCTGCACTCCTCCCTCATAACAAACATGGGCACAATGTGTTAAGCCCATTTCTGGTGTCCCCCGCCGTGTTATTGCTGGAATACTAGTATTGCTAAAAGCGGCGTAAAACTAAACTCAGTCAGTCAGTCGTAACAAACAGTGAACTGTGTCAATATTTTAATGATAGTTTGTTAAACAACTTTTTTATTTTTAGGACAAAAATTCTGCAAAAACCTCACAGAGTGGGTATGATGTTTTGATTATGATCAGCGTTTCATTGAGTATGTTATGTTTATTAGTTTTCGAGTTAGATTGCAATTCATCGGTCCACTTTTGAGCCAAACGGACTATATATGACAGCGGCCTGTAAATAATTGAGTCTGGATCAGACAATCCAGTGATCAACAGCATGAGCATCGATCTACGCAAATGAGATACGATGACATGTGTCAACCAAGTCAGTGAGCCTGACCACCCGATCCCGTTAGTCGTCTCTTATGGCAAGCATGGTTTGCTGAAGACCAATTCTAACCCGGACCTTTACGGGTCCTCACACCTAAGGTGTAGTATTAGGACAGCAGAGTTCCATAGCCAATTAATCCTCACATTGAATCCCATTTTCACATTGATGATCCTTGGTCTAGTATAGTTAAACGGAGGAAACAAATTCATAAAACTATGGATCTTAATATTCATATCCAAACCTTTGTTGTTGGATGTTGCCTGATTTGAAGTGGTTCATGACAAATTTTTGATAGAAAATGTTTAGAATTTGAGGTAAATGATCAAGATGGGCTGCTTCTGTATTGTATGTCCCACAAACACCCTTCCAGTCTGTTGTCTGTTTTAAAAGGCAAAACGGATCTCTGATTGTTGGAAGAAAAACCCTGGATTGATGCAAGCACGGAATTCTGGGAAAAGTGATGGCAGCTCCCGATCCCCCATCAGCTCTACTCGCTGGGGAACCAATGACTCAAACAGTGCATCCAGGACGGGACAAGCAGGCAGCTCCATCATGGGCGTCACTGTGTCCACAGATGTTGTGGATGTCAAACTCGAACCCGTGGACACAACCGCCACCCTTCCAGAGCCAGACGTTATTTCCAGTGATTCAGTCAGAGACACAACTCAGGATGATGGGCTTACCCATGATCCTCTCTGTCTTCAGGTCAACAGGAAGAGATCAGGTCTACAGGTGGGTATAGTGGACACGTTTGGCGGAGAAAGAATAACATGATGAGTTTAAAGTCGTAAGCGGAAGCAAGATATTGTAGTTACCTCACGATTTATGTCATCAGTGCATCAGCTTTTTTGATGAAATTGTGTAATTAGCAAGTCTGAACTGGACAAGTAATTCATACAGTCTGGATATGTCCCATTCAACCAATCAAACTTGACCGTCGGCTCAATATGGCCACCTTTTGCAACAAGCTATTAACTCATTAAGGTCTAGAGCTGCATATGTGTGACAAATTAATTAGCTCCTCACAGCGAGTTACTCGTATCTGTGTCAGGTAATAAGCAGTTTCTCACAGCGAGAGCTGCAATAGTGTGACAATAGAAAGCACCTGTTACTTAGCGAGAGCCACACATGTGCGTTCTTACTTTTTTTTTATTGCAATATACCCATTATTTCAACCAATTTAGTAGTACTGAGCAAAGATTAGTATTTCTTACGAGAGATGCTGAACTTAATGTTGATCACAGGATAGTGTTTTGATCGCAATTACTAAACATCATCATAGGCTTATACAGTGTTTGGTAAATGAACACATGTCTGCGAGAATGGGGATTATGAGATGTCTTCACAGAGGAAAGTTTTGGGTACTCTTCATTGGGAATGGATGCTAAAATGCTTTTTATGCACATTGATTGAATTAGATGTAATGTTTTAGAGGTTTGAGGTCGTGAGAAGACTGGATTATGCCTATTCCTACTTAGATGTATAAAATACCTGGTCTATTTACATAACATTATAGGAAGGCGATCGCTGAATATATGAAATACAATGCACTTTCAGAGAGAAAGAGGGTAAAAAGAACACTACAAGTTCAGTTAGTTTTTGTTAAGTCAGCTTGTTTGCAGAAAATTTTCAATTGAAGATATTTAAGGAAGTGAAAGAAATAGCCAATAGAAATCAAACCAGTTCCAGGGCATGAGAAAGAGGAAGAGAGTCTCCACCGAGGATGAAGCAGGGACGTCTCACTGGCCATCGTCGTCTAAGAAGAGGGGACGATGCCGACAGTGCTCCAAGGCTGGCAAACGACGAGAGATCAAATACAGATGCTCAAGCTGTGATGTGTATTTGTGCGTGGACTGTTTTGAGGCTTACCACAAGGGGGCAGTGAGGTAGCCTACTGGATGAAGTGTTTGTTCATCATGCCGAAGACCCGGGTTCGATTCCCCACGAGTACAATGTGTGAAGCCCATTTCTGGTGCCCCCCACAGTGATATTGCTGGAATATTGCTAAAAGTGGCATAAAGCTAAACTCACTCACTTAGCACAAGGAGTTTTTCAAGGACAATATGTGTTCTGAAATATGACAATTGGTGTGATGATCATGTCATACCTATACATCCTTTGTACGTCACGTCTCCCATTTCAATGTATTCCTTGCAAGTTTATAGAATATAATAACTCAGTATTGTGTCACTTCTAGAATTCTATACTACATGTACTTTGTAACACATGTTATATTTGGGATTACACTGTCTTAGTAAAGTACAGATTCTAGTACTTTTGTTGGGTTGAGTCCCATGCGGGATTCGAACCCACACCCTCAGTCAGGCACCTTATCGCCAGCACACAAAGTCAGCCGCCTAACTTGTGTGGAAGTAAAAACAACGCTACAAAATGACCACTTTCTAAATGGCATTGTGTTATCATACATGTACTTTACTATGAATATTCATTCATGTCAAGGTGCAGATTATATTTAAATGTACAGCAAACCATTATGTTTTATGTGCTAATTGTGTGACATCAATCCAGCTGTACCAGATGTTATATTTTGGATTAAACTTACTCAGTAAAGTACAGATTCTTGTACTTTTGTTGGGTTGAGTCCCATCCAGGATTCGAACCCACACCCTCAGTCAGGCACCTAATTGCCAGCACTCAATGTCAAACACCTAACCCGCTAAGCCACCGCGGGTGACATTTGACCGCTTTCTAAATGACATTGTGTTGCCATCAATCAAGCTGTTGACATAGACACAAATAATGCAGGTATAGTTTTTAACGTACTGATATGGTTGTTGTCAGTGGATGACGTTGGCCGACACAGCCAGTGTGAAGAGAGGCAGGTGTAGTCACCATCAGCAGTCAGATCCTGTGGGACCCAGCAACCAGGGACTGGACATGGAGACGTGGAGATACAAGAGTCTGGATGGCAGAGCTGGACAGGATGTGGATAGACTTGCACTGCATTGTGGGATGGAGATGCCATGTGACGCTGTAAAGCTCCACACAGTGTTGTGTTCCTGATCAAGTTATTGCTAGTGGTAGTATGAAGAGCTGAATCCTATGAGTGATTGTGAGCTTGTGTGCTTGTGTAGGACATATTATATATATACAGAGGTTTTCTATTTTCCAAAATTGGTGCCACATGTGTAACCTAGTCATCCTACTTGAACAGGCACTGGTGACCCTGTCATGTGAGGTGCCTCGGTTCTCTGTGCCTGTCCTGTCACTGAGAGTTGCTTCCCTTGGGCAGTAGGCTTGAATCCAAGATTGACCTGATTGTGTACAGTAAGTAGACATAGGTATTTGTCACCACACAAAATGCTGAGCAGTACGTTTAACAAAACAATAACAAGGCATGAAATATATTTAGAACATGTATGTCGTTTGATTGCCCAAGTTGTGGGAGTAAAGGTATGCAAATCAGGCAAATTAAGCAGAGCCCAATAAGAAAGTATTGTAAAAGCATCAAAACAGGTGAAAATGGTTAAGAATATTCATCATACCAAGAGCAACCATCAACAGTATAATTATCAGAAAATATGGGCAAGTTGGTTATGTGGATAATTTGGAACTACGGTAAGTGGGATATATTGTCATTGGAGAAGAGATGACTTCTTCCTTGATCACAGTGCAAATGTCATAGATCTACCCACATTTTAACCTGGATTTTGTCATATTCACATGTAAGTTTCTATGAAAAGATGGATGAACATGAACATAAAACACTGGCTAAAGTGTCATTGTATAAACCTCGATCTCTCACTACAGAGAACTTTATCTCGGTCATCAAAGGGTATTATTGTAGGTTTCTTCAGTCTGTCAAGTGCAGATTATTGCAACATTCCATCAACATCACGGCAGGGGACACCAGAAATTGGCATTGAACATTGTATGCTTGTGGGGAATCAAACCCAGGCCTTCGGCATGACATGTGCATGCAACAACAACCCCCTAGATCAGAGATCTCATAGAAACATGTAAGCAGCGTGTGTATTTATTCAGCTTCAAGCAGCTATCCCGATGAACTGATTCTTTTGTCTGGTCAAGGAAACATAAAATATATCGTCTATCATATTATTAACGTTTATGTATAATGAAATGTTTGTGATGTTTTGTCAAAAAGCAAGACTTCCATACTAACAACTGTTTATGTTGCTGATGTGTAAGAATAATTTGTTACGCCCGATTGTAATGTTTTTGTCTGTACATGTACTCCAATTCACTGAAACTTTGTTATCCTGTTCTCCAGCCTGTGATGTTTTTTTGTGTATCTGATAAGACCATGAATATTTTGGACTCGTTATTGTTTTTGTCTGCAAAACTGTACATGTATTCCAGTACATTGAACCTTGTTAACTGTTTATGAAACTTTGAGATAGCCTACGAACTTTGTTAATGAAAGTGTTCTTCGTAGTTCAGTGATAGTGTTAAATCCATTTCATAATGTCACACACTCGAAAACATATCAAGATTGAGGAATCGCAGGTAATAATGTTGTGCTGTGCATTTTTCTACTTTAATAAAAATGAGGTTTCAGTGAAGACTCATGTTATTTTAACATTAACTCTACTCCAGTTTGGCTTGCTTCTGATCATGTGATACAAGACTTTTCATGTACTAATGTACTGAAAATACTTACCCTCCCTAATCCTTGTTATATTTTAGTGTTACACCCCATGAAGAGTGAGTGAGTGAGTTTTGTTTTACGCCGCACTCAGCAATATTCCAGCTATATGACGGCGGTCTGTAAATAATCAAATTTGCACCAGACAATCCAGTGATCAACAGTGTGAGTATCAATCTACACAACTGGGATATGATGACATGGGTCAACCAAGTCGGTGAGCCTGTTAGTCGCCTATTACGACAAGCATGGGTTAATGAAGATCAATTATGACCTGGATCTTCACGGGTTCATGTAAAAGTAAGTGGACAAAAACAACACAGCTACAGAACGGTCAGTTTATTTCTTATCAACTCCAGCTGACTGTGGGACCAGGAGAAGGGAGTGGCCATGTCATCAGCAGTGTCCATGGCGATGGTGCCATCAACAACAGTGTCCATGGTGTTGTCCGTCTGTCCATTCACATCACTATAACAAACAGCAGTAGAGGAGTGTATGGGGCTGGATTTTGCCACTGGTACCGGTAGTAATATTCAAGCAATATTACGGCATAGGACACTATCTGGGGATCTGAACTCAGGTTTTGGTAGAATAGCAGATAAAGTCCTGAGATCATATATTAAAACATGGATAATGCTGTAGTTTAGTCTCAGCCAGGAATTCACATTCTGAACATGCATTTCAACAAGGAAAACTGGGGGTATTGTCACTAAGCATAATTAGAGAAACATTATTTATTAAGCATAACATGGTTTAGGTCGGAGAAGTTACTCAGACAACAGATCCTCAAGATTTCACCATTACAGACCAACCTGTCTGGGGACAACCCCATGAGCAGACGGACATGTCCAGATGTACAACTTACTCTGCTTCTTCTTGATCTGCTGATGTCGTCTGCTCCACATCCAAAACAGCTGTACCTTGTACATTATCACCTGCATCAAGGTCAAGGTCCTGATACAAAGTGTTTACGTCCTGACCTGGAAGAATCCCCACTGGAACGTGTTGCCAAGCAAAAGATGCTGAAATCATCAGAAAAGTTGATTATTTACAAATTCTGGACAAAGTTTTGGAAAAATTATATTCAAAATTTTCATGACAATACTTCTTGTTTTTGGACGTAATCCTTCCTAATCTGGCCTTGGACAAAAATGGACAAAAATGTGGAAAGGCGAGAGATGAATGCATCTTACCAGAACATTTTTTCCACTGGGACTTGTGGGGCCTTTTGACAGCTTTAATGTGTGCAGCTGAATTATCTTGCAATAAGTCTGAAAGAATTCATGGAAAGTTATCAATTTGTTTGATATCTAATGCCACCCTCAACAATATTCCAGCTATATGGTGTCAGTCTGTAAATAATTAAGTCTGGACCAGACAATCTTTTGACCAACAGCACGAGCATGGACACAATGACATGTGCCAACCAAGTCAGCGAGCCTGACCACCCAATCCTGTTAAGTCGCCTCTTACGACAAGCATGGGTTGCTGAAGACCAAACCTAACCCAGATCTTGACAGGAAAAAAAGTAAAAAAAACAAAGAAATATACACGTATAGATCATGAACAAATACTACCTTGCAGTTCACATATATGATCAAATGTTCCAGAATCAAGTTTGAGCCTTACCTGCCACTGACAGCACCTGCACTTCTGGAATCTCTTCTATTGACCTTGACCTCTTGTTACCCCTGTTCATCGACTTCCTCTTTCTGAGAAGTATCTGGATCAGTTCGTTCAACCTCTCTGCTGCATCCTCTGTCAACAGTGCGTTCTCACGACTTGCAAACCTGCAGAACAGGAACACCGACATTATATCTTCTTGAGTGGCATTTTTAGAAGTTGGAGAGTCAGATAACTTCTTTATTCAGGGGAGGCAATGTTTCGATACAGATTCTTGTACTGTTATCCAACAGGTATGAATCAAGTAGAAAACAGGGTTATATATGTATACAGTATATAATTAACTTAAACAACAAGATCATGGAGAAGTACAGTCACAATGTGATGACAAGGGATTACATGTAGAAGCCGTTCCTGTTTGACAATGCACAATAAGGGAATGTTTCAAGTCATGTTACAAAGGCTCAATGATAGTCAACTGAATAGTGACATTTATCATTTGCTCATTAATAATTAAAATGAATAACAAAATAAATTGTGTGTGAAGATGCATATGCCATATTAAGCAGGCGACACACTGTTTGCAGGTCGTGTGTGAAGATTTATGCGCCCTTAATGTGGGACACTTACGCTGTCAGCAGGTCGTGTGTGTAGATTTATGTGCCAATAGTGTGAGACACTTATGTGGTCAGCAGGTCGTGTGAAGATTTATGTGCCCTTAGTGTGAGACACTTACGCTGTCAGCAGGTCGTGTGTGTGAAGATTTATGTGCCCTTAGTGTGAGACACTTACGCTGTCAGCAGGTCGTATGTGAAGATTTATGTGCCCTTAATGTGAGACACTTACGCTGTCAGCAGGTCGTATGTGAAGATTTATGTGCCCTTAGTGTGAGACACTTACGCTGTCAGCAGGTCGTGTGTGAAGATTTATGTGCCCTTAGTGTGAGACACTTCATGCTGTCAGCAGGGCAGTGTGTGAAGATTTATGTGCCCTTAATGTGAAACACTCGTGTGTGAAGATTTATGTCAAAAAGTCACGCTGTCAGCAGGTCGTGTGTGTAGATGTTTGGATGTTGCAGACACTTCTGTAGTAGTGGGAGTTCACACAGCGCCACCTGGTGGCTGAACAGTGACTCTGACCTGCCTGACGGGACTGTAAAGAAACAACATACGACTCCTGTAAGTCCTACACACAGGCCATGTGGGAACTACTGTACAGTACCAGCCAGTCATGCTGGATGGATAATAGTTACAAACAAAAATGTACAAGCGAGTAGAACACTGTTGTTTTACATTACTGAACATACAGAGAAATCGGGCAGCAAAGGAAGAAGACTTATTATAAGTTTCAACAAGATCAGTCCAAGCAACATCAAACAGGTTTCTGCCGGAATCCTGACAAGAGACCATAATAAGTCTTACAACAATTGTTACAGTCTGTACATATCTGGAATACGAAACTAACCATTTCCCAGTTGAACTTTCATACTTAGCAGATGAATGACAAAAATATAGCTCACTAGATGGAAAACTACGTAATGAAAATTACAAAGCAACTAAAGTACTACCAACTGCCAAAAGTCTATGTTAAACTACAGGACGTAACAATCAACTTACAGCAGTGATTGCTTATTGGAACAGGGCCCTATAGCAGTGTAGGAAAGATAGCCCGTCCCAACGTCCGAGACGGGTGAATTTTGTGGAGGACGGGTTAAAAAAATGTCTAGTCCCTCCTCATGTCGGGTCAATTTTAGCAAACCAATGACATATATATATAATGATTATAACCTTTTTGAATATTTACTGCCAAGGTGTTTTATTTCTATTTGGAGGACAGGCTAGATTTTTGCAGGACTGGTAAAAAATTTGACCTGCCAGTCCTGTGGACAGGCTAGATTTTCTACATCTTTCCTACACTGCCTATAGAGCTACTTTGATTATTATATATTCGGAGAAAGAAAAGCGATTGGCTACTGGGCATGTGTTATTTCACACAATGTAGTCATGAAACAATAGATCCTGACCAGGCAGTGACTGCATATTTATATGCGCCTATTCCACACCCTAAGGCATACTCAAAGCTATAAAGCTGCCAAACACAGTCACCCATCCAAGGACTCCGTGCCCAATGTTGCTGAACTACAACTGATTTGTGACCTGAGCTCTATGCACAGGAATACACACCACCACTTACAAGATATAGTGTAGGGACAGACCAGGGTCTGCAGCCACACATGCACGAGTCTGTTCCAGTGTGATGTCTCACTTGAGACAGCAGATGCGAGGTGTTCAACTAAACTTGACGTGAGACGGAGATTGTTGATTTCCAGCAGGAGAGGTCGCCAGAACACTGCCAGAACCCATGCTAGTTTGTTATTGGTGGGGCCTGAACAGAAGCAAGACATCATTAAACTATACGGTAAGGTTCTGTTTGATAAACACTCGTGTGAAAGTCAAATCTGTTATTTGAAGGGAGGTGGTAGGATGGTAATATCTGATCATTAAAACCTTTGAGTGGCATTTTGAAGTTGCTTGACAATGGTACAAGAATCTGTATCGAAACGTCGCACTCACGATTAAAAGAAGTTGTTATCCATAAAGTTTGTTGTACATTAAAACCATGTCTACACATTGTAAATAAATGTCGGCAATAGACCACAAATGAACTTCTTTGACTGAGTGGCATTGAGAAGCTGTTGCGATGAACAAGGACGATAGTTCTATGGAAATACAACTTCTTTATTACAATATATGCAATGTTCAATGCCATGGGACCACTATTCTGGGTGATGTGAAATGGGGTTTAACCTCGTACTAAGAATATTTCGCTTGTATGATGGCGTGCATGCGTGTGTATGTGTGGCTGCTTGTACTAGCCCAGACTTGGAGCTGGTTTTATAGTGCTAGCTCACTGAGATACCATGCTTCAGTTAAGCATGAATACCCCACTCAGACACATTATACTGACTCCGAGCCGACCAGTGCTTGTTGCTGAGGGACAGGGACCAACAAGTACCATATTTTAACGTCTTTTGGTATGACACGGTCGGGGATCGAACCCGCAACCTCCATCTCTCCGGGCAGACGCTCTAACCACTACACCACGGAGGCTGTTCCACTTTGATGCTGATTCATCTGTCCATGGTCTTATCATTTGTGAAAAGTTGATGATGTAAATAATGTTTAGGATTATATATATTGTAATGCTAACAAACAGAAGAATAGGTTTTCGTGTTTTTCACAAAAGTTAGATAGCATTTCTCCTGGGAGACAACCTACAGTCTGACGCGATGCCCATGTGTGTGAGCTGTTCCTCTGTGGGCAGCAGACATCCAGGCTCCAGCAGCAGGACGAGGGTGCCCTCCCTGGGAGGATGAAGCACAACGTTACACTAATTGCAGAAACACATAACACACTGAAATAACCATGATGGCCAACCACCACCTACCTCTCCATTTTGGGTAAATAAATGACAAAATTACCAATAATGGCATCTTTCTTTCTAGAAAAGGTTTTAAAATGTATCCTTAATCACTTACAGGGAAATTTTTTTTCTCTCTAACTACAAATAAATACTTGAAACTGGTCTAATAAATAATTAACAAAACAATCATTCATGATATAGAACAGGACTACCCAGAAAACTACTTACGTCGCTACTGACAATAGTTTCTTCATCTCTTGCAATACCTTCTGACCTTCATCACCTGTCTGAAGGTCACTCACATCAAATGTCTTCCCAGCCAGCTCCTGAACATATATTTCATATGGTGTTAGGTCATAGTACAATCATAATGATAAAAGAAATAGTTTGACTCTAGTAGGAAACAGGATATTACCTGGAAGCGTATTTGTTGATACGCAATGATGAGCCGTGCGGCCTGTTCCTCACTGCCCTTCTGTCTCATCACATCCATCATTACTGGGTACTCGGACTGGAACACAACAGCAAGGATGAAAACAATATGAAAATAACTCACACTGAGAAAACACTGATTATGTAATGTGATTACAGTGAAACCTGTCTAAACCGGCACCCCACGGGACCGAAATAAAATGCTGGTTTAGACAGGGTGCCGGATTAGACAGTGACGATAATTTTTGAACATGGGTGCCATTTACACTCATCAATCTCTTTATTCCTGATAATCTAGCGTGCCGAGAAGAGTGTATTGGATTAAGGGACCTTGATTGGACTGCTCATACCCATGCCGGCTTACAGCGTTTGATTCACCCCGCAATCACTACTTCCTGATTATCTCGAATGCCAAGAGGATTAATTAGTGTTATTGGATTATGAGTCCTTGATTGGACTGCTCATACCCATGCCGATATAGACAGTGTTAATTACAGTTAAAATTGCTTGGAACCTGAAAGTCGTGCCGGAATACAGAATAGACAAGTGCCGGATTAGACAATGTTTTAATGATCATAATATCGTTGTAAAATTGCCCAAAATTGTATGCTGGTTTTGACAGTGTGCCGGATTAGACAGGTGCAGATGTTGGCAGGTTTCACTGTATGTTTCGACAGGCCAAACATTTTCGTGTATTTTCTCTAATTTATTTTTCTTTACTAAAATAACTTGAAACCCAAGTCTTCACTATATAGTCACATATTCTACCCTCATTGCGGCATGACTGGTGGAAGTGTTACTCATTTGAGAAGAATAGACTGAGAGCAATAACATTCCCACATTTGCATGACATCACTGTTACAGTGAGTGAGTGAGTTTAGTTTTATGCCGCACTCAACAATATTCCAGCTATATGGCAGCGGTCTGTAAATAATCGAGTCTGGACCAGACAATCCAGTGATCAACAGCGTGAGCATCGATCTGCGTAACTGGGAACCAATGACATGTGTCAACCAAGTCAGTGAGTCTGACCACCTGATCCCATGAGTCGCCTCTTACGACAAGCATAGTCGCCTTTTGTGGCAAGGCAAGCATGGGTTGCTGAAGACCTATTCTACCCCGGATCTTCACAGGTCATCATCACTGTTACAACATCACAGAACAATATGAAGTAATGTCATTGATTGTCCATGACATCACCAACTGATCACATGACATCATGAGAACAATATGAAGTAATGTCATTGATTGTCCATGACATCACCAAACGATCACATGACATCATCAGAACAATAGACTGACATTACCAACTGATCACATGACATCATCAGAAGTATTTATGTTGCCCGGTTGACATCACCAACTGATCACATGACATCACCAACACACATGACATCATCAGAACAATATGAAGTAATGTCATTGATTGTCCATGACATCACCAAACAATCAAATGACATTGTGACATCATCAAAACAATAGACTTCGGGAAGTTTTAATGTCCGGATGAGTAAGGTTTTCACATGAAGTATACAAGTGGTTTTGTTTCAGTTGTGTCTCCATAAGGAGGCTTCATGGTTTTACCATGAATTATCAGCAACTAAACCTATGCTTCTTGGACCCATGAAGATCCGGGTTAGAACCTATGCTTGTCGTAAGAGGCGACTAACGGGATCGGGTGGTCAGTCTCGCTGACTTGGCTGACACATGTCATCGTATCCCAATTGCATAGATCAATGCTCATGCTGTTGATCACTGGATTGTCTGGTCCAGACTCGATTATTTACAGACCATATAGCTAGAAATTGCTGAGTGTGGCGTTAAACAACAAACTAACCAGCCATACCCTCTTGTCTGTTGTCTTGTCGAACACTGTTTACATGAGCATCTTATATGATTTATGTTAGCCATGTAACATATAATACATCCATTATCAAATCCACACACTGCCTCCTTACCGTCTCTTTGGTCTGGAAACGAATCTTCTTGTAGGACTTCATTCTGTTTGACACCGATTTTATGAGAGATTTTGTCAGCTTACTTTTGAACTCCTTGCTTCTGCTTGATGTACTACAGGGAACAAGTTGTCTCTCCCAGAAGTTATGCTGAAAAGATTTATTGCCATAATCTCACACAATAGATTTAGGATGTTGGAAAGTCAAGTGAAATCAGGCATAGAAAGTAGGCACAGAAACCATTTTGATTGGTATATATACAGTGGAAACCGCCTAAGTAAAGACCGCTTAACTAAACAGACCTGATAAGTAAACACTTTTCTTTGATCCCGGCAACTTTCTTCATTAATTATCACTATTAGAGTCTGGTTAACTAAACTCGGATAAGTAAACAATACCGCCTAACTAAACGTCTCTCACGGTCCCTGGAAGTAAATTACTTAACAAAAGAGACTGGATAACTAAATTAGTGATCACCACATAATCCGACATGACGGGCAGTCGTGTCAGTCTCCAGCTAAACAAACATCCTACTTACAGCTCGCTGGCGTCATGCAGTTGACAATACACTGACAACTGGAGGCCAGCCCTCATAAGTGGTCCATTGTTACATATGCATACATATACATGCATATGGTTGTCATTTGCAGGTTTTCATAACTGGACCTTAGATTGGATTGTCTGATGATCAAAAAGGATATACATAGGAATACAGGACTGACTGACTGAGTTTGGTATGACACGATCATCACACGAATTGTCATATTTCGGAACACATTATTGTCCTTGAAACAACTCCTTGTGGTAAGTGGGTGAGTTTAGCTTTCCGCCACTTTTAGCAATATTCCAGCAACATCATGGCGGGGGACACCAGAAATTGGCTTCACACTTTGTACCCATGTGGGGATTCGAACCCGAACCCCACCAGCCCCTAGGAATACAGGAAAAAAATCCACTTATTTATAAAGTTAGTAAAATGTATACAATAACAGATCAATAACTGTGGCCACATAACTCAAATATACCCTCCATACTAGAGCCACATACCATCAAATAGAAACAACAGAACACATACTCAGATATACCTCCATACTACAGCCATTACCATGGTAACTTAGAAACAACAGAACACATAACTCAAATATACCCTCCATACTACAGCCATTACCATGGTAACTTAGAAACAACAGAACATAACTCAAATATACCCTCCATACTACAGCCATTACCATGGTAACTTAGAAACAACAGAACATAACTCAAATATACCCTCCATACTACAGCCATTACCATGGTAACTTAGAAACAACAGAACACATAACTCAAATATACCCTCCATACTACAGCCATTACCATGGTAACTTAGAAACAACAGAACACATAATATGACCACAACAATAAAGTACCATTGCTGCATTTATTTTGCATTAGAAACTCTCTGGTAATGGTACCCACTCAATTGATGTTAGTAGAGAAACAGTGCAGCTACTAACCTTAAGCCAGTCAACAGCCCACATTGTTCCCCGGGACAGGACATCTAGGGAGGGCATCGCACGGTGAGTTCCTTCATGGCGCAGGGACACTATCCACTCCGGGATGCCAATCTATCAATACACACAATGCACTTTGAACCCTTTGTAGCAGCATCTTTAACACATTTGAAATGTAAATGATCTTTTGCTCCAATTGATGATCACATGACAAATTTGTCTAATATCTAGAACTGTCAATTATTGGAAGCTAATTCCAATACCTATACTGACCTCCTCCCCAATGCGATGAATTGGGACGGCCACATTGTTCCTGTCCAGCTGGTAGTGGTCAGTGATGAAGTTCACACATCTGCAAATGAAGGGACAAGTACATAATTTCCTCTTGCACGAGTGAGTATTGCTTAACATCAGCGATCTAGAGTTGCTCATCATCAATCAAATTCAGTGAGTAAATGACTTCATACAACTTGGTTGCCTGAAGCTAGGATACTCTTAATGATAGCCGATCTCTGTCTTTACACACCTGATAAGTGCTAGGGCATAGCCCTGTCGGACCTTGTACTCTGTGAGATGTTCCGATCCCCCAAGGTAGAGACGATGGTCGATCTGTGCTGAGATCAGATCAGCTGTACAGTTGACGGACACAGGCAGTTGAGAGTCACACCTTTAAATTATATCCCAACACAAGTTGAATTTGACATTCTGGTGATTTTGATGATTACATTATTTGTGCTATATTGGGGGAGTATGTGCATGATCGGAGTGCACAAGTAGTTTCATCGGCAGGGCGGATGCCCATTTTTATTGACAATTGAAATCCGGAAGTTAAGTCATATAAAAAGCAAACAAACATCAATAATATTTACCCGAGATCATTAATACCACTTCAGATGCAAAATCTTTATAACAAAAAATAGCAAGCGAAAATGTAATTTTCTGACTAAAATTGATATTTTATACTTATCCTGACTCATGCTAATTATGCTTGTATCCTTCCTCTTGCGAATGATAGTGGAACACTTGAAATCCCTTGAAATTCCCTTCTAAAAAAGGGGACGTAAAATCACTCACCCAGTAGCAGCTTTCCTCCCTTTCACCTCCCTTGTGGCGGAAATCCAGGGAGATTTGGGAAATCCAGAGTGCCATAAGAGGGGAGGTTGGGAGGGCTAACCTCATGAGTCAGGATAAGTACCGTATAAAATATCAAGAGTCATATTTATCCTTATCCTGACTCATGCTAATTATGCTTGCAGAATCTGTCGGAAATGGTGGTGGGTCAGGCCATGTTCTGGATTCACTGGATGTAGATTTACGTCCTGTATTACCCCCCTTGGGAACTTATGACGGCACTGTTGAAGATTCTGTTCTTTCAACTTCTCTCTGATGAGTCTGGGGGGACCACAACTTGTCAGATTTCTTCCGAAAATTCTCCTGACATTTTCGTGTGGATTTTAGATATACTAATATTCCATTAGTTATCTATTGCAACTCCATCTCTTGATGCATGCATCAAGTGGAGATGCGACCCTTCTTCATGTACGAGTATGTCCTATACAAGTACAGGGTCTATCACTCATGCTAGTCTGTCCTAGACGTGTGCATGGACTTATAGCCATTGCTCTCCAGAGCGTTGGTTTTCACAAGTCACGTGATAAAAGGGGTGAGATTTACTCAGCGCCTTTGTGGAACCGTTAGTTGTTGTGCTACAACAAGTGGCCCAAACTGGTGAATGCCTGAGACGTCTTCGGTGGCAATGTCTCTGAGGTAGTGGTTGGCAAACACTGTGTTCGATCTCCAAAAGCAACCTTCCATTATAGTTGTAATTGAGCAGTTTCCATGCAGAACAAGTGTTGACGCCAGGGCTCTGACTTCATGTGGATTGGAGGCTCGTGGAGGCTCAATTCCTGCTGCTTTATAGGCCCTTAGTATAACGGCTCTCATCCAGTACGATATCATTTTCCGAGAGACTTTCGTGGGTGTCTCGGTGGATAAGGGGATGAATAGGCGCTTGAATTTTCATCTCCTTGTTTTAGTTCTCTGTAAGTAGACTTTAAGTGCTCTGACTGGGCATAAGGATAGATCCTGCGTATCCTGTGGCCCAAGGACTAGATAGTGCTTTGATGTGGAACTGTCTGTCAGGCTGACCAGGCAGTTGGTTCTTGGCGATAAAATCCCATCTCAGTCCAAGATGTACGATGTCTTCATTCAAATCGTGTTCGTTCAAAGTCCAGAGCATGTATTTCTGACATCCTTGCAGCTGTTGCTAGGGCGATCAGGAACAGCGTTTTCTGAGTAGTAGTTCAAAGGATATCCGTTCTAGAGGCTCGTAGGCATTACTGGTGAGATGTTGTAGAACTATGTTGAGATCCCAGACAGGAGCCTTAAATTTCTTTTGTTGGTCTTCCAACTTGAACAAGCGTAGTAGTGCCAGAATCTCTGGTACTTTGGCTCAGCTTGATACCCGTTTTCATGGTGATAACTGTACTGAAGGCAGCTAAGTAAGTTGAGAGTGTTGAACCTTTTAAGGGTCTCGTCTGTCGTAGATGACATAAGTATTCCGCCACTTGAGGATGTGTTGCTGTCACTGCTGTAAAGCCTTTCTTCTTTGCATATTGTTCAAATCTCTGCCACTTGTCATCATACAAGTTGCAAGTTGATCTGCGTAGAGCTAGTGTAACTGCTTTAGCTGCTCTGGCGGAGTACCCTCTAGTCTTCAGGCAAGCTTTAATACGCTTCACGCGTGTAGCTGGAACAGTGTCAGGTTCGCGTGAGCTTGCTTGGTGTGTGGATGGACGAGTCGGTTCGACCACTCTGGTGGTTTCAGGGTTGGACTTCCGAGTTCTTGTATGAGGACGAGAAACCATACCCTCGCTGGCCAGTAGGGTGCGACCAAAATCAGTTGCAACGTAGTCGTCTGCTTGATTTTCTGAAATACTTGTGGTAGTAGTGCAGGAGGCGGAAACGCGTAAGCGTTTAGTCCTTCCCATGAGATGCTTAGAGCGTCTTTTGCCCATGCCTGAGGATCTGGAATCGGTGAGACGAACGTTGGTAGCTGTTTGTTGAACTTTGTTGCAAACAGGTCTATTAGTGGGGATCCTATAGTCTGTCTGATGAACTGGAATGCTTCTGGATGCAACATCCATTCCGTCGGGGATGGTTGTAGTGGACGAGACAGGGCATCTGCTATGACATTCTTTGCTCCTGGAATGTGGCATGCCTTCATGTAGATGTTCAGGTCGTCGAATTATGCTGAACAGGAGAAAGCTGAGTTGTAGCAGACTTTTTGATCTTGTTGACCCTTGTTTGTTGATGTAAAACGCCACTGTGGAGTTGTCCGTGTGTACCATGAGTCATGCGTTCTTTAGTACGCTGGACCAATGTTGTAAAGTGTTGATTACTGCTTTCATCTCCAACAGATTGATGTGTGACTTCTGATCCTGACTCGACCACTTCCCTGCTGCCACCTCGTTGTTGAAGTGCGCACCCCATCCTTGTAGGGAGGCATCCATGTAGAGATGAGTGTTGCAAACCGGCTCTGACAAAAAGGTTCCTCCGCAAACGTTCGACTTCCGAGTCCACCATAGGAGATATGGTTTCAGGCTGTCCGGTAGTATTAACGGATCTAGACTGTCTAGGGGGGCGTTCACAAATACTTGTAGTGGGCACAACTTTCATCACCCTCTGCGAATCATGTCTTGAGCTGAGTAGACCAGGCCAAGCACGTAGTGTCAACGGAGAGAGCAATGCTTGAGATATCATCTGTTGTATCTTGACCCAATGATCCTCTGGAACGACTATGCGATTCACTGGTGTGATGAGTTGAATTCCTACAAATTGCAGATCTTGTTTCGGCTCCAGTTCCGACTTGAGGAGATTCACTAGCCATCCTAGTTGAGTGAGCAGCCTGATGGTGAAGTCTAGTTGCAGTCTGAGTTGACTGGGATCGTGATGAGCTTGAATCCCGTCTTCCAGGTAGAAAGCACTGCGTAGACCTCGACGATGTAGATATGTGACGATGGGCTTGGCCACTCGAGTAAACAACCAGGGGCCGACGATATTCCAGACGGTAGAACCTTCCACTGGAAGTGATGTCCGTTGAAAAGGAATCGTAGGTATTTCCTTGAGTCTGGATGTATCGGGATGTGGAGGTACGAATCTTGCAGATCTATGCTGGCTAGGTAGTCTGCTGGACGAACGAGATGTCGGAGCTGAGGAAGATGTATCATCTTGAATTTTGCTGGACTGCGTAGATACTCCCGGTTGAACTTCCTCATGTTGTAGATGAGCCAAAACTTCTCCTTGGAATTCTTCTTCGGTACCAGGAAAATTGGGGAGTAAAACCCGGGCGTGATGAGATCTTGATCTATCTCTTCTACTGCCTCTTTGTCGAGTAGGGTCTTGATAGCATCGTCCAGTTTCTCTATCTGGTCGGCTGCATAGTTGAAGGCCATCAGGTTCCTTGTGAGCGGCGGAGTGGCTTCCAACTGTATCTTGTATCCTCTGCGCAGTATCTGGGATACGTAGTCGTCCTGTAGTATTCCCCAATTCTCCCAGTACCGTTGAAGACGTCCACCCACTGTCGAAGGTTGTACAGGAACGGCTGGTGGTGGAAGACTCCAGTCGTTCCGAACCTGGCCTTCAGCACTTGATTCCTCTTGCACCCCTAGGTGCTCGGCCTCTTCCGGGGTTACCTCTAGGAGCTCTGGTTGGGCGATGAAAGGAGCCTCTTCCTCCTTTCATGCTGGAATTCTTCTTTTCTCTGGCTCTCTGGACTCCTGCAAACTTAGATTTATTGGAGTAGCGTTGGGACGTTGGATTTAATCATCATAACCTCCCTTGAGTCGTGAGAGACTTCTCTGGCGACTTCTTCAATTCCTCCTCCGAAGACCATGGGGCTCTGTATAAGGACTTGGTGAAGCGTTCACTCCAAATGCATGCTAACAATAATCCTTGTCTTCTCAGGAGAGCCGAGCCCGCTGATGTGGATGCTAGGTGCTCCGACATAAACTGATGGTCTCTCTTCTGCATTAGTAGAGCGGAGTATATCATCCGGTCTTCTTCGGTGGAGGAATTCTTGAACTTCGAGATGAGTGTTTCGTTGATAGTCCTCAATCTGGCTAATCCGAAGATAGTATGTCTAGTGGTTGTATCCAGCTGCGCTAACTTCTTATCCACAATCTTGTATGTTCTCTGATGGGAGTCGGTGATAATCTTGTTGTCATCATCAACCTCTGGAGCCTTCGGGAAGGGTTCCATCCTATGTAGAGGGAATTTCCTGGCGTTGTACGTCGGAATGTGCTGATTCTGCGACTTAGTGGCTTTATCAAAAGCTGCGCTGAGGTTGTTTCGTACTTGAGAGATCGGGTCGATCGGTGGAAAGGTGAGCGTGTCGAAATCATCGTTGGACATCTTGTAGGTAAACGCCTCATCTGTGTCCTTAGAAGGTGATGATAAGTCCAAGCCATTGGCGATCCAGGAGTTAACTTCCATATCGGAGAATATGCCTTCACCTTCATCCTCTGATTTAGACATCTCTCGCTCTATGGATGCATGACGACTTGAGTCTCTATAGGATGATCTGTAAGATGAGCTTCGCGCAGGCGATTGATCCCGATGCGATCTTGAATCCTTCCTGGAGTTTTGAGATAATTCTCTAGGCCTTCGCGAAGCTGGGTTCCAGGACGTAGATTCCCCTCTGTAGGAGTGCCTTCACGCAGGCTCTCGATGGGCGTCAGAGTCCGATCCTGCGTGGAGACTTCTTAGCAGCAATCTCTGGAGTGTCTACGTTGGTAGCGGAGTCCAGACTCCTCACTTCAGATGGGGAAGATCGTCGTGTCCGTGAGCCTTCGCACAGGCTTCCCTCTTCATCCGGATGTGGTGGGGAGACTGTAGAGCCTTCACGCAGGCTAGTAGTCATTGTAGAGGTCTTCATAGCAGCCTTCTCCTGAGCGAAGCGACGTTCAAACATCGACATCATCTGGTCTGTAAACTGTTGCATGAACAGTCCCGGGTTGAAGTTCTGCTTTGTCTGAAGAGACTGCTGCAGGGATGATGCATCTGATACTGAAGAGACGTCATCTAAGGCTCGCTGCACTTTTGAAGAGTTGACGCTGCTGCTATCTCTGGTACCCGATGTCTGCGTTGATAGAAGGTCTTCTGTCAATGTCTGATAACAATGTCGATGTAGCTGTAGAAGCAGGCTTCGTCTTCTTACTGACAATGGTGACTTCAGGTATGAGGATGGGTGGATCATCATAAACATCTGCTTCTTCCGGAGGAACAATCTCGGCTGAGAAAGACCTCATCTTCTGTGTTGAGCTGATCTTAGACTTCGCTGAAGTCTTCATGGTAGTAGCCTTATTCTTCTGCGAAGAGGATGATTTAGCCTTCTTCATCTGCGATGGTGTCAGCTCAGTAGACGATGATCTCTTATGGCCTCCGGCGTTCACCACTGGTACATCGACCTGCTCCCGAGAAACGTTCAGCAATTCACTGGAATTATGAATATCTGCAGCAGTGGTTAACACACAGTTATCAGCGCAATCACTCGATTTAGACATGACTTGAGAATACCTTCGTACCCAGTCCTTAGCACGTCTATGGATGGAAAAAAGGTTATTAAATTCAACCGAAGTTAAATTTACACAAAACTTACAGCGAGAGCTGAAAGAACAAGAAACAGTGCAATTAGGACATACTAAATGAGGGTCAGCCGCAGACACTCGGTACCTACAACGAATACAAGTTTTCATCAATTGTAAACATGAAGAAAACACATGTCAAACAATGGAAAATTTAGAGATCAAATTTCAAACCGTAATGTAGAATATAGTCCTAAAAACCGTATACAGCAATAATTTTGATGTAAGGTCCGAAAATATAAAAGGATATGTGCCGTATAGGGACCCAGGTGCTCTCACAACCGTCCTCAAGGGCGAAGAAGGAGAGAGTGACAAATATGGCCGATCATGTGACCATTTGGGGGCCAAAAGGGAGGAAAGGGACGCTGCTCGTGGGTGAGTGATTTTACGTCCGCTTTTTTAGAAGGGAACTTCAAGGGATTTCAAGTGTTCCACTATCATTCGCAAGAAGAAGGAGACAAGCATAATTAGCATGAGTCAGGGTAAGGAAAATTATTCAGTAAGATCAGTTGTCTGCTAGTGACAGGCAATATATAAATCGTCGAAAACCCATACAAAATCCCTGCATGTGGAAAGCAGCAATAGTTTCGCCAATACGATGTCATCAACACTATTTTTGTAGGAAACACTTAATATTTTTGTGTGAAATAAATGAATTTATACTTTATCACTCAAGGTTAGTAAAATAAAAACTTTGAATGATATTATACAGATAAAAATTTCGTTTTTGTCTTACATAATCGAAACCCCCTCACACCGGGATACAGGAGATGTATATGTCCACTCAACGACATAAATATTGCTACCGCATATAACATGTAGAAGTAAACTGTCACCTGGTTTTCCACACCACAATGTGTTCGAGGGCTTGATGCTGTATGGCTGTCTTCTCACTGTACAGTTTCCTGTAGACACTGACAAATTCATCTCTGCAACAAAAATAAAATAATTATCCACATGATGTCCATTGGCACACCGATTACGCGTTCGCTCATATTGCTGAAGACACGGCTTCGATTCTTCACATGGGTACAATAAGTGAAGCCCATTTCTGGTGTCCCCGTGATATTGCTGGAATATTTTGCAAAGAGCGGCGTAAAACCATACTCACTCATATAACTCCTTAACATCAGTTTTATTTCGCAGGGTGTCGACCCGCTTTTCATACACCAGATACTGAGTTACAGAGATACATATTAGGACATATTGGGTTAAATAACCACATTTCAACGAGTTGTAATTACCGGCAAATCCACGGAACAACGTGTTTATTCATGGAAGCCGCCATGATGGATCTCGTAACTTCTCGGAGTATACAAAAAGATGAACTTTAAGCAAACGGTTCCTGAGTTGTTAAACACTTTTAGTGGAGATTTAATTAGAGTGAAATGGGCAAGAGTTCCCCCCGTAACCCCTACTTGAAATGTATTCTATTTATTAGGAATATTTCGAGGGTTTAGGGTTAGTGTTAGTGTAAGGGTTCAGTTGGGGTTTTATTATAAAAAATCATTTTTCATAAATAAAACCCCATCTATTCTTAAGTATAATAAGTATAATAATCGGGGCGGATCTCTTTTCGTGAAATGTATTGTATACCCATATACATTGAACATCGGTTACCAAGATTCGACATTTTTAGTATTAATACAGCGTCAAAATGTTATAAATAAAAGAATCATATTTCGTTTGAAGATTTGCGATGTGATTTGTAGTGACCCGTTACCAAAACATGTGAAACCAGGAAGCAAGCTGTCTGCTAGAAAAACAGAAATTGGGAGAAATTGCTGCGACCCAGAAATAAACCAGCACATCGCTTCCCTTTGACCCAGTGTATGCCGGACACTCCATTTCCACCAACAGATGACAGTAGATGTAGAGTCGGCTGTACGTTCCCTTCAGTTATTTGCGAGGGATTCAAGCAAATAATGGGAATGTAAATTAGCAGTAAATTTGTATCCCGATATATGAAAAATGTTGTTCTTGAACTGACAGAATTTAATATTTGATGGAAAATCGCATATTGCACAGTTGTCACATTACATTCATTCCCAGAAAAACTGTTTAACCTGTCGATGATTGAGAGATCATTGATGATAAGTATGTAAATATCGTTGAAAAACACACATCACATAAGTTGTTACATTCTTACATAGTACCTGAAGTGATTCTTTCAAATGTGATGTTAGAGTCACTGCAATTTTTTAATTTTTTTTATTTCAATGTTTTTATTGCTCGAAAGCCCCTGTTACAGGATTTAGGATCACCTCCAGGGTAAGGGTGACTCTCATTTGTAAGGTACGAAATCTTTCTGGTAGACAATCTGACATTTTCTAAAAGGAAAAAAAGAAAAATCCATTCAACGTATGTCACTGTATTATCTATATGAATTCAGGTTAGATGTATTGGTTACAGACATTGAAGGGAGCAAAACGTCATTGTTTGGATCTCATTTGCTGGCAGGATCTAGACTTTGTTTAGACATATTGAGGCACTGTCTCTGTGAAATTACTCAGTTTCTCGATGAATACTCTATTACTGTCTCTATGACAAAATTTGATTTAATAGTAACATGAACAAAGTCGTGTCTGAATGAACTTAATAGACTTTCCTTACTCCATGGACACATGGGTGTGTTAAGGTCTACATGAGTCCCCTTGGGCTCCACATGTGTATTATGTTAAGTGTGGTGGTTCATCTAATAGGGTCATACAATGATATATTTCTAACTTTACCCAATGATGCTGGTTAGTTAGGAAAAGAATATGAAAACAATAATACCTCACTCACTCTTCAATTCAGTGTACATACAGGTGTGTGACATCACCATTACTGGCTTGTGTCACTGCTGAGAGGGTAACCCTTCATTGTGGTTCATCAGTTGCCTTCAACGCATGGCTCAGAGTGGAAGATCTTGAGGATTAATCATGTTACCTTTTGTCACATGCTCATAAAAACATTGCTATAAACAATAATCTTAAACATTAATCTCCATTTCACCAAACCTTCTGTGGTCTGTTTTAGAATTGCTGTGGATGTTACCAGAGAGTCATGCCAGTAACCTCATGAGTAGTTTCTACTGAGATTGTATTGTCACTCTGGATAGACTACTTGCCTAACAAATGTATCAGAAGTACAAGCATCAGCAGGAGTCACAGGAAGAAGGGTCACATGACCAGAAGGTAACTGTGCCAAGAGCATCCTGAATCATCCTTGATTCTCCAGCCTATTGTATAATGACATATACCCTGGGTGTATTGTCAGTCATAGCTTCTTGTCTGAAGTGCTGTCACCATCTTAGTCTCTTTTATCGCTATCCAAGCATAGGACTGGTCTAGAAATTCTCAAAATGTATTTTCTAAATGCAAGGTTCACTTAGACATGCATTACCTTTACAGTCCCACTTCTCTCACAAGGAATCGACATATTATTGACTTCACAAGGAGCATGTGCCATCTGGTCATGCATTTCTCTGATCCCAAACTAGACTAGATGAGTCCCAAATATGACATGTATGATCAGTTTCATTTCATTATATGAAACTTTCCCAAATTTCAGCCAGACCACAGGGCTGGTTATATGTAAAATTTGCCAGCCCTGACCAAAACTTACCTGCCTGCAAATAATTTAGGTTTGACAAGTGACATAGTTTATCATCCAATCGGAATTCATTATTTATTTTTATGAGTGAATTAATAATGATTTATTATCCTGAAATATGATGAATGTCTTCATATAACTGTCTAAATTTTAACCAGACCATTGGCATGTGAATTTGAGAATCTGGCAGTCTTTGTTGAAAATAACCCATCCCAGGCATTCGGGCAGGCAGGTATTTCGAACAGTGGTTCATTACAGATATACATTCAAATTCACAGTCGAGTAAGACATCAATGTATTTATCAACATCAAAAGACTGGTTAACACTGAACTTTATCTGAAAATGATGTTTTACAGAGTATTAAGAAGTGTTTATGTCAGAGGTCATTACAGTACTGATATTGTGACCAACTATCTATGCTGCTGGGTAGTGACACACACTCAACCATGACAGTGAGGCCAACCACCCAATCCACTTTTGATCATCATAGTTAAATAGTGAGAGTCTCAGACACCGGTGCATATTTTGGCCCATGAAGGATATGTTTGACTTTATGAGTAGTCAGGCTGATTTAGTATGCCAGTTAATAATCAATGCCAGTTGGGGTAGCCTAGTGGTTCAAGCATTCACTTGTCATGGCATAGACCCGGTTGCAATTCCCCACATGGGCACAATGTGTGAAGCTCATTTCAGGTGTCCCCTGCTATGATATTGCTGGAATATTGCTAAAAGTGGTGTAAAACCTTACACTCACTCACTCAACGCCAGTTTTGTTGTTAGTTCACAAACTCTTCTTGATTGACACTCTTATGAGGGATAGATAGATCTCTTTTAATACATTGCTTTGATTGGCTTCTATTTCTCCTTTTGTATTACACTGTCATGTGAATTCTAGGAACCAGTGATGTCCGACACTACAAGGAAAGTGGAGAGTTGCTGGAAGCTGATAGATGCTGAAGACGAGAAGTACCGTGACTGGCAGCCACCTCCTCCTAGACTTCCTGGGTTTATGGGATGGAGGACTGTCCGCATATTTGTCTCCTCAACATTCACTGATTTCTTCAATGAAAGAGAGATCCTCGTCAAGAAGGTCAGTGGGCTGTTGGACAGGTCTCAGGGAATTTGTACAAGACCAATTCATTCAGTGATAAGGTCAAGGTTATGAAATAGAAACATGTTACGCACAAGGCTGTGGTTAAACTTTCTGAAAAAGTACTACTGCACATATCATCATCTACATAGGAAACAAGTGAGAAATGAGCGAATACTCTGTTTCAATGAATCAAGTTTATCTTTTACATGTAGGCCATCGACCATGTATAGGAGTATATCTACATATCTATATGATTCCACAACTCAAAGACTATAGCATGTTATTATTCTATGACTGACGACCGTATCATTTGTTGTTATTCCATGCATCATGGTTGTATGATGTTATTATTCAACCCTTCAAAGAGCTATGGTATTATGATATGTAATAATGCTATTCCATGCATTAATGTTATATGACATTAGTTTCTGCCATATTGCCCTGTAGGTTTTCCCTGAGTTACGGGAATGGGGCAGCGAGAGGAAGATTCACATCATCGACTGTGACCTGCGTTGGGGTGTGCCCCAGGATTCCACTACCGCGGAGACCATCGCTATCTGCATGGAGGAGCTTGACACATGTCATGAAGTCAACGAAGGAGAGCCTTTCTTTTTGAATCTGGTGGGAGAAAGGTAAAAAACACTTCACAGTTGTGATTGTGTAAGAGTGCTAGATTTTGACCCTGCTCCTCACCAAGTTCAACATAACGTGTGGTCAGTTTGTTGAAACTATTTGATAGAGCTGTTGTGACAGTTGCCTATAAAGACGTATAGCAGAGTCTTTTTGTCCTGGTAACCTTTTTCAGTAATGTTATAATTACAAGTGAACTGTTCCAGTACATTAACAGCAGACGCTGCTCATCTACCTTTAAAGAATTATGCTAACTTGTGTACTAACACTTGGAACCTACAGGGTAGCTAACCCATCCTGTATCACTGAAATTTGCATATATGTACATCATAGAAAATGGCACTCCACAAGGAAGTGTACTTAGCCCAGGTTTGATATCATGATCAACAACTTTTTCATCGACCTACCTGTTAGTCAGAATTTCCTGTTTTGATTCATGGAAATTAGATCACAGGCAGTTGAAGTTAATTTGATCCAGATACCAAGTGCTGTTATTTAATTGACCTTCAATCACCTCACTTAACTTCATGGAATTCTAAGTCTACAGTCAGGGCGGTCTCATGTTGTGTTATGTACTTCTTTGAATAAGTGTTTGTTTACCAGGATTACACATTTTTCTGAATAAAAATGTTTAGTAATTGACTCACATCCGAGGCAGCCATCTTTTACTTGGTAACTGAGATTACTTCCCCTGACCGTCCAGATATGGCTGGATCCCTGGGAGTGGTGACATCACTGAGGAGGTGATGCAGAAATATGACTGGGTGGAAGGGACCTCCATCACTTTCATGGAGGTCCTACATGGAGCATACAGGTGAGGTAATTACCTTCATGTATCATACAGGTGGGTCAGTTATCTTTATGGAGCGTACAGGTGGGTTAATTACCTTCATGGGACATCCAGGTGGGTTAATTATCTTTATGGACCATACAGGTGAGTTGATTACCTTCATGGAACATTCAGGTGGGTTAATTACCTTCATGGACGATACAGGTGGGTTAATTACCTTCATGTTAATTACCTTCATGTTAATTACCTTCATGGACCACACAGGTGGGTTAATTACCTTCATGGACCATACAGGTGGGTTAATTACCTTCATGGACCACACAGGTGGGTTAATTACCTTCATGGACCATACAGGTGGGTTAATTACCTTCATGGATGATACAGGTGGGTTAATTACCTTCATGGATGATACAGGTGGGTTAATTACCTTCATGGACCATACAGGTGGGTTAATTACCTTCATGGATGATACAGGTGGGTTAATTACCTTCATGGATGATACAGGTGGGTTAATTACCTTCATGGACCATACAGGTGGGTTAATTACCTTCTGGATGATACAGGTGGGTTAATTAGCAGGTGGGTTAATTACCTTGGAGCAGCACACATACAGGTAAGTTAATTACCTCCATGGAACATACAAGGTGGTTTAATTATCTTCATGGAACATACAGGTGAGTTGATTATTTTCCTAGAGCATGCAGCATTTCATACAAGTTATTGTTGGCTTAGCAGTTCCTCTGGCTATGTCAGTAAAGTTCAAAGAACTGTACCAGTCTAATTATTGGTAATGAATCAGATAGTTTGATGATAGGTGGTGACAGGCACATGTTTCAGAAAAAACCTGGAAAATGTTGTTATGTTTGAGATTCTTAACATGATGGTTGGTTTTTGCTTGTAGAAAAAAGAACCCAAATGCAGCGTTTCTTCCTTCGTGACCCTGCATTCTTGTCTGAAGTGCCTGAAACTCACATTAGCAGATTCATAGAAGCAGACGACATTGGGAGAGAGCATCTTAAGGTCAGTTTATTGATGTCCCCAACTTCGTCTTGTACACAACCATACAAAGCTGAACCTTTTTGAACTCAGTCACCAGATATAACACCAGTATGTTCTAAATCTAACGACCGCCTCCGTGGTGTAGTGGTTAAGCTGAGACGGAAGGTCGCTGGATCGATTTGAACATCGTTTAAATATGGTACTTGTTGGTCCTGCCTGGCCTTTCGGCATTAATGGGTACAACAAGGACACTCGAGTCAGTATAAGAGTGGGGTAGTCATGTTTCACTGCAGCATCAGTGAGCTAGCACTATAAAACCAGCTTTAGTCTGGGCTAGTACAAGCAGCCGCACCTACACATACACACGCATGCACGTCATCATATGAGCGAAATATTCTCAAGCACGACGTTAAACCCAATTTCACCTCACCTCTAAATCTAACAGTTAGTTATTGATTACCCTAATCTTGCACTGCCACAGAGGCTCCTTGACTATACTGGATATGGAGAACACAAGGGCGGATCCAGAGGGTGTGTGTGGGCATGTGCACCCTGTTTCTCCCCCAACAAAATCCTGGATCTGCCCTGCAACAGATAGTCATTCTTTGAGTTTTCTCTAACCCTTTTGTCGAACGCCAAGCCCAGAAGCCAATAATACATATGTCTACATTAAATGTTTTGTTGAAAGATCAACACTATAAATCAACAGGTGTTTAAGGCGCGGTTGAAGCAGCGGTTTGCGGACCAGATATTCAACTACAGTGTACAGGCAGCTGGCACAACTTCATCCACGGGAAGAGAGAGGGTAAGGCCAGTACAGAGCCACCATTCATCACAGAATGTATCACACATCTCTGTGTATCCATCCAATAACATCATCTCACTATGCACCATAATCGAGTTTTTGTCAATTTTGGTAAGGGCCACGTTGCTGAAATGTATTCCTTGGTAACTTAAAATCATAAGTACAATTCTGACAAATTTAATGTTCATGTAATCCTGTTAATACTATCAACAGCAAGCAAACAAACCAATATTCATGCTTACGAACAATTTCATGCTTTTGTCTATGAACGGAATTTAACCAACTCCCATTTTTGTTAACGCTGATATCTCATGAACTGTTGCAATGTCTTCAAATTTGGTGACAGCCTACATTGGGATTACCCAGCAGTATATTTGGGTGACCTTGACCCTCATCTTCAAGGTACGACACTTTCACTTTTCAAACTGTTGTTAACATGACATCTCATGCACTGTTGTATCCAATGTCTTCAAATTTGGTGACAGCCGACATTTAAGGGTTACGCAAACACCAGTCGATTTGGGTGACCTTGACCTTATTTTCAAGGTCACCACGACACTTTGACCACATTTCAAACTCTTGTTAATGCGATATCTCATGAACTGTTGTACCCAATGTCTTCAAATTTGGTGACAGCCTACCTTTGAGAGACTACGCAGATACCAGTATATTTGGGTGACCTTGACCTTATTTTCATGGTCACCACGACACTTTGACCACATTTCAAACTCTTGTTAATGCGATATCTCATGAACTGTTGTACCCAATGTCTTCAAATGTGGTGACAGCGTACATTGAGAGATTACGCAGACACCAGTATATTTCGGTGACCTTGACCGTATGTTCATGGTCACCACGACACTTTGACCACATTTCAAACTCTTGTTAACGCCATATCTCATGAACTGTTGTACCCAATGTCTTCAAATTTTAAATTTGGGATGAGCATTTGGGGATTAGAGACACCAGTTTGGGCGACCTTGACCTCATTTTCAAGGTGAAACTTTGACCACATTTCAAACTGTTGTTAATCATATCATGAACTTTGACCACCATTTCAAACTGACATTTGTTACACGCAGTATATTCATGAACTGTTCATGTCACCAATGTGTCTTTGACCACATTTCAAACTCTTGTTACAGCATATCTTTGGGGATTACACAAGACACCAAGTACATTTGGGTGACTTTGACCTTGTCTTCAAGGTCACCACGACACTTTGACCACTTTTCAAACTTATGTTAACGCGATATCTCATAAAACATTGCACCCATTGTCTTCAATTATGCCGACAGCCAACATTGGGTGATTATGCAGACACCTGTGATTTCAGGCATCTTGTATGTGAGCAAAAAATAAAAAGTAGTAAATATGTTATAAATATTCCATTCTTTAGCGGTAGGGGATATTGCCATATTAGTGGCAAACACTTGCTGTCCTTTAAAAGCAAGAAATACCACAAAATACTTACATTGCATTTAATTAGAAATAATGGGTTGTCTGGAATACACTGTTTAACCAGAGTTTGATGACAATTGCGCTCATAATACATCTGTGTACCTGAGACAGTCAGGTCCTCTCCCAGAAACTGACATCTTGCTTGTGTCTGCTGCTTTCTTCACTGTCTGTTGTCATGTTTGACCATGGGTACATCCCAATCCAGGTGCAGTTGACTGGCCTGGAAGAGTTTGCTGACCAATGTCTTGAGTTTTTTAAGTCGGCCATCACCAGGAAATACCCTGAGCAGCTGACTGTAGCAACACTTTCCCTGGAGGAACAAGGTGAGAATACACAAGTTCATCTATATAGAGCTCCTTTATAAAATTTGTTTCATTAAAGCACTGCACAGACTGTTTCTGCCAAAATGCCTGGAAGTGCATATTTATCTTTGGTCATTGAGAAAATGTGTATTCCTGACCCAAATCTCACATACACTTCACTTCTCTTACTCCAGTCTGAATCTTGGAATTCTGGATTCCCAGAAAAGTTACCTCATCGTACTAGAGACCATATAATAAAATTGTACAAAGGTACAAACTGGACAGTCTTGATGATGGCTCTCAACAACTATCACCAATTTAAGTCAGAATGTGTTGGTCCTATATTGGCTATCTCCTGCTTTGTTTGTCCTACAGAACAAGAACTTCAACGCATCTTCATCATTGAAAAGGCGGAGATTGTGATCGGACGTGAACAGGAAGTGCAGAGACTCATGGGATACATGACCAATCCAGGGTCATGTGACCTGAACAAAATCGGTATGACTTGATGATTTACATATTGATCAGGAATTATCTAGCTTGACAGAAGTTGAATCACCATATATTCTTTGCTTACAACATTTCAAGCAATTTGAACATTTCGTGTTCCACTATATTTGAACAACCAACATATACACATATATATATCAGGGGCATAGCTACCATCATACATGACTGTACTGTGTGCAAGCCCGGCTTAAGCTAACACATGACTGTTGCTTGCTTGTTGCTCTCCACATCACATGTAAGGTTACAGGATGTCCAAGCCCTCAATACTATCTAAATTTAAAGGTTGGACAAGCCCTCAATACTATCTAAATATAAAGCTTTGCCACATATCGGGCTTACATGAAAAAATTGGCTTGCTACATTCCTGTATATGTACTTAGGTTTCTGATGTAAATAACAACTCTAAACAGACTTATTTGCATGATGATGTAGATTCTTTATTTCACATTGATACAAGTGAGAGGAGGTTTTGATCAACATGTAGCAGGATAGAGTGTTGGGTAAATACTGAAATGCATAATTAGTTGGAGAAATTATGCATCAAAATGTTGAACATCAGTTTCCTTTGATTTGAATTTTTTATATTGTTTTGTTTTACATATTTTATTTCCTCCTTCCCTGTTACAAATGAGGTAGCTCACACCCAGGGTAATGTGAGTTCCAGCATGCAATACAAGTAATAGTGTATTTCGTGGGTGTTTATAGGATGTACAGAGGAAGAAGGTTTTCTCTGCATTAGGACAGCCACTCATTCACCTTCTTACACACCTACATTCACACACAACTCGACAGGAATCTGCTGGCCTCGTATCACATGTTAAATGTATATTCAATGGTCTTGCTTATTGCTGCTCCAATGATGAAAAAAGTACATGATAAAACATCCAAGCCTGATAGAACTTGTGTTGATCACTGTTTCTAAAAGCTATGTCCTTTTCTATTTTGTATCTAATGTTCAGGTCCTTTACAAATCTGCTAAAAATAAGTTTTGAATTTTGAAATTTGCATTTGTAAATAAACAATTTTGCCAAAAGCAAAATGAAATCAAAAACTTTGTCTGTTATTATGTTTTCTTGAACTCCAAATAGTATAAATTCGGCACTTAGCTTCATATTGCATACATGACCACACTGGTCTATCCATTTCAGAAACTGATCCCAAAAGTTGTTAGTAACATCACATTCCCAAAATAAATGGACGATAGTTTCCTTTTGTCTCTGACGAAAAGAACAAAGATCATTCTGAACATATTTTAGTTTTAATAAAAAGGAATTTGTTGTAAGTATATTGTGCACAAGTCTATATTGAAACCAGCGCAGTTTCACTTCTTGAGTTGTACTAAACACCTTAGCACAAATCTCATTCCAGGCAAGCTGACCAAATTTTAGTTCCCATTTTTCCTGATTTTTTAAATATGCTCTTGAACTTTTGAGTTTTTCTGTATTTCAGATGGAGGGGAAGTAGGACAGAGTAAGTTCTTTTATATGTCAGTACTGATTGTTCCTATCGATTAAGGACCACCTTCATCGCTTAGTTGCTTGACCTTCATCACTTAGTTGCTGGACTGTCTGCCTGAAGAGTGGAAAGTTGCTGGGTTGATTCCAATCTGCGTCACATGAAAAGATGTTAAAACATGCTACTAGTTGTTACCCTGTCTGGTGCTTGGCATTAAGGGCTCAAACTAGGACTGCTTTACTCAGAGTACTGCTTCGGAGTTAATTAGAGAGTGCAGATTTAAACCAAAATCAAGACACAAAATGAAAAATTACTGGAATCTGTACTTTACTAAGAAAGTGTAATCCCAAATATAACATACGTTACATTTGACCACTTTCTAGGTGGCATTGTGTAATCTTAAAAAATAGGTCATCAGTTGTTTTTAGTGTTGTGACATTTGCACAGGGAAGCCAGACGTATGGACCCTAACCCCCAAGGATAACCTGCTGTGTGTGGTGCAGGCCAAGAGTGGATGGGGGAAGACCTCACTGTTAGCTCAACTGGTCCTCACAGCAATGGAGGTCAGATTTCACAATCAAGTCTTTAGTTTTCAAACCTTCTCTCATCTTGATGCTGAATCTCTCATTATCCTTAATTAGGGTTCGGTATTGCCAAAATTTTCGTATTGCGATATATCGTGATATGTGTTGGCGTATTGCAACATGTATTGCAATATATTGTGAAAGTGTAACACATTGTTTAAGGTAATAAAATTACTGTTTCCTTTCTTTTGAAACAATGCCACTGGCCATTGTCAGGACTTGCAATTATATGCAATTATATGACCAATAAACTATCCTCAAATTCTCGAAACTGTTAATGCATAATGATATAAAGGATATACTCATGTTTATCTGATTTTTGACTACGTCACGAAAATTACTGATCTTGGTCACGGAAATTACCGGTCATATCGAGTGAACCAGTTCGCGAAAAGTGTACCGCAATATGTCGTATTGTGAAGTTCAAATTGCAATATACCGGTTAACCAGTATTATCGCCCACCCCTATCCTTAATGCATTTAAATATAGCTTATTTCTTAGGATTCCACTGATTTCAGGGAATATAGACATCAGCATCATTAGCAACATAAAGAATCATTGTTTCCATGGAAACTCTCAAATGGTCATTATGTGCTTGGTGTGTGATCCCAGTGCAATCTGATACAAAGAAGGAGTATTTGGAATTCAAAATGTGGAGGTAAGATTCTTGGAATTTATTCCATGGGCAATAGATGATTATGGTTTCGATTTGTTTTCAGAAAGGTCACAAGATATTCTATCACTTCAGTGGCAGTACTAGTCGTAGCCGCAACACCTCGGAAATGTTGTTCCGATTAATGGAGGCGCTCACAGAGGAGGAGGGTGAGCAACTGTATCCTGGATCACAGGGGCGTGGCACACTTAGAAACAGCGTTAGAAAGACGTATAGGTATATAGATCCTACCCCAGCACTATATAAAAGGAAAGGGATGTAACGACGGAACCACCCCCTCCTCAATCGAAGTTTATTGGCTTCCACCAATCGGATGGCCCAATTCAGTTTCTGCGAATCTGCTCAGATCACTTGAATGTCAAGGCCATCTATGGCTGACAAGTGAGTATGATTGCCGATGGTTTTGGATAAAATGCCTACTTACTGTTGAGGAAATGATTTGTAGATGTTGCAATAAGTTTTGAGACCGGTGGAATGCCGCTGCCGATCAAATCTAGCCCTACATAGGTGATGTCAACGTGGCTGGAATTAATAAACGAATTTAAAAGGTGAGTTTTCGCTGTCTTGGGTGATCCATGATTTTGGCTTGGAATTGCGGAGGTAGCTTTTTTCGGTGAGTCGTGGCGTATTAACTTTTGAAATAATGATCCGATTCTGACCATTTTTAGCTCATTTTGTAGGGAAATCATCTCGCTTTCGATCCATAGGCCTCGACGGGGCCTTAAAAATAGTTTACGTGGGGAAACCTTACTTTGATTGAGGATGGGGTGGTTTCGTCATTACATCCCTTTCCTTTTATATAGTACTAGGGTAGGGTCTTCAACCTATATGTCTTTCTAACGCTGTTTCTAAGCGTGACACGCCCCTGTGTCCTGGATTCCACCATGCACCCATGACATGACAATCAACACAACAGTAAACAAAAGAAAAGTGTATTACTATCTTAGCACAAAGATTGCCATATGGAATAGGTATTAGTAACTGACGATATGGCTGAAATATTGCCAAAGTGACTATAAATTTTAACTCACTCACTCACTTGGTAGCTGAAATCTGAGACAACAGAGCTGTGTGGTTAGCCTAGTGGACCTGCATGGCAAAATATCATGACCCGGGTTCAATTCCCAACATGGGTGAAATGTTTGAAGCCCATTTCTGGTGGCCCCTGCTGTGAATCATTGCTGGCATATTGCTAAAAGTGGCATAAAACTGAACTCACTCTCGCCAAAACTTTGTCACTATGAACTTAATTGAGATGTGATTGGTGCTTTACACTTGACGTAACACAGACAACATTGTTCATGCCATACAGACACCATTGTTGGCATGATGGACACACAGACACCACTGTTGGCATGATGGACATACAGACACCACTGTTGGCATGATGGACATACAGACACCACTGTTGGCATGATGGACACACAGACACCACTGTTGGCATGATGGACATACAGACACCATTGTTGGCATGATGGACACACAGACACCACTGTTGGCATGATGGACACACAGACACCACTGTTGGACACCATTGTTGGCATGGACATACAGACACCATTGTTGTTGGCATGATGGACACTGTTGGCACAGACACCACTGTTGGCATGATGGACACCACTGTTGGCATGATGGACACACAGACACCACTGTTGGCATGATGGACATACAGACACCACTGTTGGCATGATGGACATACAGACACCATTGTTGGCATGATGGACATACAGACACCATTGCATGATGGGACACCACTGTTGGCATGGACATACAGACACCACTGTTGGACATACAGACACCACTGTTGGCATGATGGACATACAGACACCATTGTTGGCATGATGGACATACAGACACCATTGTTGGCATGATGGACATACAGACACCACTGTTGGCATGATGGACATACAGACACCACTGTTGGCATGATGGACATACAGACACCATTGTTGGCATGATGGACATACAGACACCATTGTTGGCATGATGGACATACAGACACCATTGTTGGCATGATGGACATACAGACACCACTGTTGGCATGATGGACACACAGACACCACTGTTGGCATGATGGACATACAGACACCATTGTTGGCATGATGGACACACAGACACCACTGTTGGCATGATGGACATACAGACATACAGACACCCATTGTTGGCATGATGGACATACATACAGACACCACTGTTGGCATGATGGACATACAGACACCACACCACTGTTGGCATGATGGACATACAGACACCACTGTTGCATGATGGCATGATGGACATACAGACACCATTGTTGGCATGATGGACATACAGACACCACTGTTGGCATGATGGACATACAGACACCACTGTTGGCATGATGGACATACAGACACCATTGTTGGCATGATGGACATACAGACACCACTGTTGGCATGATGGACATACAGACACCATTGTTGGCATGATGGACATACAGACACCACTGTTGGCATGATGGACATACAGACACCACATGATTCCACATACAGACACCACTGTTGGCATGATGGACATACAGACACCATTGTTGGCATGATGGACATACAGACCACCATTGTTGGCATGATGGATACAGACACCACATGATGGACACAGACACCATTGTTGGCATGATGGACATACAGACACCATTGTTGGCATGATGGACATACAGACACCACTGTTGGCATGATGGACATACATTAGTGACGTCAGAGACATGTGATTACTGCTGATTGACAAAGTGAGAGAAAATGAAAGTCTATAATTTACAAAGTCTGTGATTTCTTCAAGGATGAAAATGACAGGGGGTGACCCAAGTATGCAATTACTAAGTACATAGGGCGTACTGCCTGTGCAGCTGGGGTACATGTCATCTCGCCTGCTCAAAAATGTGTTGAGAACCCGTTAACGCACGTGCATCTCGCTTTACGCGCTGTTCCTTTAGGTGCCAATGCGCCTTTGTAACAAACTGGGAAAACGCACAAATAAATGATGACGGTTTCTTAAACAACTTTTTTATTTTTACTCTGCTTTTTTAGCAATATCAAGGCGGAACACCAGAAATAGGCTTCACATCTTGGGCATGACAAGCAAATGGTTTAACCACTGGGCTACCCCACCACCCCTTAGTATTTCAACATTACATAAAATTATATGCAAGAGACGATATCATCATGGAGGATTCACTGAATGAGTTGCCAGGAGTCGATACTTCAGAGCTGTTGACTGATTACGTTTCATTTCAGTGTCAGAAGAGGAAAAGGAGAATTTTTCCACTTCAGTCAAAAAGCAGCAGGAGCTTCTGAACAAAGCACTTGTGAAGTTCCATGAGAGTGGGAAGAAGCTCACCATCATCATCGATGCTGTGAATGAGGTATCCATGGAAATAATTACTGTTAGCCTAGCCCAGTATGTTGTGTGTTTTGCTCATGACACTCAATGCACTGGTTTGAATCCCTGTCCAATATGTGAATAGATACATGGATTAAAATGGGGTCAGGTTTTTCAAACATACTAAAATTTAGTACATTTGAAAGGTTTTAATGTGCCTGGGTAAATAGAAAGTACTCATATTACAACACTGTAACTAAATCATTTGGTGATATATTGTCAACAAAATTACACATGGATTAATGAATTGAAATTGACAAATCACAAGATGCACTATTCATAGTGGCAGAAGCTGTATCTGTGCTGAAATCTATTTACTGATTCATCTTGTCTTATGTTGTCATTGAAATTTATCTCAAAGTGTTGTGAAAAAATGCACTGAAAGAAGCTGAAATCCATAAAAAATATCTTGGGAACGTACTGAAAGTTGTTTAACCGGTTGAATTGTCGAACCTTTGATTGGAGTGGTTCCTAAATATGGTCATGACATATACAATTTATTGTTTTATATTCTATTCTTGCCAGCTGAATCAGGCTGTACCTGCTTGGGGAGATACCATTTAAGTTGGTTGCAAAGCCCCTCAGTGCCACTTGGGCAGATACAACAAGGTACAGTACTAACGACTATCATACTTTGGGAGATACAACAGTAACATTGGGGTGATCGCATTGAGCTGCAACTACTTGGCACTAACGACTCTGGCCAGGCTGAAGGAGCATCCCTGCTACTGGATGACAGTGGGAGAACTAGGAGAGAGCCATCATACTTGGGAAGATACAACAAGGCAGTACTCGACTGTATCATACTTGGGGAGATACAACAAGGTACAGTACTAACGACTGTATCATACTTGGGGAGATACAACAAGGTACTGTGACTGTATCATACTTGACAACAAGGTACGTAAGAATGATGCTCACATGTTAAATGAATTCCCTTACGGCAATAAATATTATATTATTCCTTCTCTTCCTACCCATCCCTCCAAACCTGTCCCATCCTTGTTGCCCCACCCATCCCAGTCCAGTGCCATCTCACCCCAATTCAACTCATCCCCATTCATGTCCTAACTGATGAGATTCCTGCTTGCAGCACCTGCACCAGGACCAGCTGACCGCCCTGATCCAGGACACTAAGGTGGACAGCCCCCTGTGGATGACCCTCGTCTGTGAGGAGCTGCGTGTGTTTGGGGACTTCAAGATGGTCACACAAAAGATCCACAGTTTGCCCGACACACTCAACGGACTGTTTGGCGTCATCTTCACACGGCTCCTGGCTGAGGACAACACTGGCTGCATTAAGAAGGTAGCCTGGTCATGATGCATCTAGAGAAGGATAAAAGCAGAACAGGCATCTGACCATTGATCCATGTACATGCAAACTAGGGTCAAGGCCACTAGTCGATATATCATGTTTGTTAGCTAAAAGCAACTCAAATATAAGTTTAAACAAGGGCAAGAAACACTTTATTTTTTTTTGTTCCCAGAGCTGTCTGAGTGAGTATGATTTTACGTCCCTTTTAGCAATATTCCAGCAATATCATGGTGGGGGACACCAGAAATGGGCTTCACACATTGTACCCATGTGGGGAATCAAACCCAAGTCTAAAGCAACGAGCGGACGCTTTAACCACTAAGCTACCACACCCCCAGAGCTGTCTGAAGATGTTGCCATTTGTGCAGTATTCTTTCACTTACCATAAGTAACATTAGCATACTGTCTTATGGTTTTAGATAAATTGCAAGGATTTCATGGCATTTGATTGACTAGTAATAAGTAATAGTTCATCCCATTAATCATAACTCACTGATTAAGACATTCTTTATTTTTCACCATCTACCTCTTTGCATATAGGCCAAGAAAAATCTTAGAACAAAAATAGAACTGGTCTGCTTTGACCCTTTTCCTCTCACACTAACCACAGGTTTGAATTTGGTCCCATGTGTAATTTGGTTTATTTCTGTGTGGATTCACCCTGCTTTTTGTCATCTGTGGACCAGGCTGTGTGCCTGATTGGCACCTCTCTGTCGGGGATCACGACCGATGACATCCTCAAACTGTTGGGGGATGTGGAGAAAAAGGAGGAGGTGCCCCCCTTTCACTGGGTGCAGGCCCGGAGAGTTCTCAAACCTTACCTCCGTGTGGCCGGATTCCCACGGGAGTACATCACGTTCTCACATGAGAAAATATGGAAGGTCAGTATATAAGGACAAATTAAGTCTGATCATTTGATTTTTTCTTGAGGCCAGACCAATTTTATTTCTTGCTTTACGGATCCGCCGGTCATATTTTTTCAAGAATAAGAAAAAAATAAAAATTAATTTTCCCCCTTAAAAAATAAAATCCTCATGTTTATTGGCCAAAAATGTAAACTTACCAAAAAAATATTTTTTGATTGTTTTTTGCCAAATATAGACTTCATAAATTGCCAAAAATAAAATACTTTTAGTATTTAAAGGAATATTACTTTGACTTTTCTTTTTGATTTTGTTCCCGAGTGCCATTTAGGTTTTCTGAGGACAAAAATCTGTAAAACAAGAATTAAAATTGGTCTGGCAGGACCATAATAAAAAAATCTTTCTTTTATATACTCAAAAGAAATTAAAGTACACCTGATTCTTTCATATAACCGTTAATCTATGATGATCTGCTGCTTTCATAAGGCTAGGGATGCTCTTGTTTGGTTTACTGATTTTGATAGCACTAAAAGTTAACATGATAGAAATAAATTAAGATGATTTTAAGATCCATTTAATAGTCCAGTCATCCTGGAAAGATTCTGACCTAACCCACCACAAATTGCAACAGAAATGATTTCAACTGTTTTAAGACCCTGAACCATTCCTTTATAACATATAAAAATCTAGGAATATCTCAGTGGTGGAACAAGGTCAAATTCGACCCTCAAGGTAAACAGAGCTTTTATTTGATATATAACATGACACAATTGAGTAGATTACAAAAAAGTTTGCATTTCCTTCTAAGATTTCGAAAGCGAAGATGACCCCTATGACGTTGAGGGTCGAATTAGACCTTGTTCCACTACTGAGATTTTCCTAGACTTTTTATATGTTATAAAGAAATGGTTCAGGGTCTTAAAACAGTTGAAATCATATCTGTTGCAATTTGTGGTGGGTATTATCATAAATTGACTGGACTATAATACAAAAATATGTGATCACAACAAGATAAATTGTTAAAACAAATGTTTACACCCCAGGGAAAATATGAAATGTTTCCTTCACTAAAAAAAGGATAGGAAGTGAAAAGGTCTGGGCTAATTTCGGGTTTTATGCGTTATTTGTTCTGAAGGCAGTTGAAGATCACGTGGTCACATCCTATGTTGAACGGAAGAAGTGGCAGCAACACCTCGCAGACTTCTACCAGTACTGGAGTGACAACTCTCAACACCGATCCTTGCTGCTGCCAGACCTACTCCGGAACATTGGTCTGAAAGACAGGTAGGCATGGAATACCACTGAATACCACGCTGTATACCACCCTCTGTGCACCTCTCTAACACAGTTGTCTCAGTTCCAGAAGTAGTGTATTCCTCACAGGATGGAGACCAAGAGTTAATGCAAACATAAGATGCTACCAGCATGAGGATCAGGGCCTATTTCCACAAAGTGATTTTTGCCATTCCTGCTATTTGTCAGTATTAAAGTAAGGAAGTTATAATCACTTTGTTCTGAGATGTTCTTGTGGTATGAGGCCCAGGCTGGCTATTCTCGAAATGTTTGTAGCCACACGAACTTCTTACGCTCGGGCCCATTCTTAACACATTGGTTACAATCAAAGTTAAGAATTCTTAGAGCTACGAACTTTTCGAGAATAAGGGCCCAGGTGATTACAGTGTGTTGATGATAGCGTGACATTGTACCTAGATGAAGCCGCTGATGTTTCATGTGTCTTGATAATGTTGTTCCTGTCGTGATGCTTTATTGGTCACTGTGGATTGGAACAATATTCACACAGGTCACTTAATGCCTCCAAAAATAAAAGCTGGCATATTTTGTCATATGAAATGTTGAATCGTCGATGTAAGATACCAGTTGTCACCCATAGATCTACAATACAAAAGCAAAGAAAAAGCTAAAATTATTTTCAGCTGTCTTTTTCAGTGTCCAGTTTAATATCACTGGTTCCTTCAGTGATAAAATGTCTAAGATACACTATGAACAACACAGCTGCTTGTTATTTTCAGGATGGCCAAGTTTATGACAACTGATAAAGACTCTTGGGCTGTGAGCCCCTTCCAGAGGAGCAGCTATCTCCAGGTATGCTACAGTTGTACACTCGTACTGTTGAATTTCCACTGATGAAGATCTAAGTTCGAATTGATAGTCAGTAATCAATGCTTGTAGTAACAAGTGACTTTCAGATCACATAAAAACGACAGCTTTGCATGCACAGAGGACAACCCATGAAGATCCGGTTTAGAATTGATCTTCAGTAACCCATGCTTGTCGTAAGAGGTGACTAATGGGATCGGGTGTTCAGGCTCACTGACCTGGTTGGCACATGTCATCGTATCCCAATTGCGTAGATTGATGCTCATGCTGTTGATCACTGGATTGTCTGGTCCGCACTCGATTGTTTACGACTGGTGTCATATAGCTGGAATATTGCTGAGTGTGACGTCAGAGAACAAACAAACAAAGAGGTGATGGATTCTGCGATGGTCATAAGAGACGTCATGGACAGGGTGTTTAGGCTTGGTAATTGATAGTTTGAGCATAGTCTGCTTTTCCCAACACCATACATTATTAATCATAATACATACATACAGTGGTGTCTGTAAATGATGTTATTCTGATGTTACAGTGGTGTCGGTGCACACGTCTGACTGGTGGAACCTGGTCCGGCAAGCCTGTCATGATCTGCACCTTCTGTAAACACAAGCAACAGTGCTTCAACCCCGCCAACAGGTGGCAGGCTCAGGCCTCGTGTGTGATCTGCGGAACCCACGTCTTCAGCCACATGACGGCCACCGCTAGTCTGTGTACATTCCACGGTGTAGGTACTCCTACCAGTGCCAAGTGTGTCGTCTGCAACAGGCACATGAATCTCAATGTTAAAATGTCTGGGGACATGCAGGGACGTCTGTGTGGTCAGTGTGGATTTGGTAACTATGGGAAGATGTGTTGCCATGTTGGTCAGTAGGAAATAAGGGAGTACTGCACTTTACCGGGCGCACTTTTTCAGATTAATTAGAGCTGCTGGGGCTCGAACGCCGCCGGATTACTGACTTCGTTAATTAGTGACGTAATTGGCGGACGCTCTACCTCGGGACCTTGAGCACCATCACAGTTAATGAGTGCTCGTTTAACAGGTCATTTGCACAGAAGTGAGTCGGAAGCGCGAGAAATGAAAACAAACCACTGCAAATGCGCAATGGTTTGTTTACATTTCTCACGCTTCCGCCCCACTGTGCCACGCCCTTCCCATTCAATTTTTTTCTCGCCATTATTTCTTGGACTGTACTGACGAGTACCGGATGGATCGAAATGTGTTTCAATTGGATATAATAGGATTATAAGTCAAACCCTAAATAAGAATCGTAAAGGTTCCCTAACCCTTACCCTAACCCTAAGGATCGTAAAGGGTGCCTAACCCTAAACCCTAACCCTTATGATCGTAAAGGGTGCCATACCCTAACCCTAAACCCTAAGGATTGTAAAGGGTTGTTTGACTCTAAAGTTGCAAGTGAAGGGAGACGGAGCGATTACCGCGATATAGCGAGACAGTGCTTGAGACAGTGCGGTAACGTAATAGCGCGATAATTGCCCCGCAGCGAGCAACGAGGTCTGCACCCGGTAAAGTGCATTCTAGGCGGAAATAACATGTGGACACACCTGGCAGTTGGATAGTGACCTTGTTCTCAGAGAGGAATTGTTCTGATGTTACCTTGTCAGTACTTTTGACGCAATGATTTGGAATGACACTGCTCCATGTATTTAATGAAATAAACATTTATTGAGAGCAAGTTTACCCAAGTTTGGAACTGTAAGCCTACACATACGAACCTTTAAGAACACTAAGCATTCCTTCAAGGTTCAGTTAGTCATGGCAGGGCATTATTACTACATCAATATTTTCACATTGAATTATGACATTCCCATCAGCTATAGAAAACGACAAAATTTCAAGGTTTGTTATGTTCCCAAAACTTGAAATACACTCTCTCAGTCAGTTTCTGATGTGTTTTCTGCACATTAAGTATTCCCACACGTACTGCAAAATCTTCCTTGGACTTCGTTGTCCTCTAATATTTACTGGTTTTCATCACCAGATTTAAATAGTGCTGTGGTGATGAAAACTGGAAAATAATAAAGGAACGCTTGAATTTTCCTGTGATCCTTTGTTTGTTTCTCTCAGTATATATTTAAACATGCCTACCAACAGTAAATACTTTTCTATTTATATTATTTTTCTTGGTGGTACATTCCTGATATCTGTGTTTCAGTCAGAGGTGGTTAGTGTAATATAAGGCCCTAGATGATCTAATCATAATTCAAGATTTCACAGTTTCTGTGTAGAATGTGTGTTATGTTGGGAAATGCATGGCTACAGTAAAGGGCAGTACACAAGTCACTGGTCTCAGGTACCATTACTACTGTTTAGCTATGCACTTCTAGACTTCTGCAAGCCTAATTGTGAGGATATCAAAAGCATTTGCTGTTTCCCGCAACACAACTGTTGTCCCTGTTGAACATCAATAATCTGTATCAGCCTTACATCCAGTTGTTGATGGATAATGGATGATTTTACCAAAGATTGTGCTGCTGATAGTAGTAAGGTGGTGTTGTTATGGTAACCATGTGCACGTTTCTAAACATTTCTGTTGGAGATTTCTATAGACTAAACAAATTGAGAAAATCTCTTATTGATTACATGCTCAAATTGGAGACGGAAAGAAGGACCCATGTGATATTTTTATACTGTGGGCAAGTCCTGCTTTGTCCATCTTCTTGTGGTCTGCCTGGTTGTTGTCCAGGTATAAGCTTTTACAGAAGGAAACATCCTCCTGACACTACAAGGTATATGGAGAACTTTATATGCATGATAAAAACTAGGGTGTCTTTAAGGAAAAACTTCTGCAATGGCATTATTATTTGTCCATAATGTAGGTGAGCTGCAGAACCTTGTGTTATTGTGGGTTTCACAGACAACATGGAACATGGTGTGACCAAGTATAAACTTAGCTGGACAGTTTGTTGTTGTTTACACCTGAAAGATGAGATATGTTTTCAGTGAAACTGCCTTCATCTGAGATACTTGTTCACAAGCTCTAATCTCAGATTCTTGTCCACAAGCTCTAATCTCAGATTCTTGTTCACAAGCTCTAATCTCAGATTCTTGTTCACAAGCTCTAATCCCAGATGCTTGTTCACAAGATCTAATCTCAGATTCATGTCCACAAGCTCTAATCTCAGATTCTTGTTTACGAGCTCTAATCTCAGATTCTTGTCGACAAGCTCTAATCTCAGATTCTTGTTCACAAGCTCTAATCCCAGATTCTTGTTCACAAGCTCTAATCTCAGATTCTTGTGTTCACAAGCTCTAATCTAATCAGATTCTTGTCCACAAGCTCTAATCTCATGCCTGTTCACAAGCTCTAATCTCAGATTCTTGCTCTAATCTCAGATTCTTGTCCACAAGCTCTAATCTCAGATTCTTGTTCACAAGCTCTAATCTCAGATTCATGTCCACAAGCTCTAATCTCAGATTCTTGTTTCACGAGCTCTAATCTCAGATTCTTGTCTACAAGCTCTAATCTCAGATTCTTGTTCACAAGCTCTAATCCCAGATTCCTGTTCACAAGCTCTAATCCCAGATTCTTGTCCACAAGCTCTAATCTCATGCCTGTTCACAAGCTCTAATCCCAGATGCTTGTTCACAAGGGCTAATCTCAGCTTCTTGTCCACAAGCTCTAATCTCAGATTCTTGTTCACGAGCGGTAATGCCAGATTCTTGTTCACAAGCTCTAATCTCAGATTCTTGTTTTCAAGTTCTAATCTCAGATTCTTGTTCACAAGCTCTAATCACAGATGCTTGTCCACAAGCTTCCATCCCATAGTCACAAAGCCTCAGGTGCTAGGTACAAACGATTTCTGTGTCATATCAAGTACATTACTCTTGTTATATTTATCTTCAAGACATATTGTATATTATCAGATGAATATTATTCATATTTATTTACATCTAAGTAGCATAAAATAATTATATTTACAAATTATGTTTCTGGTTGTGATGTAGCCATGATTGTCTATTAGTTGTAAACCCTTACCTTGTTGTTATCTACCAAGTTCAGAGTATACTTTTGGTGTATAAAATCTTGTTAGCAGACATTATGTCTATTAACGTCTTCAGCCAAAGATGTTAATGTTAAATTGTCACCAAGGTAGTGAGGATCAGTAATAAGTAAAAACATATTTTAAAAAGCTAATAAGGCCAGACCAATTATGTTTCTTGTTTTACGGATTTTTGTCCTCAGAAAACCGAAAGGCAGGAGGGAAAAAAATATAAATAAAATCACCAGTCAAAGTAATGTTTCTTCTAAATACTAAAGCTATTTTGCTTTTGGCAATTTATGAAGTGTATATGGGGCAAAAAAACAATCTGGAACAAATTTCTTGTAAGTTACATTTTTGGCCAATATGATCATTAGCATTTTATTTTATGAACGGGAAAATTAACATTTATTTTTTTCTTATTCTTGAAGAAATATGACCAGTGGATCCGTAAAACAAGAAATAAAATTAGTCTGGCCTAAGTAATCAATTTCTTCATCACAGTTGAAGCAGGAGTTCAGTGGAGGTTCAAGAATATAGAACACCGTCAGCAAATCATTGCTTGATGACATTTTGGGAAACAACCAACAAACAGTTAGCATCAAATACTTGATAATGGTTTAAAAATCTACACCCAGAGATTCAAAATCAGTTGATTGATAGCATCCAGACATAGAACATCACTTGGTTCACAATGGTTTTAGAGTCTGCATCCAAATGTTTCACCTTCCTTGACAAGGGTGTCAGGCTCTTAACTGAAACATTTAAACCCACAATTCTAACAGAGAAGTTGATCACTGCACTACCTTATCATAAGTTGCATATGCTATTTCTAAAACTATCATTCCTCATGATATATTTCTTTTTGTGATAAAGATATTTACTTATAAACTGTTTACTTAGGCTTGAGATGAGTTGATCATTGCACTCAGATGCTTCTGTTTTCATTATCAATTATTTTCACATGTTCTTTTGATCATGTTCATTTGCATTTGATTTTATTCGCCAGTTTGTTTTGTTTTATACTGTTGTCATCAGTTTCCTTTACACTGATAATGCTCTTCTCTGTGTTACTCATATCAAATGTTTAGTCATTCTTGTCATGATGATATTTTGTTGAATATACTATTTTGTTACAGTATTCATCATTATTATACATTCTAGCAATTACCTTAAAACTAAAGCCAACACTTAATAGCTGTAAGACATACAGTAACTATCCTTAATAAAGAAAACATATATTTGTTTCACGTGCTTGATTTGAAACTATTGAGCATTTCTCTAAATCAAAATTTGTATTCATCCTGGGGATTCAGTTGGTGGAAATTACTAAAACAATCATTGAACTTTTCTCTAAATCAAAATTTGTGTTTTTCCTGAGCATTCAGTTCATGGAAATTACATCTAATTTGGAAATATAATGTTAAAACAACCTTTCTGTGTTTACATAATCGTTGATATTTTATGCCCCTAAACTCTGCATTATGATTGTTTTGGCTAAAATTATTTTGGTAAACTATTCAAGTCCAAACAATTGAAGTGCCTCTCCATTTAATGCCAGAAAAATCTTTGGTAACTTGTGGACTTTCTAGGAATGTATTCCAAGACAGAAAAGGCTTAGTTATTATTGTTTGAATAATATCAAATTAGTTTGTTTTGTATTTTTATGAAGCCCATTTATGGTGTCCCCCACCGTGCTATTGCTGGAATATTGCTAAAAGCGGCGTAAAACCCAACTCACTCACTCACTCATTTGTATTTTTAAATAACCCCCCAAAAAGTTCTTGAATTTAAGTCAGAACAAGATTAATTAGCACTGAATAACAAATGTTTAACTGCTGATAAATATTTGTAGTTTATGCAATTCATTATCACTCAGTCTACTCAACCCGACTTCAGGTACCAGTCTGTTTGCACACAATAATATTATATTTTTTAGAAAACATATTGTTATGTTATACACTTTTAAGGAAGTCAATAAATGTTTTTACAAAGTTTTAAGTGATTGTGTTGTTATGTTTATGAAGAATTGTTGAAGAACTCAGAGGATTCTCAGCTGTGACCAATCATGGAGATACAGAAATAATACATCCTGCGATAACATGTTTGTTAGTTTGGTTGGACTGACTGACTGACTGACTGAGTTTACTTTTACGCCGCTTTTAGCAATATTCCAGCAATATCACGGCGGCGGACACCAGAAATGGGCTTAACATAGTTTGGTTGGAACAGGTGCTGGTCACAAAGCAATGAAGATAACTTACTTATAGTCGTTCATATCCATCTCCCAGTTGCCTAGATAGATACTCATGCTGTTGAGGGGCGGTGGGGTAGCCTAGTGGTTAAGGCGTTCGCTCGTCACGCCGAAGACCCGGCTTCCAATCCCAACATGGGTACAATGTGTGAAGCCCATTTCTGGTGTCCCCCGCCGTGATATTGCTGGAATATTGCTAAAAGCGGCGTAAAACCAAACTCACTCACTCACTCATGCTGTTGATAATTGGATTATCTGGTCCAGACTCTAATATTTACAGACCTCCCCCATATAGCTGGAATATTGATGTGGCGTAAAACAACAAACAATCATGTAGATCTAGCTTGGGACATGGTGCAGTTAGTTTCACAACAGGTTGTACTCCCGGGAATGATTTACTGATATACCACGACAGCTGTAAGATGAATACTCCACTCAGACCCAGTATACCACCCCACGCCAACCAGGCCTTGTTTCAGATCCTTAGCGCCAGACAGGGAAACAACAAGGACAGATATTTAAGGTGTTTTCATATAACATGGTGGATGTCAAACCACTCACCCCGCTCTCAAGGCACACGCCCTATCCACTACCCAATGCAGGTGAGGAATTGACGACTGAACCAACTACTCCCAGTGTTCAAGTTATATTTGTAAAGTTGACTAGGAAGGATGTACTACTATAAGAATAGATTTGTTAGTCCCCTTTAAGATTGGTCTCTATGATGTGCCCGGAGGATTCCCAATATAAGGGATGCCTTACTCTGTCAAACAGGGACAGACACTTTCACTAGTCCAAGACTAGTGAAAATCTAAAGGGACTAACTATCTTCAAAAATCAAGTTACTAGTATTTTAAACAGCCGCCGGTCCATAATGAGCTTGGGACGACTGTCACAGAGCTGCATCCTATGGGCATAACAGGTCCGGGTTAGAATTGATCTTCAGTAACCCATGCTTGTCCTAAGAGGCGACTAACGGGATCGGGTGGTCAGGCTCCTTGACTTGGTTGACACATGTCATCGGTTCCCAATTGCGCAGATCGATGCTCATGCTGTTGATCACTGGATTGTTTGGTCCAGACTCGATTATTTACAGACTACCGCCACATAGCTGGAATATTGCTGAGTGCGGTGTAAAACTTAACTCACTCAATGCAAGGAATACACTAACTCGGATCTGAGACAACTGTGTTAGAGAAGAGCACAGAGGGTTCACCAGAAACCTATGATTGTTCGGTTCGGTTCGAATCCCAGTTCGTTGAAGCAACAGTGATGGTCAAGTATACACAAATGTACAGGTGAACCATTAGCTACAGATTATTTATATAATAAATACACTGTTATGTTCTAATTGCTACACATTTAGGGATGTTTGATCGTAAAAATGCATTTAATTTTATTATTTATTTGCTCAGCAATGATTCATGGTAAATTGTAGTATTTCAATAGTACAGGCAAAGAGACTCATGACAATGTTGCAGTCTTACAAACCATTCCTGGTACCAGATGTTCGATGTTAAAGCGTCCGCTCGTCACGCCGAAGACCCGGGTTCGAATCCCCACATGGGCACAATGTGTGAAGCCCATTTCTGGTGTTCCCCGCCGCGATATTGCTGGAATATTGCTAAAAGCGGCGTAAAACCATACTCACTCACTCATGAAGATGAAAACAGTCCTTTACGTCATATCAACCTAATTCTACAACTGTTGTTTCAACGTCAACGAGTCAATCAACGAGTAGTAGTAACATATATCGTACAATTCATAAACTAAACCATAGTGTCATATTTAGAAACTAAGTCATAGCGACCTGTCATGGCTGGCCTGGAATAACACATACTAAATCATTTACCTCATTTAAATCCTGTTTTCAAGTCCAAAAAAAGTCAAAGTTAATATTTCATTTTCATTTCCTGTTACAATTCTTAAAGTTTTTGCCGAACATTATGAAACATAGATCATCCTAAGCGTTGGCAAAACGAACGTAAAAGTGTAGGTTAAATATGTTGCCAGCGGTATCTCCTGACATGGGAGCAATCCAACCTCGGGACAGTCTATGTGTGGTCAACATGCAGTCTAACACGAAACTGAAATTACTCGACTTTGGTCAATCAGCACTATCAAATCACTACGATCACTGAACATTCGGTACCAAATCCGTTTTAGCCAAATTAAATCATGAGGTAACCCAGTTGTACATTGAAAGCACAACATGTTTATATCTTACACACAACATGTTAAAGCGTTATATCTGACATCCCCACATGGGTACAATGTATCCCCGCCGTGATGTTGCTGAAATATTGCTAAAACGTTCAGTCATCAGTCTTACCGTATCAGCTGCAAGGCCGATAACGTTCATGATACCGTGGTAACATATGCTACTGAAAAGAAGTTAAAGGTCCCCCGTTCTGTGAAAAAGGGGTGAAAGTACACCGCTTCTTTCATGCTGCAGTAGTTGGTCTGTCATGGCTGTGATAGATTAGCTACACCAGTATGATATAATCGAGTGTCTTTGACGTCATTTGTGTAATGTGTGTATAGGTACAGGGACGTGTAAACAAGATCATTTCTCAGAATTTAGCGCGGTAGGAATACATCTAACTGCATGAGGTCTGTGGTGAGATTGGTTTCTGCCGAGCAATTATTACCCGAGATGAAGTTCCGCAGGAATCAGATTTCAAGAGGTATTAAGTGCTATATTACATACATATATATGACAACACATGACAGGAATTGACAGCTCCGTGCATCCACACCTACAACGATATCATTTTCACATCGAGGTCCCAGTATCTTGACGCAGACAGACGTCACGATGTTAATTCTATTTCAAACGCTGTTTCAGAACCATTCAGTGTCAAAGTCAGTATGAACAAACACCGCGCTAGTCGACGTTTCAGCGCTTAGCCTCATGACTGCCTCAGACATGGGACGGCAGTCGCATATTTTGATATTATGCCAATAAGAGGATTATATTTCTTTATTTGAATGTTGGTGGATCTATTTTGTGGGATTAATGCCAAACGTTTTAACTGGCTGATGCACACATAAACACGACACATTACCCGAGGCTGGAGGCAACATATGAACTTCACAAGTTCATAGATATTTCATATTTAATAGTTCCCCTGTGGCTTTGATGACACTCGTTTGATAGTGGCAGTGGTCGAGATGTAGCACATTGAAATTTGTGTTGTTCAAAATGCATAAAGGATCAGCTTTTTTCCTAGAAAGGGCTGACTTCTGAAAGGAAAATCATGTCTGTCTTCATTTGTCTCTTGTCGAATAGGTCATAGGTCAACTTAATTACTCATTTTGGTAATTAAGCTCTATTTCTGTGTAAATATGTAGTTGTTTTCACTTAGCTACCCTACGGTTTGTTGGTTGGTTGGTTCACACTCAGCAATACTCCAGCTGTGTGACGGCCGGCCGTTAATGTACCAATGTTGACCACATATTGCAGCAACTGGAATGCAACCAAGTCAGCGAGCCTGACCACCCGATCCCCTCAGTCGCCTCTTACGACAAGCATGGGTTGCTGAAGATCATTTCCAACCTGATCTTCACTGGCTGGTTGCCCTACCGAATTCCTGACTCTATCATATCATGTCCATTTCGCCAGGTTATAGAAGATGCGTTTCGCATGCCAATAATAAGGTAGCCTATATTTGCAATGACGTGATGCTACACGGGCACATTTAGATAAAACCCTGTTTCAATGTTTGTAATCAATAATTTTTCATCGTAAATAAAACTCTACTGATTTTCTCGTTACATTTTGTGTTTAATTATCATATCGATATGAATTAAGGGCAGCCTGTGGTTAAAGCGTTCTCTTGTCAAGCCGAAGGCCTGGGTTCGATTCCCCACTTGGTACCATCTGTGAAACCATTTCTGCTGGCACTCACATTGATATTGCTGGAATATTACCGAAAGCTATACTCGCTATGTTGATATGAATGGCGTAAATTATGTAGAACATTTGTCTATGGGAATGACTGTAATAGGCGAGTAAGCCTTAATATGTGTTGGGAATACCGCCCTATCTATGTGAATTATTATCGCATGTGGAGGTATCTCTGGTTATTTAGTACAGTTTGACGAGCCCCTATCGATCTGTTGATGTAGATTCTTGTTACCGGGCGGGTTGTTCTAACACGATTCCTTTCACTGCGATAAGTCGTTTTGACTCCTGACCCCCAGATAGCAGACGACAGGTACGAGAGTGAGTAACTCAGGTGAAGGGGGCGCCACGTCACGAGCTTGCAGCAGACGACAAATCGATTTCATCCCATCAGTCATTGCGGTGAAGTTGGTGACAGCTGGGAAAAGTTCGATCCAAACTTTTCAGTAGTTTCATATAATGAGTGTGTTTTCCACTATCGTCACCGTCCTGTGGAGGGATATCCACCGCCATTTTCACTCCGATTGAGAAAGAGAAGGAGTGAACCTAACCGAACTAACACTATTTCTTATTTCTGGAAAGTACACCGAGAGGCTATCACCTGTCGGTTCTACGGCCACACTTGGACTCTTCTCCATCGCTCGGGGATCAGACACGCTTTGAGGTAACGACACTACTATTGACGCGTTGCATGTTTATAATATAAATCTATATACTGACAAATCGAATATACTCCGTGCTTTACTTAAATACATTTATACTAGTGTATGTCACAGACATATGTTTTTATACTGGTATATACATGACAAAGTCAGTATAATGTTATGATGGAATAATCAAGAGGTAAATGACTGAATAGATTAACCAGTATAGAGTGTGATGAGAATAAACTTTTGATATATCTATACATTAATAGTAAGACTGTCGGGAAACAGAAAGTATATGCGTGGAAATTGGATTTGATCAACCATAACAAAGGTATTGAAAATGTTAATATATCAAGCTGAAAACAGTCGGCGAAACATTGTAAACTAAAAGTTGGAAACACAACTCTGATACCCGGGTCAAATTCATCACCATTTCTCAGGTGAGGTGTGAGAATAGGTTAACACTGGATTACAGAATACAATGACATGAGAATCGGTAAAGACTTCATTATAGAACACAAACATGTGAGAATCTGTGAACACTGGATTGCAGAAAGCAAACATACATGCATAGGTATTAATGTAAGAATAACTTTCGCATAATAATAACATAACACAAAGTAAACGTGTTTGGAAAAGAAGACCAACATTAGCCATGTACAGCGATATACCATTGGATAAATATAGTAAGGTCAATCTAACCGATGTCCAATTCAGTATAGCTGCTCAAAGGGGTATTGTATTTCAAGCCTATTAAATAATGTAATCGTAAACATGTAAGACTGTTCAAAAATACTTAAAGTCGTTAAGTCTTAGTGTGTGCAATTTCTGAGTGTTATAGCCCTCCGTGTCAAACGATGTACTCCGCCGATGTACGGACATGATAACATTGATGGATGGCATTCTTCCGCTAATAACAATGTAATATGACATCATAGCTCATTCCACACCTGTAGGTCACATGACCGTCTGTGCTGTAACGGTGTGTAACACATGGGGTTACAGGGCCTGTCTGCGACATTAATATCTATACGCCACTTGGGTATCTGCCCTTTAGAAATATAATCAATATACTTGTGGGGGGTAATGTTTTTTCCAGTTAATATGTGCACCGCATGTGCACATTTGAGAAAAGTATGGATTAAAATGAAATATAAATGTTACATTTAAAGAACATGATTGAATAAGGATAAATTGGAAACGTCAATTTATATAGTTACAAAATAATGTTGAGTTATTGCTATGAAAATAATCAGACTTTTTCAGGTGGCTTGCAACTATCGCTTTGCTGTACACGACAAAATAAATATGGATAAATGAGTGAAAAGAACTTCAATAGAATTTTAAAGAATCTAAGGACCTCAAGGTTGTGATTCGTGTAGCCTAAAAACGAAACCTATATTTCATGAGAAGAATTAACAGTTTTGGTGAACGATTTGCTCATGTTAAATTATCAGAGGAAGTGTGGGGTAGCCGAATGGTTGAAGCCTTCACTCGTCAAGCTGACAGTCCGGGTTCGATTCCTCACGTGGGAAGATGGTATTGCGCTCATTTTCTGGTGTCCTCAATGGAATTATTGTCTGTCCAAATATATTTCCCATTTACACAAGTAAATCTGCCAAGTAATATACTGATATTTAACGATTTTCACCATATCCCGTGAGACACTAAATACCCTTATCATTCCTTCCCCTTTGTGATCTTGAGTAACCCATGCTTGTTGTTAGAGGCGACTAACAGGATCAGGTGGTCAGGCTCGTCGACTTGGTTGACACATGTCATCGTATCCCAATTGCGTAGATCGATGCTCGTGCTGTTTATATATGGATTGTGTGGTCCAGACTCGATTATTTACAGACCGCTGCCATATAGCTGGAATATTGCTGAGTGCGGCATAAAACTAAACTAAGCTCACTCACTCACTCACCCACTCACTTACTCACTCCTCTTTGTTTCCCTATCAAATATTATAACACAACTTACGATTTATCGTATGTGTTTTGTTTGGATACGTACATTTGAGGAATACTGTCTGTCCTTCATTGCATACTCCTTTTTAAATTATATAAACAGCCGAATCAGCATAAAGACATCTATATAGTTTGCCTGTATATTTTAAAAACCAAAGTTTGTTTCTGATAAAGATTTAGCAATTTATTCTCTTATAGCTCAGGCGTTTCATAATGGATATCAAGGTATGTTCTTCTCTAGAAGAGAAGGGAATTCCTCAGTAGTACAGGTTCTATGGCGTAGAGATACAAGAATGATGAAGGGATGGGGATGTAAACCCACTGTAATAGTGGACATTAAGTTGTTACCCTCGGTAAACTGGCAATCCTGTCAGGCTCCATTCGTGTCAGTCAAGCTCATACTAGATGATTAGGTTTGATAGTAGTTTTCAATATTTCAGTTATAGGGTGTAGTTTGATACAAGAGGAAGGCCAGAAGGCACGTGGGTCGTAGATGTGTACTGCGTCTCTGGCACATGCGAGTAGGGTCGTGAGTTCACAAGTCAAGGTTCCTAATAAATCTAGGATTCAAACCCTCGATCCTGCCACGCCTTAGAAATGTCCTCGCCTTAGTCTATTAAGCCACCCCTGTCCCACAAAATGGTGATCCCTCTTTAACTGATCATGACGTGCTTGTAGAGATTACAGAGGTTATCATAGGCGGATCCAGTGGGGGGCGCAGGGGTGCGCATACCCCTTTTGTGCTGAAAGTTTGTTAAATGACCATTGAAACTCGGGGAAAATGAAGTGTGCACCCTCCTTTTCTCAATAGCGTGCAGACCCTCCACCCTCCACCCCCACCTTCTCAAAAAGATGTATCCGCCCCTGGTTATGAACGTTCCACGATCAATGGAAACTGCAGCGAAAGGGCCTTGTGTGCATGTGAGAATATCTGTTGTACTGAACATATTCATATCTACATACATATGTATTCCTATTTCTACCAAATTGTACCGTTTATTGTCAGAATTGCATCACCTCAGGATTACTACTGTTCAAAGCGACTGAACCCCCAAAATATATTAAATATTGAATTATTAAAGCTTTTGATATAACAACCAGCTATTTCAGCATTCCGTTATAGTGCTAAAGTTGAAAACAAATTGTTTGAGCATTTCTTGTTTATACGATTCATTCGAATATATACTTTCCCTATTTAATAATTTAATTTACAATACAAAAAGAGCATTGAATAAAATGATTTGTTTTGACAAAAAGCTTTCACAGGTTGACAATGAGACAGGCACCTGTTGTCCTGTGATGTAGAGAGTTCTTTGTAATGTATCGTGTCATTGTGGGGACTATCAGAGGATATATTACATGTAATTACTAGTGATCACACACATTGCACATGGCCTGAACTACAGCTGAACTTTTAATAAACAATGACACTTGTTTATTATGTGCCGTACCTGTGTTATTTACTGAAAAACTCTTTGCTGGAATATTGGACTTTCAGTGACCCATCCATATAATGGTATTCCTTTGCTTTCTTGACGCTCTGTTATTTCTACTACTGATTGGAAACAACGTTTGGGGGTGTTGCATCAATGTAATCCTGTTAAAGAGGTACTGCGTGATAAAGGATATTATTAGTGTTACAAAGACGTTTGGTAATTTCACTGCGTTGCAAATGTTAAGTTTTCTGTGTTATAAAACGATCAATGATCTGCGTCATCAAGGGTTAACTTTGAGTGGTGTAGTAAAGCAGGTGGGTCACAGAGTGTAATACCGCTTTGATCAGTAGTTACATCACGATATGGCAGCTTAATATCAGAGGAATTCCAGAAGTAATGCATAACGCACTTTTATTTGTATACCACTTAGGTGAAATCCACGAACTATGTGATGAGGCATGTACGTAGTGTTACTGAGTGGAGTGTGTCCTGAAGCATATATACGTAGCCTAAGTGTGTCATGAGTGAGTGAGTGAGTTTGGTTTTACGCGGCTTGTAGCAATTTACCAGCAATATCACAGCGGAGGACACCAGAAATGGGCTTTACACATTCTACCCAAGTGGGGAATCGAACCCGGCGAACGCTTTAACCATTAGGCTACCCCACCGTCCCGTCAGTATTTCATGTAGCATATACTTAGTGTAAGTGTGTCATGGAGCATAATATGCATAGTGTTACTGTGTTGTAAAGCACATACGTTGTGTAGCTGTGTCGTGAAACACATACGTTGTGTAGCTGTGTTGTGAAGCACATACGTTGTGTAACTGTGTGATGAAGAACATACGTAGTGTAACTGTGTGATGAAGAATATACGTAGTGTAACTGTGTGATGAAGAATATACGTAGTGTAACTGTGTGGTGGAGAATATACGTCGTGTAACTGTGTGATGAAGAATATACGAAGTGTAACTGTGTGATGAAGAATATACGTCGTGTAACTGTGTGATGAAGAATATACGTAGTGTAACTGTGTGATGAAGAACATACGTAGTGTAACTGTCTAATGAAGAATATACGTATTGTAACTGTGTGATGAAGAATATACGAAATGTAACTGTGTCATGAAAAATATACGTCGTGTAACTGTGTGATGAAGAATATACGTAGTGTAACTGTGCGATGAAGAATATACGTCATGTAACTGTGTGGTGAAGAATATACGTACTGTAACTGTGTGATTAAGAATATACGTACTGTAACTGTTTTGTGAAGCACATACGTCATGTAACTGTGTTGTGAAGCACATACGTACTGTAACTGTGTTGTGAAGCACATACGTAGTGTAACTGTGTTGTGAAACATATACGAAGTGAAACTGTGTTGGTGGAAGACATACGTATAACGTGTTGTGAAGCACATACGTGTAACTGTGTGTGATGAAGAATATACGTAGTGTAACTGTGTTGTGAAGAAATATACATAGTGTAACTGTGTTGTGAAGCATACGTATTGTAACTGTGTTGTGAAGCACATACGTACTGTAACTGTGTCATGAAGGACATACGTACTGTAACTGTCATGAAAGACATACGTAGTGTAATTGTGTTGTGAAGCACATACGTACTGTAACTGTGTTGTGAAGCACATACGTACTGTAACTGTGTTGTGAAGCACATACGTACTGTAACTGTGTTGTGAAGCACATACGTACTGTAACTGTGTTGTGAAGCACATACGTACTGTAACTGTGTTATGAAGCACATACGTAGTGTAACTGTGTTGTGAAGCACATACGTACTGTAAGTGTGTTGTGAAGCACATACGTAGTGTAACTGTGTTGTCAAGCACATACGTTGTGTAACTGTGTTGTGAAGCACAGACGTTCTGTAGCTGTGTCATGAAGGACGTACGTACTGTAACTGTGGTATAAGGAATATATAGTTTACCTGCAAGAACTACTATAATTAGGGCTCAGCATATATTCAGTAAGTTTGATCTAGCATATAGACATATTTAATGTATCCTGGAAAAAAATAAGTTATGAGTGTAACTGTGTCATTAAGTATAGAATCAGTGCAACTGAGTGATAAATTATATCCTGAGTCTAACTGTGTCAATAGGATATACGAGGTGTAACTGTGGTATAACACATTACGTAACCGTGTCATTAGGCATTTATTCAAATAAACGATAGAGCATGAAATATCTTAAACTGTTGCTGAATGATACGTGTGGGTGTGTGAGCGAGTGATATAATGCTGTGCTGTTTTTTCGGCCCCGTCAGCTGTCTTGCTATTAAGAGCATTGTAACCAGTAGGGTGTTGGCGAACAAACCAGCAAGGATCCACACCGTACTGGTAAGATGGCAAACAATCAAATAATACTTTGGGACAACCTTAAGCGGATGAAGGCACTCCATTATGAGTCACTCAGTCTGAGACCATTACAAAAACATTTGTCTATCTAAGCATCAGTCTGTCGTGAAGATCCGGGTTAGAATTGGTCTTCACAAGCTCATGCTTGCCGTAAGAGGCGACTAAAGGGATGGGGTGGTTAGGCCCGCTGACTTGCTGACGTATCCCAGTTGAGCAGATCGATGCTCATGATGTCAGTCACCTTATTGTCTGGTCCAGATCGCCGACATGTTAACAACAAAGCCAACAGACAACCTACGTGTCTATTGGTATGTACAATGTATTATGTCTGATAAAGTCCATATTGTGATGCATTGGCGAATGTAGCTGTGAGGTAGAGGACATTAGTCGTGTAACTGCACATACATTATACGACTGGACGATTAAGGATAGATTGATGCTCACAGTGTGTTGGTAATATCAATATAGTGTCAAGGTATAATCAAACAAAATTGCAGTGTAAAACGCTCATCGTGCTATGGTTTCAATTCTTCTGTTTCCAGTGAAACTTCGATTTGCGCATGAGTTGTTTGACATTGGGTAAAAACATTAAGTTTTGATTGATAGATGTAAAGATTGAAAAATATAAGGAAACGACACGAGGGGAGCGATTTCAGGGTACAGACGTTATTGCTTTCAGGGTTAGCGATTTCCGATGTACATTTACGTGTTCTGGTAGAAGGAAATCATTAGACATGGCGCCATCTGGCGGTAACACATGCTGGCTGCATACCGCTAGTGACGACAACATGGGAGGGAGGGAGATCAATGAGCCGTGTGACATGTCGGGGAGAACTGTGAACCAAACACGATGTACAGCTAGGGACATTTGTCCATGTTACACATGCATAGATAACAAAGACTAAAGATAGGACTGTTGTCGTGTCCTACCCTACCCCTACAATTGGAGACAAAAACTTTTATAGATACAAACTGTTCTTTTTTCTGTGTAAAGTTTTTCCATTGTGAGTTAAGTTTTGAGTCACATCGGCAGTATTTCAGCCATATCGCGAATCTTCTATTTATGACGTTTCAGGGCTATTCTTGCTTATTCATCACGTGAATACAAGTACTGTGTTAATATACAAAGACTATTTACATGTTTACAAATTGATTAATTTTCTTTGATGTATATCGAGTTAGGTCATCGAGCACTGAAAGTTCGCATGCCATTAGATGTAGATGCCATGCAGATGTACTAGATATGTTGAAGAGTTATTTAATGTATATGTGTTTGAAGGTAAAGTCTGCAATAGTACAGTTTTAAGACGTGGTGTACACATGGAATTAGTAACTGACAGCATCGATCTACGCAATTGGAATTCGATTAACATAAGAACCGGTGCGGACTACCGACTCATTTGGTCGCGTCTTATTTCCTTGCTAAGGACTCAATTCCCAAACCATCCAGGAATCAGGGTCTGCGTCTACTCAAGGCTGGTGTATAACTGAGACTGTGGTGTAATGATTGGTTAAGTGTCTGAGGATACAGGGGGCACAGTGATACCTTTAGTTGCCTTCCAGGGTAGATATCTACAATCAGTTTCAATTCGGCTAATATTTGACTGACCCATTCTCTTCCCACAGAGGTTACTTGTCATATCTTCCTACGAACCTCTGTTCTAATACGGCCCTTTCATGGTGCGAGTGTTCAGGATTCGTGATTGGTTGCAATCAGATTTAGTTGTGCAATCAGCGACGTTGTATGCTTCGGGAAAACTAGAACCTCTCCACTTGCGCGATGCGCAAACATTTCTTCTAGACAGAACTCAGTCATGTAATGGCGGATCAATGGCGTCTCCATCGCCCTCGTTGACAACGGACAAGCTAGCCAATAAATGTCTTGTGTGTCACATCAACATAAGTCCCCGGCAGAGGAGAGATATTTCTAGCCCCATATTTGCTTGCATTAGTCAAGTTGGATCTAAGTCGATGTAACACGTTTTCTGATTGGATAGAAAGAAGGGAGATAATTCGTGTTGCGATTTTTGCCGCTAGGGATTTTACGAGAACGGGGAAATATGGCCATATTAGAACAGAGGTTCGTAGGAAGATATGACAAGTAACCTCTGTGGGAAGAGAATGTGGCTGACCCTGTTGTCAAAGACGCCGCGGTTCGACTTGAAAGGGACTGCGGGCTCACACTCACAGCGTGAAATATTGATGTCTTCAACCTCACGTAATAATAACCGCAAAGCGTTCGTAGCGTTACGAGCTATCGTAAATCCATAGTATATTTGAGGTTTACGAATGTACCACTTGCTACGAACACTTTGTGGATCGGGCCCAAGGATATATGAGTTTGAAAAGGAGTGGTGCTCACTTTCTTCCAGGTATATAATTTTACAATATCTATACATTCATGTACGTGTCTCATGTTTTCAGCCATGCCGACTCTCGCCTTGTTTGGTCTGATGTGTATACTTGGCGCAGTGGCGTCCGACGATTCTGGAGAATGCTCGGGAGACCTTGTGACGGGATTCAGTGCTCGCCAAGGCGGGGAGGGGATCCACACAGAGCTGCAAACTGTACGGGCGGAATGTCCGATAAAATGCGGCTCGATATGCTGTAACACAGGTACCCACATCTACCCATTACAACCCAACTTGCTACTTACACGATTTAAAGCCAATATATTTGGACCGAATCAGCCAGTCATTCGGCAAGAATGGACTTGATGGGGAGTATTGGTAAACACTACCAGGCTTCCATGTGCGATTCCGTCTTAGAACTTATGCGGAGCCTTTGCTCGTCGTAAAGATGACCAATAGGTTAGATGGTCAGTCTGGGTGATTGCTTATCATCATACCCGTAAGTTGTTGCTAACAATGTCAATCACTGCATTGTCTGGTCCAGGGCCCCGTTTCACAAAGCTCTCGTAGCGCTACGACTATCGTAAGTCAATGTTACAGCATAGGAGGTACGAATGCTACGATATCTTAGGCTTACGAGAGCTTTGTGAAACTGGGTCCAGAATGGATCACTCACAAGCTCCCGTCATAAAGTTGAAATATTGCTGAATTCGGCGTTAAACAAACATTGCCTGAAAACTCCACAAGACCCTTCAGTTAGTTCACTAACACAACTGCTGGAATGCTTAGTCTTGCACCAAGTCAGGCGACTTTAGTGGCCAGGCTATGTGTGTTTGAACTAATTGCTTGCCATCGTAGTCTTGGAGTGGTTAGTAGATTATGTTTTAAGTCACAGCTTGCATGGCATGGTCCAGCCTGAATGCTTGCAGACTGCTTGAATGTTGTTGACTGCTATTACACATAATTCTTATGATTTAAGGAAGGACAACAATATATGGATGAACGACTACAGTGGGAGCGACGTTTCGGTGTATGTTCTAACACCGTTATCAAGCAGGTGATCAGTGATGACGGTGTTAGAACCAACTCGGAAACGTCACTCCCACTGTAATAAAGAAGTTGTTCATTCATATATTGTTATCCTTCACTAGCTCTCCAACTTTTAAATGCCTCTCAAAGAAGTTATTATAATTATTTACTCGAGAAGAGGTGTATGATTGTACCAAGATGTCGTCTATTCTGATCATATCTTCTGCTTCCAGAGGGCTGTAACATCGCAGTGTACGACAACGCCACCACAGAAGGAACTCCAAACTGCCGTCTGCTTACATGCAACCCTCTAGAAGCCTGCATTGGTTTTATTGAAGAGACAGATACCACTTTTGTGGTACTAGTCACAAAAAAACTTGCTCGTAAAAAGCGAGCAGCACCTGATGCAGGAAATCCCCAAGGTTTCCCTCCACTCAGTGGAAAAGATCCTTCTGGAATTACACCTAACACATCCGCACCTGGAGCGGGTACCTCACCAGCTGGGAGTAATACCACGACTGTATCATCACAGGCAAATAACAGTTCCAGTGTTCCTGTGTCGGGTAATAACACTGCTACCACGACCGCTGGTGCAACATCTAGTAAAGCAGACGAAAACGCGCCGAACGGAAATGTTTCACCATCCGCAGCGCCTCCTTCTCCAGGTGAAGGTCAGGGGACTCTGATAAGCGGTAACGGCACATTAAATCAGTCGAACCCTGTACCACAAGGCAATATCACACAGAATGTAAGTAGCGACTCGACTAATACAATGCAGGACAAGTCGACAGGCGTTGAGATTGACGGTGCTGGGGTGATAGGGAACAGCGTTCCATCTCCCCCTCCCGGGGGTAACGCCACGGCTTTGAACAGTACCTTATCTCCATCACTCTCAGGGAAACAGGACCTGGCGAGTGCTGCTGGAGCAGTTCCTTCTTCTGCCCCGACTCCTCCGCCTCCCGGTGGCCAGGTAGGCGGCGTCCCTGGTGAAAATGTCTCAAGTAACGCCACGTTATCTCCTCCTCTTTCTGCAATACAGGATAAGGACAAAGGAGTGCCCATTGCAGATGATTCAAAACTTTCTGGGGGATCCTTCCCCACCCCACCCCCTCTTGGTCAATCGGGTAGCACTACTATTAGGACGCCACCACCCCCTTCTCCAGCCACCCCGCCTTTCCCCACTTCTCCCGAGACGCCCGCTGCCGCACCAACTATCAGCAGTGGAACTACTCCTTTCCCTACACCCCCTCCTCTTGGAAACAAAAACCAGACGACGTATCCAACTCCCCCACCACCTTCAACGACGACATCATCTACAACAACAAGTGGTCCTACTACATCACCGCAGTCACCGCAGTCGCCGACGACAACTCAGGGGCCTACTACGTCGCCAACAGCAACGTCACAATCTACATCTACAACAACAACACAAACTACAATAACGCCACCAAAACGTTTGACAACGGTGTCCACAACAAAGAACCCATCGTCGGAGACAACTGCTACAACAACAATAGGCCAGTCAACAACAACATCATCCACAACCACGGCTTCCACGCAGGGCACATCGCCAGCAGCTACAACTCTAAGTTTAGCCACGGAGCAAACAACAATACAATCCACAACACCGTTGGAGACACCAGCACAAACATCGTCCCCCACGACACAAACTACGCCAAACGACGTCGGCTCAACTACATTTTCACCGACAACGACATCAGCGACAGCGAACCCACAAGGTAATGCTAGTGATGCGGAAATTGTAGAGGCAGAAGAGATGCTAGCAGGCGCAATACTAGAACAAGAAACAAATATCTGTAAGTTACAAACAGTTCGAAAGAGTCATAGAATATTCATACAAACAGGATTCCATAGATAACGACAGTGTTCCTTAATACATTTTCGTGTGTTTCCTGTCCTCATACTTTCTGTAAGAGCAGAATAACATTGGCTCAAGGCTCGATCATCGTCAAACCTTGGCTGCCATTATAATCGTTAATATAGAGGAGTGGGAAGTAAGAGAACTCTTGGCCAATTCTTCATGCCACAGAACTCTTTTGATCATAAACATTCATCAAAATCAGTGTGTTATATAAGCTAATGATTTATTCAAGTATTGAAACAATGAGTTAGTAGAAATGCTTAACTTAAAGCGCTTCTTGGGATAATATCATTGAATTACAGTTATTGCTTGTACTCACTTAACCTGCAAACCAGTAAAGGGCATCAAGTCTAAAACAGTACAATATCCACTCAAGGTATAGCCTGTATAAAATTACTTACTTTTTATGTTCATCTTGTGAGGATTATTTGCATTTGTAAGTGTAATACATACACTTTATCCAAAATTGTCGTCGTTTGTACTATCGGCGATTACAACATATTGTATATATACTCATGCTTATAATGGTTGTCACCCCCTTCAATTTTTTTAATTTGAGAGAGGGTGTGGGGTATGGGTGTGAGGTGTGTGGGGGGTTGGGGTGGGAAGGGTTTGACAACCATTATTGGCATGAGTATATATTCCGATCTTCTGAGTCAAAATATTCTTCAGGTTTATATTTAAGCGGAGCGTGGTACCATCTCATTACTGTTAGACTAACTATGTATCAGGGTCGCAGAATAATCAGCGTTTATGTGTTACTGTTTCAGTATCGAAAGAAACTCCTGACTCCAATGGCGGGAACGGAACGCTAAGCCAATCAGCGTCGACCGCTCAAGCAGACTCAGGGCACTTGATGGTTGTTGTTCTTGCATCGGCGTTGTCCATTGGTCTGTTCATCTTCCTTGTGGTGATTATTATTGTTGGGAAGCGAGTGTTCGAGAGCTGGCAGCGACGCCATTACTCCCGGGTGGACTACCTAGTGAATGGGATGTACAACTGACGGCGTGACTTAGAAATTGTGACACCGAAATTCATTCTATCATGTGCAATCAATTCATTTCTTCATGATCTTTGTCAAAAGTCAGCGTTTCTGTGGAAAATGGAATGCGTTCCCATCATGTTTCCATGGCAACGTTTTTAAGTCACTGACATTTGACGTCACCATATGTACTGAATGAGTTTGACTGATGATATCTGGTGAATATAGACGAAGTGTTCTGTATATAGGCTTGGAAGCTGTTGTTGTTGCTGCTGATGCTGCTGTTGTTGATGCTGTATCATATGCTCGAACAACACATGTCCCTACCTGACTGACGGCAGTCACCGGCCTGTACTTAAAAGTAATCCCACATCCTCCGTCCTCTCAACACACGACAACAAATTCGGCATCTGTGTCAACAGCAACATCAAGCGAATGCATGTTTGCGTCCGTTCGAATTGTAAAATCTCGTGATGTATTTTCATTCACAAGGGCTTGTAACACGAAACCCATAGCACCAAGGTATGTATTGTTATCAAAGGTGTCTCAGCACAACGTAAAACCCCGTCAGCGACACTGTATACCTTCATGAGGTGGTATTTGGTTCGTGTGTGTTCTTGCATTCCCTTTGTCAATCTCAGTTGTTACTAATCAGAATCTCAAAGACGGTGACTTTGCCTTCAAAGGGGTACAGTTCAAGCGGTGTAAGGACGTCTCTTCATCCATTCATGTCACTAATCAAATTTAGTGAACAAATTAGTATATATTCAAGCCAAATTAAACATAATCTGCATATCATTACCGTATGTAGATAGACAAGTATTACAATTGCCTTGAGATAAAATCACATTGATAGGGATGTCATTTATTGTATGCATAGGCGGATCCAGAGAGGGGTGGGGGGTGCCAGGGGTGCGCACTCCCCCTTTTGCCCTGAAAGTTGACCATTGAAACTCTGGTGAAAATGAAGTGTGCACCCTCCCTTTTCTCAATAGTGTGAACCCCCCCTTTCTCAGAAAGCTGTATCCGCCCCTGGTTTGGGGTAAGGGTTTTATCTCATGTACACATCTCTTCGAGGTACTTTGGCTGCTGACCAATCTTAAACCGCTTAGCATAAGACCCTTGATGATGTCATACATAGCACCTGTGAATTCGTGTGATAGCGAAGATGCGTGCATTGTTTTGGGTAAATTTAAATCGATTGAACAATAAACAATATTCTATTATATCGTCACACATTGTTGAATAGATGACTATAGTAACATTGTCCATCTCACGGGTAGGGAAACACGTAAACGAAGTGGTACGAACGTTGTCAGTGCGGGTAGTTACCGAGTACTGGAATAAAGGTTTTGAACAAACCGAATGTTCCCATTGGTTTTCATTGGTTGTAGAAATCTTAACTCTAATATAGTGCGTTTAGCTCAATGCGGACCGATGAATTGCAATCTAACTCAAAAACTAATAAACATAAAATACTCAATGAAACACTGATCATAATGAAAACGTCAGACCAACTCTGAGAGGTGTTTGCAGAATTTATGTCCTAAAAATAAAAAAGTTGTTTAACAAACTATCATTAAAATATCGACACAGTTCACTATTTGTTACGAGAGAAGAGTGCAGAGAAAGGGACAGCCGGTTGTGCGAGAAAGGATGGAGACGGCACAGCACAGGTTAATGAATCAATAACTTTGTCGGCATTTGTGCACGTGCTTCTCGAACACCTGGCTGTCCCTTTCTCTGCACTCCTCCCTCGTAACAAATAGTGAACTGTGTCGATATTTTAATGATAGTTTGTTAAACAACTTTTTTTATTTTTAGGACATAAATTCTGCAAACACCTCTCAGAGTTGGTCTGACGTTTTCATTATGATCAGTGTTTCATTGAGTATTTTATGTTTATAAGTTATCGAGTTAGATTGCAATTCATCGGTCCGCTTTTGAGCCAAACGGACTTATAGCCGTCATTAGATTTGCCAAATGTTATGCTGATTTAAAACATGAACATACATGAAACTGATTGTTTGTTGTTTAACGCCGCACTCAGCAATTTGCTGACGGTGGTCTGTAAATAAGCGAGTCTTGACCAGACATTCCAATGACTGAAATCATAACCATCGATCTACACAATTTGGGGTATCTCACCTGACATGTCTGAGGGTGAGTAATACGTTTTGAGTATTACAGAGAAAGATTAAACCTTGAGAAATTAAAATTATTTTATTTACAATATTTATACACTTTTCCCAACCTCTAATGACCATGGGTGAATTTTAAGATTCGTTGACGTCCTTTTCCTGACTTTGCAAAAAACATTATCCACAGATGTTATGACGTCGTTCGAGTCAAACATGGTTCCGACAATGGCTTTCTTTGTGTTTGGGAAGTTCAAATGAAGTCTGACAGGACCTAGATCATATGGAGGTTCAGCTCATTTACATGATCATAAATAATCTCCAGGATCCGATTCAACTGCATCATAAGCATCTGGTCATGAATCACTGTCGCCACTGTCTGGTGATACCAGGTATTCTAGCAATGGTATCCTGTCACACCGGTGCCATCTGTCACAAGGGCAGGTCAAGTGTTCACCCAAAAGAAATATAAAGTCAAAAGAGGGAGTCAACGCGATCCCAAAACACATCCACATTTTTTATGATTGTTTGGACTGAGAATGGTAAACACTCGCTGCAAAATGCTTTATGGACCAGCTTCAAACAGAGTCTGAATGTCAGGAGACATGTTATGAAAGGTGCGTTCATAATTAGGAGTAACAGCTTTTGCAACCCACCTTGGTTATACTTTATTTATTGATGACTTTTCTGTGATAATGGAGCTTAGTGGGAAGTGCGTGCTCAACAAGCAGTTTGTCGCTCAGTCATACACCGGTTGGTCTTCAAATGTTGGATTCTCTTCCAGGGAAAGGGATCTCCCTGGCAACTCTGCTGCCCACTTTTGCATTGGAAAGGGCATTCTTGTTAGTGATCTATTCATACCTTTATGAAGGTGTTATACGTTTTCTGCAAGTATTTGATCACTATATGCCTTCCAAGTCTGTGTATTGCCTCAAAGTCACAGACCCCAGGTTATTTGTCTGAACAACACGTGCGGTGGGGTAGCCTAGTGGTTAAAACGTTCGCTCGTCACGCCGAAAACCCGGGTTCGATTTCCGAAGCCCATTTCAGGTAACCACAGTTGTGATATTGCTGTATTATTGCTCAAGGCGGCGTAAAACCTCACACACTCACTCACATCGGAACAATTTGCGCAACTGACTACAATGTATGTTGTTTTGGTGGATTTTATCTCTATAACATAACGTCCACACAAAAAAATTACAATATTACACAGTTCATTCTGAGGTTCGGCTCTATCAATAAACCCACATATATAAAATATTCTTCTTATCTGAATCAGGATTATCAATTAGTATTGGCTTAGGAAAACATTTACACATTAGTAATAACGCTTATGTAATTCAATATATTTTTATTCAACAAGAATGTACATAAAAATCAAACGATTTTGAGTCTGAATATATAATGCATATGTACATATCACATCAACGATATAGATATACTGTATAGATAATACCAGTGAGAAATAAAATATGCTCATTGAATATCTTTCTCACAGATTGCGATGAGCTTATCAAATATAAGGGTGAATATAACCGCCACAGGGTACTTGCACGATCATTGTCAAGCTGTACCTGTAGGATAGAAGGAACGAGTGACATGTTTGTCGTATTTATGGTACACGACTTGCATACGCTAATGTCTGATTTCCATTTTAAATATTTAACAATACAAAAAGAATTTGTATGTATTCCAGTAACTAATACATAGTTCCATAAACCCACTTTGGTGCTTCTCGGAAATGCTTTGGTTGTAAAGCACGTCCAATGTTCCACTAATGAACCGGAGTTATTCGTTGTTTTCTTTTGTACTAGCTCTGATAAACGTATATTTATTTAACAAGAAAACACTTTCACAAGCTTCTGTGTATATGTACTGGACAAGTAGCATGCAAATTACAGAAAACTCACTTAGAAGGCCTTTTGCTTGAGGCTGTTATGAGAAAAGTATGAAAGTCGTGATGGAAGACAAAACAGTGAATACTGGCGTATTCCACGTTAGCACATGCATCACAATAATAAAACCCATCCCGCTTGAAGTCTGTTATACAGACCCTGAAACAAATATATCCATGAAAGTCAACACTATTTGGCGAGTCTAGATTACTGATGTTATAGGAATGAAGACAGTCTCTCGGTTCCTGTTTCGTATATTTTATCAAGATTGTCTCAGAGAAATAATTTCTAGGGTTGGGTATTGCCAAAGTTTTCGTATTGCGATATATTGTGATAAATGTTGGCGTATTGCAATATGTATTGCAATATATTGTGAAAGTACAACACATGGGTTAAGGTAAATAAATTACTGTTTCCTTTCTCTTGAAACAATTCCACTGGCCACTGTGAGGACTCATATGTGATTGTACAAGAGATAAATTGAACAAGTTTGGATCTCGAGTAAAAGCGTTTGCAGCGGCGTCCGCCATTTTGGTTTGCCCGTACCAATCTATTTTTTATATATATGGTTTAAAAGTCACGCAAATGCAATTAAATGAACATTAAACATTTTCAAAACTGTTAATGTATAATAATATAAAGGAAATACAAATGTTACTATTAGTTTTGACTACATCACGAAAATTACCGATCGTATCGGGTGAACCGGTTCGCGGAAAGTGTACCGCAATATATCGTATTGTGAAGTTCGAATTGCAATATACCGGTTAACCGGTATTATTGACCACCCTTAATGCAAACAATAACTCTAACCTTGATGAAAACAGCACGCACTCCACAAAAACACCCTGGTGTTAAGCAGTCTGCAGTTGCTATATTACTCAAAAGAAGTCTAAGATCATTTGACAGTTAAATGTCAGGGCTATGCAACATGACACTAACTATAGTCATATGAACATATCGGAAGTCCTTTAACTTCATTTGAATAGTGTACATTTCGGAATGGATAGATAATTCACAACCTTGATACCGAGTTTCAGTGCAGTGATAAATAACGCTAAGGATGGAATGCAATATGGAGAAACACCGATATATTGCATATGGAATCCATCATCTTCATGTGACATTGATTTGTCAACAACTGAGCGTCACAAATCTTATCAGGTTGCAGCCACGCAGTTTCAATAATCATTTGATTCACTCGTTAGCGCACTATCTTTAGAGTTCCGAACAATTAAAGCCATCACGTGTAAAACATTTTGTATTTTGAAAAACGATTGGGCAGATATAGGAAAGCTATGAGAATCTCGTTTTGGACTTCGAGGGTAATTGTAGTATCCAGTCAACCATCGTTCTGTCGAAGGTTAAGGGACCCACAGCTCGAGCTATTAGAAGTTCGACACAACCGTGTTTGACTGTACTCTGTACGATGTTTGACTTACACTGTACGGTGTTTGACTTACACTGTACGATGTTTGACTTACACTGTACGGTGTTTGACTTACACTGTACGATGTTTAACGTACACTGTACGGTGTTTGACTGTACGCTGGTCTAATGGACAGTGATCCGACTGAAAAATGACAGCAATGACCCACCAGGTTATCGGGCCAAGCTACCGCATATATACTCACGTAGACATTGTACGATAGAACTGAACATGAGGTCAACCGCCCTATGTTAATATACATGACAATTTAATGTAAAACTCCTATCTGGTTGACATGGGTGTGGTGCAAACCTAAGCCCATCTTACCTGCCACAGTTCGGCGACTGAAGCTTCGTCTTTTCAGATGTAAAAGAAAGCGCTTTTCTCCTATGGCCCGCTTCGTGTATTTATGTGTGTATTATCATTTCCTTACCTACAATGGTTATGACTGTGAAATGCGTCCAGAATCTGACCAGAATCACGATGGGATAGTACAGTATACATGCCAAGATACATAGCATCAGCAGTTCTGGCATAACTGTAAGCTTATAACTAGGGTACAGTGGAAGCATCTGGTTTGGCAACACATATATTTGGCATGATGTGTAGTTAGGGATGAGGTGATCTTGTTGATGACTGGTGAATGTCATTCTGGCAGTCTTTGTTCATTGTGTTGACCAGACAGTCTATCAGACATGACATCAATATAAAGACGCGTGTCTTTAACTGTTATGTCTGCAACAGTGGTAAAGACTATACTGCAATGCAATACTGATTCTCCAATACTCTGTATGGTATACGTGTATACTCATGTATAACAACTTTAGTGTATATGGAGATATTCACAAAATACCGTCATAATGAAATGATTACTTAATGTAAAATAGTATAGTTCATTGCAAACAGACGCAAAGTCATACCTCAGAAGGTACTCCTGTTACCATCTCTAAGGTAACAACAATCACTGCAACAGGTTACATACGGAATCAGTTTTATAGATATTTCCGGCAACCACCGTTGTCTTCACAAGGAAGTCATTATAAATGTGCCGTCATCTTCATCAATGTCTTCAGCTGGGTTTTGTATCTCCTCGAATGGGCGGTCACTTTTCGTTGTGTGGTCTTCCTCGTCCGTCTCCGCCCCCTCTGTCCCTCCACCAACTACGTCAGATTCCACAGCGTCCTCGTCCTTTGGGTCAGGGATGACTTGAACTCGGACTTCGCTGAATCTCACTTTCTTCGCGTAGTCTGGTTCGGGTTCATCTTCTGCCTCGTACGGTTCTTCATCTTCAGGATCAGATTTCCTCACCCGAGGAGGGGTCGGTGGAGGAGGGGGAAATCCGTCACTGCTATCTTCATCATCTTCCACAGCCTCATTCTCGTATACGTCCGCAGGAGCTTCATCCTCTACGTCCCGAGGATCTTCATCATGTATGTCCCGTGGTGGTGGAATGTTAGGTTCCTGGAGTGGTTCAAGAATGGGATCCGCCTCATGGGATGGTACCGTCTCGTCCTTCTCATCATCTTGGTCAACATCTTCATCTTCAATTGACATAAGGGCAGTTTGAGTTTCTGGTTCTTTCTCTTTAACCACTACTGCATAGTCTGGATTTGCTATCTCTTCTTCCCCATCCCCATAGTCAGGGTTTGGATGACTCTGAGTTTCCACATGTTCTGGTTCCGGGGTTTCCTCTGAACTGAGGTCAACAATGACACCCTCCGTTATCTCACGCCTCTCTGCTTCCTCCTCGATGTGGGTGTACTGAGTTACCGTATCCTGATTCTCGTCTCCAGCCCTGTTGTCATTGTTGTTATCATCCTCGACAAAGCCTTCGTTGACGACTGGGACAGCGTCGCCGTTGGGTTGTTGTGCCGCCCCCAGCAGCTCCTGAGTGGAACCAGTCTGACTATGGACAGACTGCCTATCCCCGACGGTTTCTTCTTCCACTGCCTGGGTCTCGTAGATGGTGCCTTGTTTGGACAGGTTCCTCACTAGACGCTCATGGTGTCTGGAACATACACGTCGGTAATTAACCACATAGGCGCTACATGCAACTCAAAACAATTCCAAAGTAGGTAGTACAGACGCTGCTTTGGAGTATTCATCGTAAATCAACTTAGTCTATTCCTCTGCCATTACATGTCATTTCACCTACGCGCACCTAAAATCACAATGAATGTGAATTGGATTCCAAACGGTTATTGGATTCGGAACTAAGGGACATAACTCTTCACACCTCTTGGTGACCAATGTAGTGATATGCTTTAAACATTATCTGAAAACTTTCAACTTTATCTCTTCTAATGTTATGTTAACATGATTATAATCGTAGGTGTGCGGTGCTCGAGAAAAGTAATCAATGTTCCCTTGCCCCAATATTTGGCTCCAATATGGCATATCGTTCACTTCAACATGCTATAGGGTTCAATTCAAAGGGCAATACCAAAGTACAGACTGACCACCGGATATGTCTAGTGGATAAATACGTTAAATCAAACATATGTGTCGCCTTTAAATCCTTTTTTGTTAGACTGTCTGCTTTTTATTAAATGAGCATGATGTTGTTACTTTTTCCAACAAAATTGTGGTTGCTTGATGTTTGAGTCCACTTTGTTAAGCAGCAGATCCTGTCATCCCATTCTTCATGGTTATCGAGTACAGTGTCTCACAATTGCACACATGATGTTGGGTGTGAGTAGATCTGATCATAGACCTGGTCCACGTCGTTCTGAATCTATGCTACAACCACTGAATGAAATACGCTTGTGTTGTCCAAAAAGGCAAAGGTTGTTGGCAGACCAGTTCCTGTTAGGCATTGTCCGCTAAGACATTTTGAATAGGGCACATAAGTAGGTCACGGCACTTCGCGAGACCTTAGTACTTCCGGTGACAAACAATGTTTCATACCTTTTCAAATGGTATCATGGTTGTTAGTTGACATTAAGGAACCGATAATCCTTGCAGGAATAACAACTTTCCCATTCCCAAATTAGCCAACTATTACGACAGTCAAACATGAATGTACTCTTGGTCCGGTCTAGTAAAGTCATATTTGGCGGTCACGCAATTTGGAACCACAACTGGTTCTTCAATATGCGTTTGTCACCGGAAATCTGGTACCGGAAGTAAGCTGGGCCCCGTCTCGCATATCGCAAGTTGGGCCGGGAACCAGCTAAGTATCGGAAGTAGCGCCTCGCTAGACTACAGTCCTACAACAGGCCTCAAAGTGAATGATATGATCGCATACAATAAGAACACCCTAATTCAGTGTATCAGTATAATTTTCACAGCTATTTTTCTGAATCTGTTCCTGAGATTAGTCCAGTCTGGTTATTTGCACTTACGTTCTATATATATATTTCATCCTATCGTTATTACGTTTATGAGATACCTTTAAAACATGCATATGGGCTGCGTGAACATATATAACAGATAAACGTCTTAGATGGCCGATTGTTTTTGTTTCCGAGTTTTTTACTGTAATGTTTATCAGCGTCCTTGCGGTTCCTTTCGTTATTACATACTTACCGATGACGTTTTCGGTTTATATGAACAATAACGATGATAACGATGACAGAGATGACGGCGACGACAATAGCGGCGGCGAGGAGAGCGATGAAGGGAGTCGTGAAGACCTCTTCAGACTTGTTCTGGTAGGGGGAGAACAGAGCCAGTACTCTGTCGTAGTTGCTGTTCACCTTCCTGGACAACAAGGGCACGGTTCTCATAACACACCTTCATTTTCGGAAACACGTGGTCTTAACAAATCTCAACTCCATGAGGAACATGTGAATTGAATGACGTTAGTGTACAGGGACACCTCTCCAGCTGGACCACCTTCCCTACGGTGTACCGGTTAAGGCAATATGACATTGGTTTGGCTGAAAACACACACGCACACGCACACGCACACGCACACGCACACGCACATGCACGCCCTTTGGAGAGAACTATTCTAAGTTGGATAACCTGTGACCAATTCTTTTCATGAATGAATAAAATATGTTTCAATCAAACAGCACACAAACGCACACGCACACGCATAAATAATTATGGACACGAGAAAGGGACTATACATAAATCCAAATCAGCAGTTCTAGCAAATTTTAGACTAAATAATTAAAAGCACATTATGTTTTTGTTAACAGCATCAACTTTATTGATGATAACAGTAATAACACACAAACTACGTCTAGGAGTCTCATTAGTATTATTAGAAAGTTGAAATATGTACTTGAAATTGTCAAAGTGAATTATACCCGTTTAACAATATAGGTCACTGTTGGGGATGTTGCTAAAGAGATGCTTATATTTACCGCAATTGATTTTACATATTTATTGAAAAGATTGACTATAATTTCTACTGGACTAGATTCAAACCCCTGTGCCTCCTCTAAAAGGGTCTGGAATTTCGTCTGTGTGAATGTCAGGGTTCGGGTAAACACATTTGTGTAAACGTGGTATGAAGATTTAATCCTGTTTGTCTAGCCCAGTTATAGGCTGTCTGTATGGCAGATATACTCACGCTGTCAGGTCATCTCGATGGACTGTCGCCTCTTTAGCAGTCAGTCGGAAATAGGAGCTACAACAACACGTGAAGTTGAACACATCACACAGATGCAACTAATATTGATACTAGTAGCAGGAAGTTCTTGTAACATCAGTTTCTCTTGCAGAATTGGTTTAGAATTGGTCTCCAACAACCCATGCTTGTCGTAAAAGGCGACTAATGGGATCGGGTGGTCTGGCTCGCTGACATGGTTTGACACATTCCATCGTATCCCAATTGCGTAAGAACAATGCTCATACTGTTGATCACTGGATTTTCTGGTCCAGACTCGATTGGTGTGTTGACTGCCGCCATATAGCTAGAATATTGCTGCGTGTGGCGTTAAACAACAAACAAGCAACTCTTGTATTACCAGGTATGGCGCTACACTTAACGGTCATGTAGTGTTATACCACAGTAAGTAATATACAGCAATGGAAAGAAACGCAACTAATCAAGGCAAAGTGGTGTGTGTTCGATGGTGAGACTGTCATCCTGGTCAGTTGTGTGTTCTGCTGATACCAATGTGCCTGCTAATGGAAGAGTGAGTGAGTGAGTTAAGCTTTACGCCGCACTCAGCAATATTAAAGCTATACGGCGGCGGTCTGTAAATAATCGAGTCTTGACCAGACAATCCAGTGATCAACAGCATGAGCATCGATCTGCGCAACTGGGAACCGATGACATGCGTTAACCAAGTCAGCGAGCCTGACCACCTGATCCCGTTAGTCGCCTCTTACGACAAGCATAGTCGCCTTTTGTGGCAAGAATGGTTTGCTGAAGACCTGTTCTACCCCGGATCTTGAAAGCCATTACTCAATCCTGAAATGTCACTTCCCATGTCTCTTACGTGACGTTACAATTCTAACATCGCTTTATTGACATTATCTCAAAACACAGCTGGTTATAAACAAAATTCATATTCACTTTAGGACTCTTTTGCATGTTTTCAAAAGCAAACATCAATCTATGGGTCTCTGTTCACCATCGTATCACATTTTACGTAATTCGCTTTCTGTTGTTACTGAGTACAGTTACGTTTTATCATGAAGGGTTGTACATAACTAAGGCCAGTGTTGATAGCATGGGTAAAGATTCCAATGAGTGTAAGTACTTCGATGGCGACGATTAGAGGGTAGCTAACTTACCTTGCTCCGTTGTCTACATCCGCGCTCTGGATGTTGCCAATATCGATGCTGATGTTCAGAATGGCAGATATTTGCCTTGAAAGAAAATTACACGTTTGACATTACTTGAATATATATCATGTTCTTTATACTATACCCGCCTTTCTCTGCTAAATCATTAGCATCATTAGCATAATAAATAGTATATCCATGCCTTACATCAAAATATTTAACGACAACATTAATAGTGCCTGGCTAGCTATTATTGAAACGTTCGTAGCCCTAAGAACTTCTTAAGCCCATTCTTAACACATTGGCTACGATCAAAGTTAAGAATCCTTAGGGCTACGAATGCTTCGAAAACATAGGGCCCTAGCTCTGACATCAAGATGCAATGTACACCCAGCCCTTTGTTCTCCTCGATGCTTGTTCATCAGTCTTTCCATCTACATCTCCTCATCCCTACCCCCTGCTACTTCAGACTCACCCCGCAAGCGAGTCTTTATCTTTCTCAATGTCCCCCTTCTCCGCCGGTGCGTGGAACATGGCGTATGCATTCTGTGCACCAGCAATAACAACCTACAAGGCAAACATTGGCAACTATAGACATAGAATTGTCACTGGCTAAGAACACCGTCGACATTTATTAAGTAGTAGTAATCACCTCGACAGCAGTTGTAGTCTTCAGAGGGAAAACCCCACCGTCCGTTGCGACAACCAGCACCTCAGTTGGCGATTCTGGCACAATTTTGAACGTTATTGTCCCCGTGTTTCCCTCGATGTCAAACTGCATGGAAGATCTGCCAATCAAACAGAACGTCACATTACATCCCACAGGAAGATACCGTCTAAATACACGCTACCTGCGTAATGCTAGAATATTTTATGAAATATATATTAATATTATTAGCATGTTGTTAGTAGTACTAGGTGATACCTACTCTGTGCCCTGGATGCCGAAGGTTACTACTCCATTGATGCCTTCATCAAGGTCGTACGCCTGGAAGTAGGGGAGATCATCATTATATGATTATAACTATCCCCAGGTTTCATTTTCCCTATATATTCTAGCATAAATTTTCTTCGTACCTTTAGGTCAAGGTTTTTAGGCCTGGTACACGACCACTGCATTTATTTCAACTACTACCACTACTACTGCTACCACTACTACCACTACTACTGCTACCACTACTACTCCTACTACTGCTACTACTACTACTACCACTCCCTCCTCTACTCCTCCTCTACTACTACTACTACTACCACTACTACTGCTACTACTACTACTACTACTACCTACTGCTACTCCTACTACTACTACCTACTACTACTACCACTACCTACTACCACTACTACTACTACTACTACTACTACCACTACTGCTACTACTGCTACTACTACTACTACTACTCACTACTACTCCTACCACTACCTCCTCACTACTCACTACTACTGCTACTACTACTACTACTACTACTACTACTACCACTACTACTACTACTACTACTACTACTACTACTACTACTACTACTACTACTACTACTACTACTACTACTACTACTACTACTACTACTACTACTACTACTACTACTACTCTAGCAGTTGCTGCAGCTACAAGGCCATCACTACAATAGTTTAACGCCACACTCAACTACTTGTTCCAGTTATATGACGGCGGTTTGTAAATAATCAAGTCTGTAAGACAGAATGAGAATGAGCATCATGCGATGAAAACCGTCAAACAAGATCAACCTGACCACGCGACAAGTGTCAATTGCTAGTCAACCTTCGACGTATAACAAATAGCGTTCATTACCCAAATATAGACATACTAAAGTCTGTTGAGAAGATGAGTAAGCTTTTTAATAATAAAATGTAAAAGCATGTTTTAAATGTGTTCTATATATTGTTTTCCCAAACAGTTAGTTAAACACAGCAATGTTACAGTTGCCAGGGAGGTCATTCAGCTATATCAATCTATGACAGGTCTATGACGCTTCACATCACTCACTCTAACCACGCCCAATACGTCTCCAATTTTAGCGTCGACGGAGACGCTGAAACTGTAGTCTGACATGTTGAAGATTGGGGCGTTGTCGTTCACGTCAAGGACGACGACGTGGAGGGTGATATTGGCTTCAATCTGAAAGGAGAGGTTCCAAAACTTTACTTCGGTCGACTAACATGAGTACACAGCATACATAGTCAGGCAAGGATGTCTCAACATGAATCATGTTTATAAGATGTTAAGTTATTACTTCTATTTCGCAATAAATCTACATTAAGGGATGATGTGATGTGATGTGAAGAACGGTTCAGTACGGCCCATTTGATATTATACACTTTGGGGGTTGGGGTTGGTTGGGGTTGGTTGGGGTTGGTGATGATGAAACCTGGGATTTAATCGGACAAAGCACAGTGCCCTAACTTGCTTGAGAACAATAATTATGCTTGAAAATGAATGAACCAGTCATCCACAAAATAATGTATAGCTGCTAGTGTTTAAAATAATAATTGCCTTATGTTTTCAATTTAAAAAATAATTAACTGGTTTTTAATCTGCAGCGGAAAGGAAACACCTAGTCCACATATAGAATCCCCTACCCATTCCCTGAAACCGTCAAATCCCACATGTACATACAGCGTTCATTCAAGATGCACTTCATTTGAGAGCGCCCAGCAAGTCCTTTTTTGCACACACACCCCCTCTCCCTGTATCCCCCTACTCTACCACAGTGCCCCGCCACCCCAACTACCTACCGTAGTTCCTGTCATGACGTCGATGACGAGGGTGTAGCTGGTGGTGTTCTCGCGGTCGATGTCGGCGGCGGTCACTACTTGCTGGACATGGTCTCTGGGGGTGGCAACCATACCATACAATGCAGTATTCAGTGTGTCACGTAACGGGATATTTTATATCTATCAATTATTCATGAAAACATGCATACACCATGTTTCCATCCTTCTTCCAGGTATATGCTTACCAAAAATAATGATGAAGTGTATCGTAAACATTTCTACTGTTACCTACAGTTTCGGATAGATTTGGAAAACTATGTCAGAACATTTAGGGTAAATGTTCAGAAACTGTTGGTGCAAGGTGCATTAATACGACGGCTTATACCGGACCTTGTATCTTATTAACCAGCCAATTTAACGAATATTCACCAGTAACATTCCCAGTTATGTTTGCATCGTGTGTTAGATTCACCCAGAAAGATGTTATTGTTTGTGTAGGTTCAAATGATCCGTAAACCGATCTAACTTTATTTGCTTGTAATGAGTTTAGACACTGTAAAAGCTTCTTTGATTGGCATTCTAGAAGCTGGGAAGTACAAAATAGACACACGTTACGCATAACAACTTCCTTATTACAGGAGTGTGTCGTTTCCATACCGTTGTCAAGCAGGAAGATCATTCCTATAGATTGTTTACATTGTAAAAGCTGATTACGCATAATGATGGGTTTTGTGGCCCACAGCTTATAAACGATACATTCTCACTCATCTTATCAATATAACTCAAGTTTGTCAAGTATTCAGCAATTTTTCGGTGATTTGTAAATATTCCAACCTGGACCACTCAATCCGGAGATCAACATCATGAACATCGATCTACACAACTGGGATACGATGACATGTGTCAACCAAGTCAGCGAGCCTGACAACCCGATCCCGATAGTCACCTCTTACGACAAGCATGGGTTACTGAAGACCAATTCAATCCGGGTATACGTAAATATGAAACGAAAAGTTTGGATAAATGGTAGGCTTTTACACTAATAAAACGATATGCATTGCCCGCACTGTAGTTAATCTGTTAGCACCGGGTTGAATCGCTCAGTAATCTTCTACGAAAGATGTCAAGATGGCGTATGGAATGACGGGTACATGTCCGCAGATCGATGTCGCCATACCTACCATGTCACATCAACAAGACTGGCAGTGTACACATCACTTACTGTTCGACGATCTTGAAGGTGTTCATGTGAGTGGTGAGTTGTAGGCGATACCCGCTGTACGCGATCTGTAAGGAGAAGAGAGCTTTTAACCCGGCTTAAAAGCATGGCGTCATTCGCTAGAGGATTAGAGAACTGTTATAACATAATACACGTTCAAGCGGGGAAGGTGATTGGGAAATAAATATTGTGTTCAGGATTATTGCAATTATATGGCGACAAGTACGAGGGGCGATCAAAAAGTATGTAGAATCACCAAGAAAACGATACAAATGCAGTTATTTTTATGTTGTTGTTTTTCTACATATTATCTGTCAAGCTCAAGCAATTTGGTTTTGTATATGTTCCAGTTTCACGATCCTCATTTTGTTTGACCATTTCTCTTGGTACCCTCAAAAACCGCAAAATCTACAATAAATGCATCAAAAACTCCAGAAAATATAATTTGCCAGAAATATTTTGTGTGTTTGAGATTGATAGAAGTCCCCTAGAATCACACTTAGATATTAAAGTTCATAAAAAAGCAATTTGAAATTACAATCGCTTGTTAAAGTGACTCCTCCCTTTATGTTGACTGAAAGAGCTTGTTTTGGAGACACTACCCATCCCCCTTTCAGATGACGTAATCATAAGGGGATAGCGTATTCTAATGTTTTCACTTATTCATACATGATGCCAAGGGTTCAAACTAAATACTGAATGGTCACACAAGTGTCAGCTGACAATATATTGTAAACAGTGCAAGCTTGAATATCTGGACACAATGTTTTTGAAAGATTAAAATTGGGGTGTCCTTAAAAAATAACCACAGACTAAATATAAATCAGGCAATCTAAATCTTTGACTGTTGATCATGACGGGAAGTCATCCAATACTATACTGAACATATTTTAAAGGACATTATCAGAGGGCATACAGTTATCCAAGAAGTATCAAAAGACAAATCGTTTTTCATTTTCTGCAATTTTGTTAGAAATATTATACCCCAATGTTTGTGATGACAAATATCTGGTTAGCCACATTACCCACACATGTGAAATTTTGGATATGGCTTTACTAACGATTCCTTCAAAATAAAATGGAAGCTCTTCAACATTGGACATCGAGAGGCTACGTACTTTTGATCGACCCTCGTACGTGTAACAGCTTGTGATTGCGTGCGTGCGTGGGTGGGTTGGCGGGTGCGTGAGTGCGCGTGTGCGTGCGTGCGTGTGTCTGCTTGTACTAGTCCGGACTAACATCAATATCATAGTGATGGGCCCTGTTCCACAAGGCGATGTTAGCGTCACGACAACTGAATTCCAGTGTTAAAGTATGGGGGTTACGATCGCCTATTTCTAAGATGGCTTTGAGATACCATGCCAACACCAGCCATGTGAGATGCCATAGTGAGACCCCACGGAGACACAGAACACGGACACCGAGTTATGTCTCAAGTGCCAACACTTAACGTCCTTTGTATGACTTGTCCCGGATCTAATGTCCTAACTGCCCTTCTCCGGGCAGCTCCAGACCATGAGATGGTTTGGAGATACGGTTATATCTTAATGCATGTAATAAACGTAAAAAACATCTCTTCTCTTAACTGCATCATCATCGTCATTATCGTCGTCATCATCATCATCATCATCATCATCATCATCATCATCATCATCATCATCCATCACCTTGTTATGTGATATAGTAAGAATATCGCCAAATCATTCTTAATACAATATGTAATATAATTTGAAAAGTCACCCGTTGTCTTTAATGATTAACATGGCCAATGAAAAATCGGCAACAATTTTAACATATTTTATTCCAAACACCCAGGAGCACTACGTACCGGTATGGTGTAGACTATTGTACCAGCGGCGACGTTTTCTGTAACGTTAACAGTCCTCTTGGAGGAGGTGACGTTTTGGTCGGGGAACGTCACGGTTATCAGCTCGCTGCTGCAGCGACTGCAGTAAAAGGGCATTAATACGAGACACCGTTGTTAAGGAAAGATACACGGAAGGTCTTTACACTTTACGATACCGCCAAGTGAAACGATGATACTGCTTATGCAAGCATCTAAGTCTACAAATTAAAAATCAATAGTAAGAATTTATACAAGAATAGTCTACAAAAACGTTATTTTTTGCTAGTGGTGATAAATTTCAATTCCGCCAACAGGGCCATCCATATTTTATAATGTGACTCCCGTCTCAGCCTCAAACTGCAGAAGAGAGAAAAACACAAATCAAATTTGCATTAATTATGAAACTTATTTTATGAATTTATAAAATATTAGTCACTTGGGAACATTGTTTTAACAAATGTGGATGAAGAAAGATCGAGTTTTTGTTTTTCAGAGGATAAAGTTTGCAAAGCGAGAAGAAAACTTGAGGTAAAAAAACTTAATTACTTCACGTCGAAATGAAAATTCAGGGCGGGCTGGAGATGGGAAACACAGAATAAATATACGGACAGGGCAATCTAGACTAGCTGTTCTAGTGATGACACCGGGTGTTCGCGAATGGTTACCTGGATTGTCCATTATCACATGCTTGTACCAGGAACACCTCCTCGCGCTGATTGGCTACTGGGTTGACTTGAGTGATACTACCCGTTGTTTCGTTAACGGAAAAGTCGCTATGTTGGATGGAGTACGTGACACGGCCGTTATCACCGATGTCTTCGTCAGTAGCGGTAACCTCGAGAGCAAAAACAACAACCGATCAGAGTGAGTGAGAGAGAGAGAGAGAGAGTGTGTGTGTGTGTGAGAGAGAGAGAGAGAGAGAGAGAGAGAGAGAGAGAGAGAGAGAGAGAGAGAGAGAGAGAGAGAGAGAGAGAGAGAGAGAAACGTTAACAGATCCCTGCAACACTTACAGTTCCAATTTGTTCAGCGGCTTCATTATTCGACGAGAAACTGTAGGGTGCCCCGACAAACACTGGACTGTGGTCATTGATGTCCAGCAGAGTGATGTGCACTGTGGCTGTGCAGTCCGCCATGCAACTTGGACTCCCGGATGCTGGAGCAATCAGCTCAGTGGCGTTAACCTGTCGTGTGCATACAGATGAAACTAGTTTCCTACCAGTGGCAACATTTTGATGTTGGCTACTTTAGTCCTGAATGCTTTACTGAAGTCAATACATCCATCAATAAATCCTTATCCTTAAGGTGTCATTTCACCTGAGAAATAGCATGTGATAGCTCGTGTTGAACTGAATATAATATTGAAACATAAGCAAACTGTTTTAAATAGGACGAAGTTACCGATGATTGTGAAACTACTTCCGGGTCTATATTTACAGAAGGACCAGCCTACTTCAAGATGTCGCGGTTTATTCTGCCTCATCTTGCGCATCTTCTGTCAGACACAGATGTTAAACAATGCATCACCATACGGAAAATCCTTCAAATGCAACAGGTTATGCTGAGTATGGACAATCAAGAATGAAAATATACTGACGGTGACAGTAAAGGTGCTGTGAGTCTCCCTGTCGAGGAGGGTGGAGTTCCGGACCTGAAGGTAGCCGGTCTGGGGGTCAATGTTAAACACGTCGCTCTCAGGAACCAGGGTGTAGTTGAACAAGTTATTTGGGTCCTGCAATGTGCAACAAAGCAAGCATCAGTTAAATGTATCCGTAACTGTCCATACTAACCTGGGTCAGTGGTGTGGCCTAGTAGTTAAAGCGTTCGCTCGTCACACCGAAGACCCAGGTTCGATTCCCCAGATGGGCACAATGTGTGAAGCCCATTTCTGGTGTCCCTCGCTGTGATATTGATGGAATGCTAAAAGCGGCATAAAACTAATCTCACTCACTCACACATACTAACTCAAACACTTCCCCCAAATCAAGTCACAGTCACCAATGATGAGGCTGACAGCACCAAACCTGATTGACAACGGTACATATACCAAAAACGCCTCATCACAAAAGAATAAAGAAATTATCATCTATGAAGCGTCTTGCTGTTACGACAACCATACATCCTCCATAGACCATACCTACACTGTCCACAGTCCTCATCCAGTCTTTACTATACTGTCCACAGATTCCTAATCGCTCCTTCAGCCACGCTTACACTGTCCTTAAATGTCCATTAAACCACGCCTACATTACTGTCCACAGATTCATAACAGTCCATCAAACCACGCCTACATTACTGTCCACAGATTCATAACGGTCCATCAAACCACGTCTACATTACTGTCCACAGATACACGAAGGTCCATCAAACCACGTCTACATTACTGTCAATAGATTCATAACAGTCCATCAAACCACGCCTACATTACTGTCCACAGATACACGAAGGTCCATCAAACCACGCCTACATTACTGTCCACAGATACATAACGGTCCATCAATCCATGCCTACATTACTGTCAATAGATTCATAACTGTCCATCAAACCACGCCTACATTACTGTCCACAGATACATAAAGGTCCATCAAACCACGCCTACATTACTGTCCACAGATACATAACGGTCCATCAAACCACGCCTACATTACTGTCCACAGATTCATAACTGTCCATCAAACCACGCCTACATTACTGTCCACAGATACATAAAGGTCCATCAAACCACGCCTACATTACTGTTCACAGATTCATAACGGTCCATCAAACCACGCCTATATTACTCTCTACAGATTCATAACGGTCTATCAAACCACGTCTACATTACTGTCCACAGATTCATAAGGGTCCATCAAACCACGCCTACACTACTGTCAATAGATTCATAACAGTCCATCAAACCACGCCTACATTACTGTCCACAGATACATAACGGTCCATCAAACCATGTCCATTCTACACTACTGTGCCTACATTACTGTCAATAGATTCATAACAGTCCATCAAACCACGCCTACATTACTGTCCACAGATACATAACGGTCCATCAATCCATGCCTACACTACTGTCAATAGATTCATAACAGTCCATCAAACCACGCCTACATTACTGTCCACAGATTCATAACGGTCCATCAAACCACGCCTACATTACTGTCCACAGATTCATAACGGTCCATCAAACCACGCCTACATTAATGTCCACAGATTCATAACGGTCCATCAAACCACGCCTACATTACTGTCCACAGATTCATAACGGTCCATCAAACCACGCCTACATTACTGTCCACAGATTCATAACGGTCCATCAAACCACGCCTACATTACTGTCCACAGATTCATAACGGTCCATCAAACCACGCCTACATTACTGTCCACAGATTCATAACAGTCCATCAAACCACGCCTACATTAACTGTCCACAGATTCATAACGGTCCATCAATCCATGCCTACACTACTGTCCATAGATTCATAACAGTCCATCAAACCACGCCTACATTACTGTCCACAGATTCATAACGGTCCATCAAACCACGCCTACATTACTGTCCACAGATTCATAACGGTCCATCAAACCACGCCTACATTACTGTCCACAGATTCATAACAGTCCATCAAACCACGCCTACATTAATGTCCACAGATTCATAACGGTCCATCAAACCACGCCTACATTAATGTCCACAGATTCATAACGGTCCATCAAACCACGCCTACATTACTGTCCACAGATTCATAACGGTCCATCAAACCACGCCGCCTACATTAATGTCCACAGATTCATAATGGTCCATCAAACCACGCCTACATTACTGTCCACAGATTCATAACGGTCCATCAAACCACGCCTACATTACTGTCCATAGATTCATAACAGTCCATCAAACCACGCCTACATTACTGTCCACAGATTCATAACGGTCCATCAAACCACGCCTACATTACTGTCCACAGATTCATAACGGTCCATCAAACCACGCCTACATTAATGTCCACAGATTCATAACGGTCCATCAAACCACGCCTACATTACTGTCCACAGATACATAACGGTCCATCAATCCATGCCTACACTACTGTCAATAGATTCATAACAGTCCATCAAACCACGCCATTACTGTCCACAATAGATGTCCATCCAGTCCATACACTATGTCCACAGATTCATAACGGTCCATCAAACCACGCCTACATTACTGTCCACAGATTCATAACGGTCCATCAAACCACGTCTACATTACTGTCCACAGATTCATAACGGTCCATCAAACCACGCCTACATTAATGTCCACAGATTCATAACGGTCCATCAAACCACGTCTACATTAATGTCCACAGATTCATAACGGTCAATCAAACCACGCCTATATTAATGTCCACAGATACATAACGGTCAATCAATCCACGTCTACATTACTGTCCACAGATTCATAACGGTCCATCAAACCACGTCTACATTACTGTCCACAGATTCATAACGGTCCATCAATCCACGCCTACATTACTGTCCACAGATTCATAACGGTCCATCAAACCACGCCTACATTACTGTCCACAGATTCATAACGGTCCATCAAACCACGCCTACATTACTGTCCACAGATTCATAACGGTCCATCAATCCATGCCTACATTACTGTCCACAGAGCAACAGTCAATCAAACCACGCCTACACATTACTTCCACAGATTCATAACGGTCCATCAAACCACGTCTACATTACTGTCCACAGATTCATAACGGTCCATCAAACCACGCCTACATTAATGTCCACAGATTCATAACGGTCCATCAAACCACGTCTACATTAATGTCCACAGATTCATAACGGTCCATCAAACCACGCCTACATTACTGTCCACAGATTCATAACGGTCCATCAAGCCACGCCTACATTACTGTCCACAGATTCATAACGGTCCATCAAACCACGTCTACATTAATGTCCAAAGATTCATAACGGTCCATCAAACCACGTCTACATTAATGTCCACAGATTCATAACGGTCCATCAATCCACGTCTACATTAATGTCCACAGATTCATAACGGTCCATCAATCCATGCCTACATTCAGCAAACCACGCCTACATTAACGTCCACAGATTCCTACATTCAGCAAACCACGCTTATATAACGTCCTGAACTCTTTTACCTCTTTTTCAAACCACGTCTACATTAATGTCCACAGATTCAGAACAGTCCATCAAACCATGCCTACATCATCTCCCCAGACCTACCTTATCACCATCCCTGGCAGTGACGCTGATGATATTGGTACCGTCAACTGAATGCTCCTGGATAGATGCTGTGTAAGTTGTCGGGTCAAATGAAGGGCGGTTGTCATTTATATCTTGAACCAGAATCGACAGAGTTGCTGTGGCAGTACGTCGTTTATTATCAAGTTGACCTGCCTGAAAGATAGCAATCATATGTACCCAAGGATTTCGTTACTCGTTTTTTAAAACCCATCACACTTCGTGCAGTGAATAAAAGGTATGACCGTATAATGCAAGATATATATCAGTTATTGGCGAGCTCGTATAACATGTAGTGTCTTTATTTACTGTACTGTAGTGTAGGCCACAGGCCCATAACTACATCAATAGTTACAGGCTTTCCCTTTGGGGATGTATAACAGATACATATGAGATGTACAATCAGGAGGGTGCGGAACGTTTTGCATAGTAAATATACATAGCAGTATTTCTAATAACTTCAATATTTGCTCATGACATTAACATATTAAATCTATGTAAAGATGGATACTTGTAAAACGTTTCTGCAATATATCTAATCCTTAAGTCATCATGATAATCACACACTATTAAAAAAATGGTATTCAGTTTCAATACATTGTCTGTTACAATATTCACACATTCTCTTAGCAGGCTGCTCTTTATCTACCAGTATCAATCCTAATGTTATGCTATCCACATCTAAATCTTGCCATAGTTATCCTAAACTTGTTTATTTGTATACAACTGAGATACAATTCCCGCCTGAAACTAGGCTTAAAAAGAGCATACACGTTTGTTTTATGACTTTCACATATATAAGAGTGGCAGTTTTGCTCATAGCAAAATTGTCAAGATGTTGGAGTGATATTTTTACCGTCCAGAGTATAAACATTGAACATCACCAAGCTGACTAATATACCTCTTGTCAAGAGTGCCATGATGTTATGTTCTACCTCTATTGCACTACAATTACAGCTATTGCCTGCAGCGCATGAATATCTGTCTAACTCCCTGTTGTTTTCAATAGACTTACTTCCAGTATCACTGTGTATGTTGGATGTGTCTCTCTGTCCAGCTTCTGACCGAGCGACAGTAGCCCGGTGTCATTGTTGATGGTCAGATGATCCAATGGCGGAGAAGACACTAAAACAGTCAGGGATGATGTAATTATATGAACAACACTTCCCCGTTGTTTCGGTTGCAGATATTAACACTGAAACAACGTGTTATCATTCACCACGTGTATTGTTTGTCGTGTAAGCCCGAATTGCCAAACTGACCTACTGTTATATATATTTGAGGGTCTATGAAACCATATGACACCCTTTGTCCCATGTCTGTGGTATATATTCTGACCATGTCACACCAAGCAATAGTTGTGATGTACATGTGGGTGGTCAAACATGGGTGTATTTACTCTATAAATGACATTTAGAAGTGATCAACATAAAGGTGGCTCATGTGAGTGTCGCAACACCGACCTGTGAAATATGCTATTAGTACAATTTCTCGGGCTAAATACTCCAACAAAGGAGATGGTTTAGGTGATTATGGATGTCACGTTCTGTAAGGAATACGACGTTTAGGGGTGCATTCCTTCGCCTTCAGAAATACAATTTTCTTAATGAGTGAGTGAGTTTAGTTTTACGCCGCTTGTAGCAATATTCCAGCAACATCACGGCGGGGGACTCCAGAAATGGGCTTCACACATTGTACCCATGTGGGGAATCGAACCCGTGCCTTCGGCGTGATGAGCGAACGTTTTAACCACTAGGCCACCCCACTTTTTTAATGAAGAAGTGAGGATATACTCGTGTTCCTCATATCACAAGAGATGAGTTCCATACCACCCCACCCTCTTTACGCGTGTATTTAACCCGAAAACTTAGTGATAGCTTATTTTAATTCTGAGGTACGACACTCACAAAACTTGGTCCTGTTTCTCGATAAAAGTCATTACATACCATGTACGTTGAACGTCCTGTTAAAGCACCGAAATGGCAAGGTACAAACCATTACACTACGGTTTGCTATTATGCCCTTCCCTATGCTTGATATACTTACTGCGGATCCTGTATGCAAGAGGTGTATTGATACCGAGATCCTGGTCGAAGGCATGGACAGGTGGGGTCGAAGTCCTCGGTCGGGTATCGTTTTTCTGTCATCGGGAAATTTAACAGTGACATCAATGTAAATATTGTTCTTAATGTTTACCAGAATGGTAAATGCAAACAATATCCTAATATTTTGGGATTTCAAAAAATGTAATAAGCATTCGTTGTCTATTTAATATTCACACGAACAGCTGTAAAACATCCCAGTAACTTGTAAAGACTTGATCTTGTAAACACGCACACCAACATCACAGTATTTACAATGTACGTGTGACGCAACCCACACCGTTATATACTCTTACAAAAGTAGGGGAACAGTGTGCAAAATATCCACTGGCCCGCTAGCCCGTGGCTAATAAAAATCCAGTCGGGCTAGTAAATCTCCACAGTCACTAGCCCCACTGGCTAATCAATTTTCATGGGGTCATTTTGTAAATATGTCACTCTCTCCGACTTGTTATGTTATAATAAACTTTAAATCACACAAGATTATAGCCTGAAAAAAATGTTCATCATATTAGCAGCTTAATGATGGAACCGGTGTCTGCATTCAAATTTCGAACTAGTGAATTATTTTGTGGGCTAGTAACTTTCAGGCATAGCTAGCCCGACTGGCTAGCAAAATTCGGAAACTATTTCGCACACTGATCCTGACCTTACAATTTGGACAGGAAGTATAAGCGTCAGCAAACTTTTCAAAGACAGACATCTTAACACCATTTCTCTTTATCGCCACCCATAAACACAACGCATATCAAAGGATATAGCACCTGGCTATAGTGCTTTCATTATCGAGCTCATTCTGTATAGGGAATTTTCATTGTTAACTGTGACGCACTATGAAATGTCCTTGGCTTTAAACAATATTTTCTATTATTTTATAGCATGATCATTTTAAGAAAGAAAATACACATGAGTTGACAAAGTTTGACGGAGATTGTAAGTAACTTGCCTCTTCCTCTACTTCAAGGATGAACGTATCGTTTGTGAAAATAGGATCCTCGTCGTCAACGTCGCTAATGTTGAGCGTGAATTTTGCAGTTCCCATAATCTAAAAACAAAAAAATGAAAAGGGGAAATGAAAATATGGCGGTTTGTTAACTGATCTGTAAAGATGCATTTTATTATCATCAGACAAACAGTATAAATTTTATAACGATTTTTTCTTACCCCGCCAGAGGTCGCATTAACGATCACTGAGTGGCTGTTTTGTCCGCTCTCGTAATCAAAAGTGGTTATTGTAAACACCGTTCCTTTTATAACATCCCCAAAGTGTAGATAAGGGTTTGACTGGAAGTAAAATAGAAACAAACCGTACATAAGAAGTTTCATGAACACTGTAATGCATGTCACAAAGGCGCTTTAAATGTTTGTAAATGTTTACATGTTAGAATACGGAATGCTCTTTTATGATAGAGCGAGTGAGTGAGTGAGGTTTTTCATGGCGAAGAGATGCTTAAAAATACATTTTATGTGAATGTTTTACGAACTGGAAAACAACAAAGACAGAAAGTTTTGTTTATCGAAATTCGAATTACCGACTTACACTCATTAAATAGTACAGAGTCGCATGTGCACAGTCCTTGTCTACAGCACTGGTTTCGTCACTCCTACTGAAATCAAATACTTCCGTCCCAATTCCAGTTGTCTGTTAAAATAGAACACAGTAATTGTATGAATTACCTGATGTGTAAGTAATCGAAGGTTTAGAAGATTAGACTTCATCTGTTTTAATTACTGTATTTCAAACACATCTACGTATATAGATAGCCCATTTACAAAATAATAGGATTTAATCAAATCATACTACTGGAATAAAGTAACTGTACATTATTTGATTTTAGGTCATTTTATAATGCAAAAAGATAATAACATGATTTGTGGTGTTTTCCTTAATCACTGTTTAACTGCTGACATGGTAATATCAAAATTACTACTACCTGTTTACTACAACATGTTTGTCGTGTAGGGAACACTTACTTCAGGTATAGTGTGATTGAATTCTGGATATGGAAACTGGGGAGGATGTCTATCAATTGGGTTCATGTTGACGATGAATGTCACTGGCTGAAAGAGACAAAATACCACTGAAAGTTCATAGTATGTCATTTCCCTGCATCTTGTCAGGTAACGGTACATGTAACACCAATTTCTGAAGAATCTTTTATAAGGACCAGATGTTAACTAGGACGAAGTATGCCAAGGTATGGATATTTTCAATTTCCTATATCTTTACATCAAATGTTCCGGAAAAGTGATGTCATTTTGTCCTTCAACCCATACTGGTTCATGTACAAGTGGTTATTTATGCCACCCAGTTACTCTTAAAGCATTGCTCACTTTATATTCAGGTTAAAACCAATATAAATGATTTTACTCTCAGTGGCACTGTGATTTTGTTTGGATAGTTTCAGTAGAGGGTATCTTGAAAGACCTTCCATTAAAAAAACAGACCTTCTATTAGAATATATATCTTTAATATTTACCGAAGTTGCGATGCTTTCACATTCTACAGACAGAGATATAACCCGGTTGTTGCAGAGATACTGAAAAAATATGTTATTGTACATACATGGGTGTACATAGAGATTTTGGATCAAATGCAAAGATATCGAATCCGACAGCTACAATTATCCATTGAAATAATATTTTCTTGGAATGTATTCTGCTAGTGATCAAATTAATTAATGCGAACACGAAACGAAAGTGAAAAATGCGAGGGTATTGTTATAGCAGCGCTAATCCCGGAGCAATAGAGCATTTTGTCTTTATCTGCACGTGGAGCATTTTGTCTTTATCTGCACGTGGAGCATTTTGTCTTTATCTGCACGTGGAGCATTTTGTCTTTATCTGCACGTGGAGCATTTTGTCTTTATCTGCACGTGGAGCATTTTGTCTTTATCTGCACGTGGAGCATTTTGTCTTTATGTCGCAGGTGTATTTTAGTGTAAATATCGTATTTTAATCATATTATTATTCTCTCCTTTTAGCTATGTTATTTCTAGGCAGTTTAAGGTTTAAGCTTTAGAGCTTGGCCTGTCTCACTAATTGCCCAAGCCATGACGCTTCTCGGCTGATTGGTCTCATTAACTCCATGCACAATTTCACTCATTCTGCACTGACTCTTTGCCATGTAAAGACAGCTTGGACAGACACAGTGTGACATTAAGGTTAGTATTCATTTAATTAAAGTAATATTGCATTTAATCCTTGCAGTATGTATATAATAAACGTATATCTATTTACTATCATTTAAATAGGTATTATATTGTATAGCATGTAAGTGTGCTAAATGTATTTATGCTAGCTTTTCAAGCCTAGGCTATAAACATAAATAAGTATCACTAATATATTCTTATCTTTACTATCCCTTTCACTGAATGTGTGAGTTGAGAGAATGTGTTTTAATATAAGTTGCTATGTTTTAACTGTGATAACTATCAGTGTATATTATTTATCATCTAATATTATTTGCAGCAGATAAGTCCCCATCCATAAGTCTGGTGCTGTGCCCGATTGTTGTACACCCTTGTACCACCCACAGGGTATGTGTATATGCATAATTTATATATCCATGTATTTGTATATAGTACCATCACGTAATGCGTGGTGACGAATCATGTGTACTTTATCATTACGACTAATGCGTAATGGTGTATTATAATCTATCTTCTGTGTATTACATTGTATGCATGTATTATCATTACGTTATTCATAATGCTGTAATTTCATAATACCCATATTCCATATGTGTTGTAAATAATGGTATTCATGCTTTGAGTATTATTGATAATTGTCCATATGTATTAACCCGTGTATGGAATTATATGTATCTTGTATGAATTGTGTGAGATGTATATAATATTATTATATTTATTGTTACAGGGTGTCGTTTAACATTCAGCAAGACCTATGAAATAAACAACCCCACACCCCAGCAGAGTGTTGGTAGTCTATGGCCACGTTGACCCTGCTATATTTATCTGCACGTGGAGCATTTTGTCTTTATCTGCACGTGGAGCATTTTGTCTTTATCTGCACGTGGAGCATTTTGTCTTTATCTGCACGTGGAGCATTTTGTCTTTATCTGCACGTGGAGCATTTTGTCTTTATCTGCACGTGGAGCATTTTGTCTTCATGGATTGGTTGCAAACTTGACCCATACCCACGCACATGATCAGGGATCGATCAGGAAACAACAATGAGCAGATACAGAAACAACAATGGACAGATAAAGATACAACAATGGACAGATACAGAAACAACAATGGACAGATAAAGATACAACAATGGACAGATAAAGAAACAAATTCGGCAGATGAAGAGACAACAATGGACAGATAAAGGGACATCAATGGACAGATAAAGAGACAACATTTGACAGATAAAGAGACAACAATGGACAGATGAAGAGACAACAATGGACAGATAAAGAGACAACATTTGACAGATAATGAGACAACATTTGACAGATAAAGAGACAACAATGGACAGATTAAGAGACAACAATGGACAGATAAAGAGACAACATTTAACAGATAATGAGACAACAATGGACAGATAAAGAGACAACATTTAACAGATAATGAGACAACATTTGACAGATAAAGAGACAACAATGGACAGATAAAGAGACAACAATGGACAGATAATGAGACAACAATGGACAGATAAAGAGACAACAATGGACAGATAAAGAGACAACAATGGACAGATAAAGAAACACATTCGGCAGATGAAGAGACAACAATGGACAGATAAAGAGACAATGGACAGATAAAGAGACTACAATGGACAGATAAAGAGACAACAATGGACAGATAAAGATGAAGAGACAACAATGGACAGATGAAGAGACAACGAAGGACAGTTAAAGAGACAACAATGGACAGATAAAGAAACATTCGACAGATGAAGAGACAACAATGGACAGAAAGAGACAACAATGGACAGATAAAGAGACAACAATGGACAGATAAAGAGACAACAATGGACAGATTAAGAAACACATTCGGCAGATGAAGAGACAACAATGGACAGATAAAGAGACAACAATGGACAGATAAAGAGACTACAATGGACAGATAAAGAGACAACAATGGACAGATGAAGAGACAACGAAGGACAGTTAAAGAGGCAACAATGGACAGATAAAGAAACATTCGGCAGATGAGGAGACAACAATGGACAGAAAGAGACAACAATGGACAGATAAAGAGACAACAATGGACAGATAAAGAAACACATTCGGCAGATGAAGAGACTACAATGGACAGATAAAGAGACAACAATGGACAGATAAAGAGACTACAATGGACAGATAAAGAAACACATTCGGCAGATGAAGAGACAACAATGGACACACGAAGAGACAACGAAGGACAGTTAAAGAGACAACAATGGACAGATAAAGAAACATTCGGCAGATGAAGAGACAACAATGGACAGAAAGAGACAACAATGGACAGATAAAGAGACAACAATGGACAGATAAAGAGACAACAATGGACAGATAAAGAAACACATTCGGCAGATGAAGAGACAACAATGGACAGATGAAGAGACAACGAATGGCAGTTAAAGAGACAACGAATGACAGTTAAAGAGACAACATTTGACAGATAATGAGACAACATTTTACAGATAAAGAGACAACAATGGACAGATAAAGAAACACATTCGGCAGATGAAGAGACAACAATGGACAGATGAAGAGACAACGAAGGACAGTTAAAGAGACAGCATTTGGCAGATAAAGAGACAGCATTTGGCAGATAAAGACAACAATGGACAGGTAAAGAGACCGTGGCATTGCCTTGGATATATTGTCATGTCAATGATGCCAAGGGGATAAATAATTGAGGTTATAAATGATAATACAATTTGCGATCAGGTTGTGCATGTGTTTTCTACATAGAAGATGGCCCTTGGAATGAAATGTTTATCGGACAATAGCTGTGCTCAGTCAGTCGCTATGGCTGTATCTTCAGAGAATGAGGAAAACGTTTCAGCTGAAGCCATCTGGATTTCACTCTTGATGGACTTCCGCGCTGATATTATCTTTGTGAAGTACGGGTGTACGACATTTAGGCGAGTAGCTGTTTCCATTTTGCTGATCTATTTCTGTGTTTATGCACAAACATGAACCGGTTTTCTACCCACTTGAGACCAAGAAATGGTTAAATATTTCGATCTTTGCATTATTCCGAGTGGCAAAAACCACCTACGAATCGATACGACGTCATCTTTCACATTGTTAACTTTCCCTTTATGTTCAGCAATATTCAAGCATCTCCACGATTCACATCTTTGGAGGTACAATCCAGCATGTTCTATCTTCGAACATTTCAAAGAGCGTCATAAGTTTATTGCTCAAAGAAGACAATGATAAAGTCCTAAGTGAAGCTTTCACACAGGTTTATTGGTGGACCTGTGAACGTTTCAAATTCTAAGCATCGGTGACAAAAATGAGGTCCTTAGCAATTCCCTAATTTGAATATATGTTCAAATGGTGTTGCCTTTTAGGTGAATTGAGTTAACTTTGCAGGTGTTTGGTTATGTGACAGTGAGTCACATGCTCATGACATAGTGTTAATCGTACAATGGATGCTTCGAGCTGAAATGATAATCATTCTTATGCTTGACATTTACCTCATCCTTGCTCATGTCCAAGTCCTTCTCTGCATAAAGCGTGTTGTTTGAAATGCTGAAGTACCCTCCGTTAGGTTCCGATGCCAGCCAGATATCTTCAGTGACAGTGAAGTTATAAACAGCATCACCTGCAGCAGAAATTACCATCAATATTTCGGCTGGTAGGACAAATAACTAGGGCTGAAACGATGCATCGAAATATTGATGGATTGCAATTGTTGAGTCCCCGATAGCAGTTAATCGATGGTAGATCTATCGATGCATCGATAGTATGTGTGACTATCGGTAGTTTAATAATTGACATACGTTGATAAAATATGCAGCGCAAAACACAGGGATGTTTGGGTGCAGACTTGCAGCTTCATTTTACATAACTGTTTACTTGATCTGGGTTTCAAGTTTCTTGTCAGTTGTTAAAAGAGACTGAAACTACTTCATCTTGTTTTTATTACATATACATTCATTTGGGAAATGATTTCAAATGACACAATTTCCTAGGAGAGAAAAATCCCTATTGCAATACTATTATCGCTTTCGCAATAGTATGTTGCAATAGACTATCGCAATAGGTGTTTCCCCCTCAATAGTCAGCCCTACTAATAACACTATGTACTAGGACACCGCTGTTAGTCGATATCATTTGATATGATTTTGAGGTCATTGTATTGAGGTTATTCTTGTATTATGTTATATTTGTCTCGAAGAACGGATAGCCCACCCTTCCCTATGTAGGGACTGTAGCATCTACACTGTACAGGAACAACCTTTTCGACCCAAATGATTCCTTCGAGGCCAGTATCCGACTCCTTGGCTGTTGCTACAGAGCAGACGATTATCTGATTTAGGAAACTGTATATGCAATATACAACAGATTCATATGGTCACCAAATTATGCATTAAGTTCTCACCCATACTGGCTCCTTCGTCTAGTGTAACGCTGAGAGAAGAGCCTAAACCACATTCTGCATCAACAGCTTGAGAAAATGAAGAGAATGGATTAATGCATTAATGGTCACAGTCGTCATTGTTTGAATGATGTGGGCAGTTCAGGCTATAAAAAAACTTACTGTTCTTAAGTAGTGAGTGTGTTTAGTTTTCCGCCGAACTCAGCAATATTCCAGGTATATGGCAGTTTGTAAAATTAATAATCGAGTCTGGGCCAGACAATCCAGTGATCAACAGCATGAGCATCGATCTACACAATTGGGACAATTGTTGACCGTGTCAACCATGTCAGCGAGTCTGACCACCCGATCCAGTTATTCACCTCTTACGACATGCATGGGTTACTGAATAACAATAACCGGATCTTCAAGGGTACTGTTCTTATGTAACTTGCGTGAATGACGAATACTTCCTGGAATGCAGGACATTCTTAAGCTTTCTCAGACACCTTCTGCCATCACTGACTTTCAATTATCCATTCATACAATGTCACGGCACTTTGTCCGTTTACACCAAAAAAGGATAGTAAAGACTGGATATTCGTTTGCACTAAAATTTTATATTTAAGAATGTTCCATAAATAACAACTGCGCTGGACGGAACATACAGTACATTTATGACAATTACAACTTTTATGCATTAGTTTTGCTCTGAATCAGGGGGTATACTCCTAAAGATGTAGGGGAGTGTGAAATATACATGTCAATAACAAGTATTAAAACAAAGATAAGTGTTGACGACAAACATCCTGTGCAAGAATGTTCATTATAGACAAACTTTATGGATAACAACTTATTTATTACGTTTCGATATGGATTCTTGAACCGAATCTGTACTGAAACGTCGCACTCACGAAAAAAGAAGTTGTTATCCATAAAGTTTGTCAGCTACTAAAATGCCACTCAAAGAAGAATGTTCATGTCTGTAAAACTTAACACCAAAACACACAGAATAGTTTGCAGGTGTCGCAAGCAGTAGTGTAACACAAGTACGTAGGGTGTTATTCCTGATTTCGATTCATCTCTGAGAACCGTTAAAAGTTATTTGCATGTTTAAAACTGGCAGCAGTCTTCGTGCTGTGGCCAATACGTTCACAAAATTTCACAGGTCTGTCTCAAACCCAAAATGTTAAAGATCAATCTCATTCAGGCTCGACCCACGACAAGAGTACTCGTCCCAAGCTCCACAAGAGTACAGGCTCGACTGATCTAGAGCCAAGCTCCCAAGTTAGGCTCGACCCCGACAAGAGTACAGGCTCGACTGATCCAGAGCCAGCTCCAAAGAGGCTCGACCCAGGCTCGACTGATCTAGAGCCAAGCTCCACAAAGTTCGGCTCGTACCCGACAAAGAGTACAGGCTCGACTGATCTAGAGCCAAGCTCCACAAAGTTAGGCTCGTCCCACGACAAGAGTACAGGCTCGACTGATCTAGAGCCAAGCTCCACAAAGTTAGGCTCGACCCACGACAAGAGTACAGGCTCGACTGATCTAGAGCCAAGCTCCACAAAGTTCGGCTACATGCTTGACGACTAGAAGAGTACGAAGTTCGGCTCGACTGGCTCGACTGATCTAGAAGCCAAGCTCCACAAAGTTCGGCTCGACGACAAGAGTACAGACTCGACTAGAAGAGTACAGGCGTCGACTGATCTGAGAACCAAGCTCCACAAAGTTAGCCTCAAACGGCGAATCTCAAAAATGTTGCCAATGATACACGATAACGTGATCAGTCAGACAAATACTCATCTCTTATATGCAGCTTGTGTCAATGCTGAAAGCCCCACACACATTACAAAGTCATACCATCCCTGCAGCTGCAGGATCATCTGTAATTCTTACCTGTAAAGGTTAGGGTCATGAAGAGGAGGAACCATGGCAACTCCATCTCAGAATGTACCGTTACTCGCTTCCGTAGGATATGCTCATATCAGTTGACTGCGGCGAGAATGTTGTCTGTATCACTGTAAGATATTCACATGCATCATATTTAACAGGAAATGATAAACACTGATTAAAAAAGCAATGTCTCCATAATAAAATATACAGCAAGATAAATACAACGGTCTATCAAGACTTCTATTAAATGTTAGCCCGACATTATAGTATCTGCTTTCTTGTTGCCAGCGATAATCGGATTAAGAGATACATCTTTGTTTTGAACTTGAGGTGGTCTAACTATAGATCTGATACCTCTCATTTAAAATTTGGAACCGGTTTCAATTGGAATTTGAAGGTTTGGTGTTTGTTTCTTTGATGTTTAACGCCATACTCAGCAATATTCCAGCTATATGACAGCGGTCTGTAAATAATCGAGTCTGGACCAGACAATCCGGTGATCAACAACATGAGTATCGATCTACGCAATTGGGATTCGATGACATCTGTGTACCAAGTCAGCGAGCCTGACCACCCAATCTTACGACAAGCATGGGTTGCTGAAGACCAATTCTCACCCGGGTCTTCACGGGTGGAATTAAAAGGTGTCAAATCACGGAATCTCAAGCAATCTCTGACACAAGCTATTGTTTTTTGTCGCTAATGACCGAATGTTTCACGAAACTTTCCCTTTCATTTTTCTGTTTATGATTATTCTGTTCTTGAAGAAGTTTGAAAAATTATGATAAATAAAAGTGACAAGCTCATTCGACTATATCATGAACTTGCGTTTTTGTATAACAATATTCATGATACAAGATGGTGTCGAAAAGGTGAGTGTATCCTTTTCCACAGGTCACAAACACATTCAAAGGTAAGTCAAATATATACCTGAGAACATGCGGGAACAAGCTGGTACAAGTTGAAATGGGAATTGCATCGGACATCTTGTAACTCGCCCGGCACGCCGAAAAGTCAGAAAATGGGTACAATTGAACTATTGTCCCCGCCATGCTGGAATATTGCTGAAAGAAATGAAACCAAGCACTTTGTAACTGCAGCGTTAACCATATTTAACTATTTGCATGCTATATATACCATATGCGTTCTATTGAAGTTAAATCAAGTTTATTCTGATTTCAAAACAGAACATACTCTCTGTGAAGACAAAATAAACTTGTACGTAGTATGACTGAACGGGTTCTCCAGTTTAGTGACTACACTGAACCATTAAACTATAACACAGAAGCCACACAAAAAGTACTCAAATGTATGTAGCAATTACATGTATACTGAATGATTTCCATACTAAGCTACATATTTATTACACCTGTTCTTTGTTCTTTATGACATCAAACGTAGCGAGACGTGTGTGCGCGCTAATGTACCCGATACAATGTTTATACAAAGGAATGGGAATGCTGACGTGAACGCCCTAACTAATGTTTCATTGTCTCTGAAGGTCATGCTTGTCAAATAGCACAATCCCTTCTAGCGATTTGCCCATCTGAGCTAGACACAAGACATCGCTGTACAAACGGTCAACATTTCACAGGAGTGGAAATAACCCATTGCCCGACGCCCGAGTCCAGTGTTTTTTTCTGTCGGGCAAGCAAATCTGTATATCACACTGTTCCGGTGTCCAGTTGATATTCCAATGTTAATTATGTTGTTTATTTAAAAAATCAAGAAGAAAATCGGCCGGTATAGTGGAAAAATTATCAGGGCAAGTGATTTTACATGTGCCACTGTACCAGAGTACACTAGCAATTTTAAAGTTATTTCCACCCCTGATTTCAATGCGATCGAGGGTGTTCTCTCTACAGAGACTCAAGAATGTGTCATGCGACAATTAACAAAAGTTCTTGTTGAGTATATATGAATTTTTACGAGTTAAAGCAATGCATAAATCACATGTTGATAGTGAGCCATAAACAAATTGTCATGATGCAGATGGAAACGTATAATCGACTCTGCCTTTGTCAGAGATTTCTGAGAAATGGGGGACGGTTGGGTAGCCTAGTGGTTAAAGCGTTCGCTCGCCACGCTGAAGACCCGGGTTCGATTCTACACATGGGTACAATGTGTGAAGCCTATTTTTGGGTGTCCCCCGCCGTGATATTGCTTGAATATTGCTAAAAGCTATGTGAAACTAAACTCACTCACTCTGAGAAATAGGGAAAGTATGTTTAACCTTTACATTTGTATTGTCTACAACTCCTGTTAGTTTACAAATCTATGTGTTATGCTACAAACACTGTAATCGAATGAACCATTAACATTCTGTACTAGTATCTTCACTGATTAGATGAAATCTATTTCTCCACATTTCCTAATGCATCTCCCTAAACACAGAGTTATCAAAACTAACATGGAACCATGGTACTAACGTATCAGGAGGCGGTTAAAGAAAGTTCTTCCCAAATTGATGAGTACTGATCGAACAGGATTCATGACGATATTCTGGACATGATATAAGACTTCTCTATGATATCATGAGGCATACAGAATCAAAGGAAGTTCCTGGCTTTCGATTCCGTCTCGTGGTTATTCATAGATAGAACGCTGTCGTTTTTTAATATTAGTGATGACTTTAAGAAAAGGATCAATGTCATGTATAATGATATGAAATCTTGTCTTGTCATAAATGGTTCATTATCATCTTGGTTCTCCATTCAAAGAGGTTGTAGACAGGGTGATCCCTTATCGCCATACATCTTTATTCTTTGTGTGGAAATCTTGCCTGGGTTAGTAAGAAAACATCCGAACATCAGAGGCATCAAATTTGGTAATGAGGAATATCTTCTCACTCAGTATGCAGATGACACAGAATTCATCTTAGATGACTCAAGGACTTCATTTGAATCTTAAGTTGATACTCTAAATCTTTTTTGAGATATTTCAGGTATAAATATCAATTATGACAAATCTGAAGTTGTATGGATTGATAATGTCAAGGCCAGAGAATAACCAGTCTCGAGTATTCGCCAAACGGATTTCATTGGACGCAAGGGAAACACATGACGAAAATGACACCCGGTGTCCGCAAGGAAAGATCAGAAAGATCTAACAATTATTTTCCTTTTCGTGTACAAGATATAGCAAGTTTGAAAGTACTATTTGACACCAGAGATAACACCAGCTTGAGCCACTTAACCTCCTTTCCTACCTGCTCAGACTTCGATCAGCACAAGGCAAGAAAGGGACTTCTGAGTCATATCCGTGTATAACATACAACTTGAAATAGAAAATTGATACAACGAACGCCTTGTCAGAAACTCTCCCAATAGGTGACATAATATGTTTCTTTCACGTCACACACGTTTTATCAAAACCGTCTCTGATAAGCCAAGGCATGGATTTGAATGTGTGTCAACAAGAAATGTAAAACCACTTCTGTTTTGGGCCCAAATTATCATTATATGTTGTTTATACAGAGAGATCATGTACAAAGATCAAACAGTGCTAACACGTATTTCACTCTAAGAATGATTGAATCAGTGTTGACTTACCGTTAAGAAGTATTCAATCATAACACGTACTAGACATTGACAAGTCTCGGTTATGTAATCACTTACTACAAGTAAAATAGATATTCCGTCGTGAACTCTAATGGTACCAATGAAAGTTGATATTGCTCACGTGTACTCCAGTAAAGATGTGATCATGGTATTCAGGTATCCCGGAACTTGACAGCAGGCGAATATAGTCGCCTGTTTAGTGGCGGAGTTACAGCCTACAGGTGTGCGATCACGTCCGGGTTCGCCAGGTCATTGCGATATGCTAACGTCATTGCCAAGACACTGGCGGGTTGATATCGACACACCTGCCTGACATTCCCCCATAATCTGCATATCTACCGCATGACCTGCACCTCGGGTTGAGGAAGTAACTTAGCGACCCACCCTACAGTACTCCAGTGCTGTTCTGCTGGGACCTGAATGTAGTTCCTTCGTGCTAAAACTATATTTTAATAAATATACTGTCTACCTTAAGACGATCTTAATGTGTCAGAATAATATGTTTGGTGCATCGTTTGGTTTATTCTATATTTGACACAACCCTACCTTCATATACACGTAATGTGTGTCTGAAATATCTACATTGTGACATTACATATACAAATAATGTGTGTCTGAAATATTCATATTGTGACACTTCATATACCCGTAATGTAGGTCTGAAATGTCTATAATTGTCTCACTATATATATACTCATAATGTGTGTCTGAAATATCCATATGGTCAAAGAACATATATACCCGTAATATGTGTCTGAAATATCTATATTGTCAGACGACGTATACCCGTAATGTGTGTCTGAAATATCTATGATTGTGACACTACATATACTCGTATTTTTTGTCTGAAATATCTATAATTGTCACATTACATATACCCGTAATGTGTGTCTGAAATGTCTATAATGTCTATAATTGTCTGAAATATCCATATTGTCAAACAACATAACCCGTAATATGTGTCTGAAATATCCATATTATGACACTACATAACAACATATTCTGACACCGATACTAAAATGTGTCTGAAATAATTTTGTGACACTACATATACTCGTAACATGTGTCTGAAACATCCAGATTGTGACACTACATATACCAGTAATATGTGTCTGAAATATCTATTTTGTGACACTACATATCCTCGTAAAATGTGTCTGAAATATCCATATTGTGACACCACATATACTCGTAATAAGTGTCTGAAATATCCATATTGTGACAATACATATAATCGTAATAAGTGTCTGAAATATCTTTATTCTGACACTAATATACCATTAATATGTGTCTGAAACATCTGTTTTGTGACACTACATACACTCGTAATATGTGTCTGAAATATCCATATTCTGACACTGCATATACTCGTAATATGTGTCTGAAATATCCAGATTGTGACACTGCATATAACAGTAATATGTGTCTGAAATATCCATATTGTGACACTGCATATACTCGTAATATGTGTCTGAAATATCCAGATTGTGACACTACATATACCCGTAATATGTGTCTGAAATATCCAGATTGTGACACTGCATATAACAGTAATATGTGTCTGA